TCGTGTAGCTATTTAGATACTAGGCAGGCATTGCTATACACCACAAAATTAGTATAGTAGTCTAAGAGACCTAGGAAGTTCCTAGAGGCTTCTTATATATACGCATCTAGGAAGGTTTAGGTACCTATCCTTTAGGCTATATCCTAGTCCCTCTAGTGCTCCTTTATAGCTTCCTGTAGCTCCTCCTAGTCTTGCTTCTAGTAGGGTCTAAGCTTCTTTATAAATGTTCTGCATATAGCATTATAAAAGTCTAGCAGAATTTTTAGCTAATCTACTTTGCCTAGCCCCCTATTTTCTACCTGGCGGTTATAGTTATCTAGGAATTCTATAACCTCCCTCCCCTAGAACTAAAAGTTAGTTTTCCTAGGCCTTATAGGGACAAGGACTCTTCTTAGGGGTCTAGAGGTTTCTATTTTAGTTAACCCTAGGGTAATATTACTTTCTCTAGGCATTATTCCTAGTAAAAAGGATAGGCTTGGTTAAGGTGGTAGGCTTCTATAAACGTTAAAGGAGGTGTATAAACCTGTGATATTAATTAAAATTATTAGACGAGTTAGCATCTGCTTGCTTATATTACTTCCCCCCTTTCCCGTCTCTTACTTTTATAGACTACCTCCTCTTCCTTAGTAGTTATGTCCCTAACACCCTTCCTAAACAGTGCTAGCACTTGTATTTGTTTTTAGTAGATTCTTATTGCGTTAGCAACTTTAGCCTAGCCCTATTTTCCTGCTAACAGCGCACACTGTCCTGTAGCCTTTACTGTTGCTTTTCTATTAGTAGCAATATTCTAGGTGTTCTAGCACTTCTAGTATTGCTAATGCTTCTCGTAGTTCTAATTATTCTAATAGTTCTAGTTATTCTAGTTCTAGTTATTCTAGTTGTTCTGGTTCTAGTTATTCTAGTTGTTCTAGTTCTAGTTATTCTAGTTGTTCTAGTTCTAGTTATTCTGGTCGTTCTGGTTCTAGTTATTCTAGTTGTTCTAGTTATTCTAGTTCTAGTTATTCTGGTTATTCTAGTTATTCTAGTTATTCTATTTCTAATTCTAGTTCTAGTCGTTCTAGTTCTGGTTGTTCTGGTTGTTCTGGTGTTTCTAATATTTTCTAGTTAGCCTCTTAGTGTTGTTACTCTGTCCCTACTAACGCGCGTTAGCCACGTCCTAATATAGGCCCACTATTTTAGCCTTAACAATGTTAATTATTAACACTACCTATTTTTTAATTTTTCTCTGCCCTCCTTATACTTAGAGGAACGTCCTCTTAGTTGCATGCTGCTAGGCCCTCCCCTTTACTAAGATAAGATAAGTTCCCCTTAGGCTTCGCTATTTAAACTAACAGGGAGAGTAACCTATTTAAACGAGGAGAAGTAGGAGGGGCAAGGTTTAATAGTAGTGATCCTATAGTAGAGGATATAGGTTTAATACAGAAACATAAGTAAAAAGATAATATTGTAGAGTTAAAGTAAAGTCCCTAGGAGTTGTTATTGTTCTATCCTCTGATCCTTCATGCCTTTATACTATTCAATCTGCCTAACCTTTTAGGCTAAGCCTTGTTTTCCTCCCATACATCCCTCACTACGGCACACTAGCAGCTATAGATAAGGATATAATAGGGGCTAGATAGGCAGGATTAATAGAAAAAGAGTAGAGAGAGGGCTAATTAGTAGGGGGAAATCTGTTGTATAACAAAGTAAGTTTAGGAAATTTATAGTAGGGTAGGATAGCTATATTAGAACTTTTATAGTAGGGTGCTAAAACAAGCGTATAGACGCTACGCGCGCGTACCACTTAATATACAGGCCTGTTATAAATTAGGAAGGAATACAAAGATATAATAATAAAACTAAAAAATATAGTAATAAAGCCTAATATAGATTATAGAGGACAAAGATATAACCCTAGACCCCTAGAAAGACAATTTCACGATAGTTTATAGGGGAAGGTTAGGGGTATGTAAAGGACTTAGGCTTATACCTAAGCCTAGGTCTAACATAAGATAGACTAAGTCTAACACTACTACTAAGCAAACACACTAGACACCTATAAAAAGGCGTAGAGGGCTTATCTCTCCTTTAAGATACTAAATACTATTATCAACGCTTATTGCATTCTCCCTTAAGGCTAGTCTATAACATTAATATTCTATATGGACGATATCCTATTACTCTATTACTAAAACCACGTAAGCTAAGCTTACAAAGTTATCTAAGCTCTAAAGCAAAGATATACTATAGAAGAAAAGGAATCTGTAAGCTAGTTTCTAGGGGTAAGAGTAATCTAGGATAGAAAGAGATAGATAATAACGCTTATTTATAATAAATATATTAACAAGATTATAAAGAAATTTAATCTAGTAGAGATAGGAAAATTCCCTACTACACTACTATTAAGTAAAGATATTAAAAAGAGTACTAGAGAAGCCACTAAAAAGGAGATTAAGGACTATTAGGAGCGCGTTAGATTAATCCTTTATACCTTAATTATAGTGCGCCCTAATATTGCCTATATAGCCTCTTAGCTCTCCTAATACCTTACTAACCTATCTAAATAACACTTTAATACAGTTAATTAAGTAATTGTCTATCTATACTATACTTAATACTAATTAATCTAATATAGGAATAGGGATCCTAATAAGCTTATAATATATAGTAATACGTTATTTACTAATAATATTAATACTTAGTAATTATTATATAGATACCTAATTACGCTCTTTAGAGGACCTATTATTTAGAAGGCAGCTTAATAAGCAATAGTTACTACTTTAACTACTAAGGTAGAGCTCCTTGCGCTTAAGTAAGTAAGTAAAGAAGTAATAGCGTTAAAACGCTTTTTAACTAAAATACACCTTACTTTAGATACTACCTAAATAATTAATTATAATAATTAATAAACTATTAGGTTAGTAGTAGGTAATAATAAAAGGATTACTACTAAGCTACGCTATATAGACATTTAAAATATATAGCTTAGATAAGAATATATAAAGGGATCTTTCTATATTACCTACTTACCTACTAGTAATATACTAGCTAATAGGCTTACTAAAAACCTAACTATATAATAGTTTATAAGGTTTAGGGAGCACTTAAAGTTATATAATAATAGAGTATAGATTATAGAATATTAATTAAAGTAAGGTAGTATATAAGATCTATTAATATATAATATAAGAATAACTAACTATAGCCTACCTCTCTATTATTAACTAGGTAGCTTCCCTAAGGAGCTCTATTACGCGTAAGAAGCGTGCCTTAGAGTCTATAGGGAGCTACCTAGGTTATTCCTACCTAGGATCTATAAGGGGAACCTTAAAGGAGCTAGAGTCCTTATTTTCTAATAAAGAGCTCTAGGCGCCCTTAGCTATAGAAGTAGCCTTACGCGCAAGCTTAGTAGTAATAGTAGTAGCTTTTACTAGCTCCTGCTACTTAGCCTTACTCTCCTTAAGGAGTACTAAGACCCTCTACTTCTTATCCTTAAGAAGGTCTTAGCTCTTACCTACCTACTTTCTTACTAGGAAGGATAGCATAGAGTATTAGGTAAGCTTAGGGCTATTAGTTTATTAGTATAGATCTTACTAAGTATTATAAAGAAAAAAATTCTTATATAGATTATATATATTAGGATATAGCTATACCTAAAGAAGTACTACTAGTACTAAGTCCCCCTACTAGAAGAGTTATAGCACTTACTATTAGACTTATTAAAGAGTGTAGAGCGTAGATAATTTAGATAATTTTTAGTATAATAAATACTAGGCTCTCTATAGTAGGAGGATCTTAGGGTCTCCTTAGGAGCTAGAGAGGGAGTAGGAGAAGGAGTAGGGGTATTAGGTAGGGTCTAGGGAGGAGCAGGAGCTAGAGTTAGAGCTAGAGTAGTAAGAGCTAAAGTAGGAGTACCCTTTTTTAGCTTCTTAATCTTAACTATAGTAGTAGTAGCTATATACTTAGCTACTATATACTCTATAATAGCCTTATACTTAGTAGTAGTATACTCTTCTTTAGTAGTAGTAGCTTTAGTAATAGTAGCTTTAGTAGTATAGAAGGTAATAAGAGTAGTATAGGTAGAGTAAGTATAAGTAGTAGATTTTAACTTTAACTAAGATATAGGTTAGTAAGAATATAAGTATAGTTTAGATCTTTAGACTTATATAATCTTATAATTTAAGCTATAGTAAAGATTATAGTTAGGTAGATAGAGTTATAAAGCTTAGTCTAAATAATATCTAAGTATATAAGCATAGGCTAAATAAGGAAGGTGTGCTAATTAGTATCTAAAAGGTAAGCTAATTTAACCCTTTAGATATATAACGCTCTAATTAGCTATACTACCTACTAACTATAAGTATAACTATAATAATAAAAAATCTACCTATACCTAGGGGGTGTGTTATAGGAGGGATATTAACTAGATTATAGAGCGTCTTAATCTAATTAATCCTAGTTAATACCTATATATAACCTACTATCTAATTAACTACTAGCTTACTACTAAGTGCCTAATAAAAAGCAGGAGCTCTAGTAAGGAAGGTTTACTAATTATTTACCTTCTAGTAAGGGTAGCTAAAGCTCTATATATATAAGTCTGATTGTAGTAGATACAATCTAATAATCTATCTCCTAAATTATTCCTAACCTTAGTGATCCAGATTTCCACACAGGGTCTAACATAAGCTAACCTAACCCTAACCCAACCTATACCTATTTACCACCCTAGTTAGTGGTACATCGGCGAACATCTTAGTTCCTAGACACTGCCTTCGAAGATTTCCTTTTATATGCTTATATGGAGTATAGCTAGTGAATTAACAGTTGTTAAAATGTAATATTGTTGCACATTGTATTTGTCTCCCTCTGGCTCGACTCGCGATTCTACAATGCACCGTTGATGAAGCTTGAAAACTTTACTTGAACATGGATTCTCAGATCAGAAACGTGATTATTGCTTTTTTTAAGATACGAGCATTCAAGTCAAAGACTATTTTATCAATGGATGATAGACTATGTTAGTGTTCAAGCGATACTTCGTCTCCGATCCACCTAGGCATGTTGGCAATGGCAGTTCGGTCCAAAGCCGAAGATCGGTCGTCCCAAGCTTCGCCGAACCTCAACGGCTAGGTAGCGATAAACCCTCACCACCTACAACCACCAAAAGTCTTCCTATCACGCAACCTCACCCACCGCATGCGCAATACTTTCTCCCCACCAGCTGCCAATCCTACCCCCGACCCCAATTGGCCGCTCTGTCCCCTACCCAACGGCCCAGCATGAACACAATCTCCCCCCCACCACAATTCAAGCGAATATCCGGCCCCAAGCGCGCCCTGGGCGTCGTAGTCGGCATATCCCTCGGTCTGGGCGCAAACGTGCTTCTGGCCTACAGCACCGCGAGCTTCTACACGCGCTCGACGAAATTCGTGCCCTTCGATGTCTCCTCACCCGACCTCACCACGTCTACCTTTCGCAAACACAACCCCGCTGGTAATCCCCCGGTCACCATTGACCACGCGGTCAAGGGGATTCCGTATGGCAAGCTGCCGCAAAAGTATTGGATTACGGGGCGGGATGGACGAATCAGTGTGGATAGGGCGCAATTGACGACGGATTTTTGCAGGGGGGTGTGGGGAGGACTTGCGTATAGGGTGCAGCGGAGGTATTTGGAGAGGAAGTACCGGGCGCTGCCAGGACGAGAGGGACAGCTTTGGGATGCGAAGGAGTTGCAAAAGAGCGATTACGGAGTTGGCACCAAGATAACGGATCATTTCGAGGTGGTGGAGCACAGCGATGACAAGGTCAGTGTTTGCGATTTTGCATGTTGGCATAGGACGGGATTTGCTGACACGATGGCAGGTGATTGTGCGATGTGGAGACTCGCCATTGAACCAGGACCCTCGACCCTCGGACGGCTTGTTTTCGATGGAGGTTAGCACCGACGACGACGCACAAATGGCGACCTTCCATCTCAAGTCGCTGTTTGTGGACACGACACCAGAGGGCAAAAATTCGCAGCCGCTGCCGTGGAACTTTCAATATGCGCATCGCTGGTACACAAAGCTGTGGATGGAGAGTGCAACGCGGAAGTTGTTGAAAGATGCTTAGGCTGGCATGATGAATGAGGAGAGCATCTATGCGATGTGAATGATTGCCATCCATCACGAACTATTATGTACTAGTATTCAAAAGTCCCCGCCAAGTTAACCACGACATGATGCGTCATCCAACCGAAACCATAATGGACGAGGAAGTTTCCTACCCTCACTGAACGTTGTTCTTTTAGATTTCAACACGAGTTCACCGTCGACAAAAAGGACTGAGAACCCCATGCAAACTCTCCAACCAGTCGGCCAACGATCCTATATTGACTTCACTCACACTTTCGAAAGCATGACAGCATCTCTGAAATAAAAATATGACAACACTCTCCGCTCCCCCACCGCACTGGACAAGCCTGCACGTAACATACTCAGCACACAGCATAGAGCATAAACCCCCTCTTCGCCCAGCGACCAGTGCATAGCGAAATGGTTGAAGTGTGACTCAAGTACTTGGAGTACAGTAGAGAATGTGGAAGAGGAAGATCAAGAAGATGAAGTTTAATATTGCACCTAGTACAAATATGGTCCGAACCCAAGCTCCTTTTAACATGTCAACTTCACCCTGTGTCCAGCGTTCTTGCAGTCAAGGGAGGGGGATGGCCTAGTCGTACTTGTGGAGTTCGATAGTGCGGGACTCGACGGTGAGGGTCCGAATAGCGCAGCACATCTCAGCTAGAATCCCCTTGAACAGACAGAAACTCATCATCATCATAATAACATCTCTTTTCTGCATTAGACGAACTACTGTATATGCTATCCAATTATTCCACTACCAGCGATGTCCTCTCGTGACATCTCCACCCATACGAGCAATTTCCCACTACGATCACCTTAAAAGTTTGGGAAAATGAGGCGTAGTGTGAGGGCCGTAGACTTTCGAAAGGACTGGTGTTCACGTGTTGGCATTATGGTACAGGTTGTATCTGTATGATACGTTGCTGTGTAAGTACCATTATCGACATAAAAGAGTTATATGAACGTTATATATTTCGCCCAATTGCTCTTCACTACTTCACAGGTTGTAGATACGACAACGAGTGCGCAAGACATGTACACAATCCCACAAAAATGCACCATGACCACCCCACGCCTCGCTATAACGAAAAACTACCTCAACTTCCCCAGCAAACCCCCTACATACTCTGCGATCCCCAACATCTTCTCCTCCTCCAATCGCCTCCCCACAATCTGCACACTAACATGTGCACCGTCGTAGATATCCGGATCATCTGTGTTCAGCGTCAGTATCGCGCACCTCTCACCATGATATAACAAGGGTATCCAGGCACAAAGACTAGGACATAATAGACAAAGAGAAGAAAAAAACTCACAATCATCCTGAATCTCCTCATCCAACCCACTCAAGGCCGAAAACGCGCCAACACGGCCATCAATTCCCTTGTCCACCGTACAAACCGGCACAACCACACTCGTATAATCCAGCGCATTCACCCAAGTCGAATACCCATAATATGCATACCGCTCCCGTCTCGCGCTCGCAAACGGCGCAACGGGACACACGACCGCGTCCACCTTTCGTCCGCTCCGGCTCGCCTGCGCAGTGCTGGCCCAGTACGCGAGATAGGCTCTGCGCAGACCGCGCAGCTTGCGGTTCGTCGCTGCGATGCGGGAGGCGGTGAATTCCTCGTCCGGGGCTATGGTGTTGTAAAAGGAGACTTGTGGGGGCATGGGTTCACCGGAGAGGGCAAAGGCGGATTTGACGTCGGCGCCTGCGTCGAAGATCCACGCGTTGAAGCCTGTGTCTATGATTTCTTGGTGGCTGGGGGGCGTCCAGGTGAGGACTTCATGGCCGGCATTGCGTAGTGCGGTGACGGTTTGATCGATGGCGCGGAGGACGGGCGGGTGCGGTGTGATGATACCGTCTGTTCGCATGACGGCGAAGACGAGGCCGCCGTCTGAGCCAGTGGCGCGGTTCTGGATGTCTTGCTCGGGATCTGGGCGCCATGGGATTTCGTGGACGGCGGGGTCTACGTTCCACGGTTCTTGCTGTAGGATGGCCTGTGTGATGAGGCGTAGGGAGGCGGCGTTGGTGGCGAGCGGTCCCACGACGGAGAGAACGGCATTTTGTCCGTCCATAGAATTCGCCATGCCGTGGTAAGGGAGACGACCTGTCGAGGGACGTAGACCGTAGAGGCCGTTGAAAGCAGCTGGGATACGGATGCTTCCACCGATGTCTGTGCCCAGACCTACGGGTGCTATGGGGCTATCAGTTCATAGAACATATACTCACTCATGGCTGACAAGGGATAGAAACACAAAAGAAGAGAAGAAAGAAAACGTACACCCTCTCGCCCCGATCAAGGCACCCTCTCCCCCACTGCTCCCCCCGGCCGTCAGTCTCTTGTTCTTCGGATTCAGCGTATACCCTATGATATTGTTCACCGTCTCGCCAGACATCAGCGTAGCCGGCACACTCGTCTTGACATAGAGCACTGCGCCCGCCCGCCTCAGCAACTCCACCATCTCACTCTCGACCACCTTTTCGTTGCCTGTGCCCTTGACCCCCTCAAAAGTGCCCAACCAGCCCACATACCCCATGCTGGTTTCTACGCCTCGTACGTGGAATTGATCCTTGAGCGACACGGGGACGCCGTGCAAGGGGCCCACAGTTCGACCGTGGGTGGCGTAGTAGGCATCTAGTTCCTTCGCCGAGGCAATTGCAGCGTCGAAGAAGATCTCATGCAGGCAAGAGAGAAGTTGATGAGCTAGGGAGGCGGCGTGGCAGAAGGCGAGAGTGACGGATTCAGCGGTCCAAACACCTGCTGCGATTTTGGAAGCAATGACATTGGCGGGGGACTGAGTCATTGTTACTTCAGAGGAGGTGAGGAATCGCTGCATGTATGTTGTTACATCCGGTTGTTCTTCTACAGTGGGGATGGTGGTGAGACGCCATTCAGGTGGTATGGCAGCGAGTATGGACTCGCGCTTTGCTTTGGCGCTGGCTTCCCAAGTGGCCGTCATGTTTTCTTGCAAGGCGGAAGCTTGTTACAGCTTACAAAATGGTAAAGATGTTATACGGGTATGGATAAAAGAAAAGGGGTACCGGCACAGATGGCACATGGTGCTCACTATATGCCTGTCTCTCTATCAGTACCCATGCTGGTGGAGTCGATTACGCAGCACCAATGTTGCGGAAGCGGGTGATTGATAGCCGCGGTGTACTAGGGATACGATCCAATGGCGGGCGAGGTAGCTGCGACGTCTCTAAGTCATCTGGGTTAGGTATTTTCGCATTCGTGGGTTGTCGAATGATAGCAGTTGATGGACGGGAAGAAGGAGGGGTAGTTGGAGTAAATTGGGGTAAGATATCGATAACGGTGATACACCGGACATAAGGCGTACAGCAGATCAAGGTGTTTCGATCTCTGTCTGATGTTGTAGCAATGCATAACAGTTTCCCTTGTACCTATCAATGCAGTCATCAACTTGAGTGGAGTAGACCGTCCCAATTCAACAATAATATTTACCAGGTCTAAGAATATGAAGCTATGGTGGTATCTTCCGTGCGAATGTCAGTCAAGTGCGTCAAATATGCCAAAAGAAATTCGTCAAAGATACCAAAACAGGCCGGATGCAGAAGAATGAAACTTGCGACGCTCGCTCAGCTCAGACAGTCTCGACGTAGTTACTGAAGTCCATGGTCAGCTGATACCCATCCAGGCGGATTCCATCAATCACAAAGAACATACCTTGGGAATATACCCTCCCGGTCGCCTATCCTACCCGTCCACCAGTCCGTCTCGTTGTCTGTTCTCTTCAGAATGGTGATGACCTCGCCCTTCTTAAAGGCCAAGTCGCCGGGCTGATCAGCATCAAAAGTAAACTTTGCAATGGCTTGATCTGAGCCCAACCCCGCCTTCTTCTGACCAAACACTGGTTTCGGCGCCGTCGGCCGTCCAGGCTTCCGATCACTATAGCTGTAGTCGTCGTTGAATGTCGAAGCACGCCCCCTGCTCTGCATGGTATCAAAGGTCTCATTCGGGTTGGCGCGCGTAGAGAAGGAGCGGTTGATGTTGCCTGCAGACGAGGGTTGGCGGTCGTAGACATCGTCGGCCCAGGTGGCGCGTTTGGGGTTGTCGGTATATTGGTATTCGTTGTTGTTGGCATAGCCCTGGCCCATGGAGCCTGTTCGGTCGCGTCGCACGCCCTCGCCCATGGCCGAGCCCTGGCGCCCCTGCCATACCACATTGTCGTGCGAGTCGTCGTATACGGGTATGTCGTTGTACATGGCGTCGTTGGTAACGTTGGCTGCACCTCCCACACCGGCAAAGACGCGCGAATTGAGGACGCTGAGCAGCGGGGCAGCGGCAGGTGGGGGTGGGACTTGCCCGCTCAGCAGCTCTCGGGCGGTCCAGCGGCGGCCATACAGCTTCTCATTGGCGTCTCTCCGCTCGATGATACCGCTGCCTTCCAGACTGACGCCCGCAAACAGGCCCTTGGTCTTGCTGTAACTGAAGATGCCCGCGACGCTCTTCAGACTGGCTGCGCCGGCTGCCTCGGCATTGCGCCCGACCGGCCCTGCGGCGATGGAGACGTTGCCACCCAAAGTCAGTGAACCTGCCTGGGCAAACGTGCGGACGGCCGAGGCGTCGTTGAGGATGAAGACAAAGTCTGTGAGTTCAAAGCCAATCTGGCCACCAAAGCCGCCGCCGATGGTTCCGATGGCTGAGGGCGCCGACCAGGAGCCGTCTGCGAGGCGGGCGACAACCACACCCGAGCCGAATCGGGCTGTGCCGAGAAAGCCAGCCTTGAAGACGGTGAGGATAGCGAGGCCCTGGAGGATGGATAGATGTTAGTATATATGCTGCACTGTGTGCAATCCACGGTCTTGTTGACAAAGCGGTTCCTCCCCAAAGGCGCTGCCGGAACAGGCGGCAATGGGCACATGATGCCCTCCAACAAGTTACCTGCGCGACTATCACAAGAAACAAAAATCATCCACTTTGTATCCTCACCTTTGCATTGGCAAGCACATTGGGCGGAATAATCTTGTCAGGACCAAAAGCTTGCCGAGGATCAACAAACGAAGCCAGAATCTTGCCCGTCTTTTTGCATTCGTCTGTCAGCTGTGTGTCAGCCAAAGGAGATGGTCAAAAGGTGCGGCGACAGCTACGTCACCGCAGGGCCCGCCATGGCGCAATCCTGGCTGGTCACAAAGAAAGGGCAAGACATACTGCTCATGGACGAGGGCAGCGGGTTGTTGAGGCTGAAGCCCATGGTGAAAGCCGTGTGTCTGTCTGGGAGGGAGTCTGGATGGGAGGGCGCAAAGGGAATGTGGTAGAGAGTAGAGTAGGTAAGTAAGTAAGTAAGTAGAGGGGGGTTAAGGGTGAGTAGCAGAAGGGTTCTGGTCTGTTGTGCTCCTTCGGCTTTCGGAGCAGGCTGATGGGCAAAAGTGTGGCTGAGTCCCCGCGTCAGCCAAACACGGCCAAGCACGCGCCTTGGCTGCTGGACAGACGCGCAACACTTCACCAAGCAGCAGAGACTTGACATGGCTACTAGGAGTAGAGTCCTCTAGAGTACTCTTCTGTTCTATTCTAGAGCATTCTTCCTACCTGCTACTCTACTCTACCATGATGATGCACACAGTAGAGTAGTAGCCTCTCTACCCTACACAAGAATGCACTTGGCATCACCCGACCCGTTGAACGCGTCTTCTTTGCCACCACAAGCCACTGCTCGTTGATGCCATTCTCTTCGTCATCTTCACTGCCTCCACCGTGCCCTACGGGACCGCGTCCTGTCTTTGCAATGGCATTTCCTTTTCCTTTGCCCTCACCCCGCCTTCTCCTTTTATTGTTCCTTTGTTCCTTCTTCTTTCCTTGTTCGTTCCTTCTTCTTTCCTTGTTCGTTCCTTCTTCTTTCCTTGTTCGTTCCTTCTTCTTTCCTTGTTCGTTCCTTCTTCTTTCCTTGTTCGTTCCTTCTTCTTTCCTTCGTTCTTTCCTTCCTTTCGAGCCTCTACCCTACTCAGGCTGCACCTACCTGACTAGACGAATACGAGATGCCGTCATGTGACCGCGTGCTCGACTAGACTCCTCCGCGGCCAACCCGTGCAATCTCCTCTCACCCACCTCGGCCTTTCAGAAAGAACAAAAAAACTTGTTTTTGCTGCCTGGAATCTGCCACAACACATTCCCCATGATACCTGACTACCCTTCCCCATTCAGCCCCTCGATCTATCATCAATCCAATGGGATCGCATGATTAACTTTCCAACAACCCAGCGGTAGCCAAGAACATCATCTTCCCTGAATGGTATCTCTACCACTCGGCCAGGGTACCCCTGCCTCTGCCAACCTTCTATTTTGGTCCATCTCCCCGCATACTCGAAACTGTGACCGAGGACTTGCTACACCAAAGACAGCCAATATGACTGTGAAGGTGACTCTTCCAAGTCTGTACAACCAAGTCTCCGCTCAACACCTCAAGGGTCAGTGAAGCGGTAGAGGTCATCTTTCCTCGTCACCATGCTAGCCACCTCATCTCTGAAGTTTACACTTCATGTCCCATGTCTTGGGTATTCTGACATGTCTACTGAGTCTGTCTTTGGCTGTTAGTGGCATGGTGCATTGGAACCCATTCAGCGGCCTCGTTCTCCGTGGCCTAGAGCGTCCCCTTACATGAGCGCAGAAGTCATCCCTCGCCTCTCTCTTTGTCTGGTTTATCAACTTACGTCTTATACAAGCCATAATTCGAAAGAGATATAAAGTAGTTGTGCAGTCAGGCAGACATATCCCATCACGAGAGCAACCTCGACAGACCGCCATCATGACAGCCGAAGACTCTCTCCAGCTCTGTCAACCCCCCAATTTCGACCTATCCTGCCCCGCACACGAACCTCCCGTCGGCCAACTCGCCTTGGATTTGAATGCATTCACACTTTTACCCACCACTATCGCCATCTCCGTCATGTGCAGCATCCTTATCCTGGCCGCCGTGTCGATTCGCATCTACTCTCGTTGCCATCTGATGCATCAGTTCGCCCTTGAAGATTATCTCATGATCCTAGCCACTGTCGGCTTCTTCGGCTTTCTGGGCTGCATGTTCGCAACTGCACCCTTCGGCCTTGGGAAGCACATGTGGGACTTCACTCTTGGCCAGGTCCTTGCCCTACTCCACCCCGTCTATGTTGGTCAGATCATAAACTGCATCCACATTGCCTCGGTGAAGCTCGCCATAGTCCTACAGATCAAGCAGATATTTACGGCCAACTCCGTCTTGAGAGGGTTCATGTACTGGGCTGCTTGGTCTACCATTGTCTTGCTCTCAGGCTCATACATGGCCGTTCTTTTTCTCTGCGTCTTCTCCTGTTTTCCTGTCCGACGTGCGTGGGAGCCGACGGTCGAGGGCTGGTGCATGGAAAAATCTGTGCCTGGAATCTCGGGCGCAACCGTCAATCTAGTAACCGATCTGGTCATGCTGTCGTTGCCCATTATCGGCGTTGCCGGACTACAGATGCCGCCCAGCCAAAAAATTGCGGTGGCGGCCGTTTTTGCGACAGGTGCCTTGTAAGTCTTGCGTGTCTCATTAGCTTCAACTGACATTAACTCTTTCTACCCAGTGCCTGTGCACTTTCCGCCCTACGCCTCTACTACACCCTCAACAAAAACCTCCAGAACGACTACACATACTGGATCGTTGTGCAAGCCACATGCGCAACGGCTGAATCCACTGCTGTAATGCTATGCTGCTGCTTTCCCGTGTTCCCACGTTTCTGGAAGTACGCAAGGCAGGTCTTCCGTTCGAGGCGGGGGCCTGCGGCTACAGGAAGAATAAGTACTACCCAGGATATGGGCGGTAGCTACTGTATGAGGAGTGGGCAAGCCGATGGGCAGCGCAGATTGGATTGTTGTCATAGTAGTACGCAGTGGAGTGATAGTAGCAGAGGTGAGGATCTGCGAGTTGGGAGTAAGGAGAGAATTATTGGTATTGCGTAGGGCTCAAGGGATGTATGGGGAAAAGACAGGTGGGCCGTGCAGGATTGTGTCTGAGTGAAAGATGAGGCCTTTTGATATTTTCTGGCTGCGGACAATAGTACTATTTGCGGAGATAGGTATTCTGAGCATCAGCAGCGACCGAAGTATATCCCTAATGAATTTAACATGACAACAGCCTATAACTATGGGTATTGATGCATGTCTGTCATGGTCGAGAAGAGCCCCAGACCAGTTAGGTGGTACAGGCGGCTTTGGCTCAGCCCTATCGGCAATACGCTGCGACTTATAGCCGCAGCTTACGCTATCTGGAACCCCACACGCATCACAGCGCTGACATCAGCATCATCATCCTGTACATCGTCCCACCGATTTCGACTTCTAGGTACATCGCATTCAACAAAGAACAACTGGCTGAACACGCCCAAGATGACGGAGCTTCTTGATCTATGCTACGATGTCCTAATACGAATCCTAGAAGAAATCAATACCGAAGATCTAGCGGCCTGTGCACTTACCTCGAAAGCCTTCCATGAATTCATCAAGAAGAACTCAAGACTCTACAAAGCGCATTATCTTCGGAACTTTGTATGACTGAATGATGTTGTGTAAACATGTGCAGGGCTTGCTGACTTGTCCTCAAGGACGATCCGCGACGAAGACCGGGTGATCCGGACCCGGAGTGGATAGGGGATTTACAGAAGCTTGTCAAGTGTCGGAAGATACTTGAGAGTGCAAATAATGATGTCAAGGTCAGCCAAAAGTCCCTCTGTAAACACACAAAATCAAGAGCGAGACTGATGATCAAATCGCAGCGCGACGAGTTTGATTTTGTTGCAACTACCGTGGACAGTCTGATTGCGTCGGCTTCGGCGGACGAATTCGGCGAGTCACGCAACCAGAAACTAATCACACAGCTCTTCCAACACATCCAGCAAAACCACGATGCATTCATGTGCCGCTCCTCCCTCTTTGGCCGAGTGGAGAAGTGGAATCACAGGCCTGTCCAAGACCATGAAGGCCGACAGTTGAGTGCGAAGCTACATTGCATGTTTGGTATCCCGGCCACGAATGCTGGCCGAAGAGTGCTCCAAACCCACCCCTATGCTCGATCGCGCGTCTACGACCTGCGCAACTACAATGAGAAGACGGCGTGGGGACCCTTCCGTAATGATGGTAGCATGCGTGTTGATTGGGAAATGGTGGAGAGCATAATGGTCGTCTTAGCCTACAACTCTGGCCTTTGCTGTCGACGCTTCCTTCAGCGATTCCGCCCACCGTGGTCAGAGCCCCTGGAAGGCGTGATTCCAGATCGTGCAAAGATCATGCCAGAGTATCCCTTGAAATTGCTCAAACAGCCGGACATTCCACTGCAACTCAAGGACCCGTACAACATCTCCGGAATCTGGTCGCGGGTAAGCCTCATGATCTCGTCGTGTGTGCATGCAAATTTGAACACGGGCCTAACACAAGACATCAGGTCGTCTGTTTCCTAGACTACAACGACCTCTACACCTTCAATTTCAGCCCCGCAGCAACCAGAGTTCCAGCCGACCAACCCCGAGACACACTGACCACCGAAGAAGCCACCCGCCACATCATCATGGACCTCCAAGTCACCGCCGTCCTGGAACCAGGCGAATTCGACAACCCCAGTCTGCCTATTGTCGAATTTACAGGGAAATCCCGCTCTGTAGAGGCCCATTGGGATCCAAACGCGAATTCCAAGATTCGCGGCTCTGTGCGTCTGACACAGGAGGGTGAAGTGCGGTGGAAGACCATCTCTGTGTTTTACGGGTAAGTTTGCAACCCACGAATAATGTCCCCCCTTTTTTGTCTCTTTCGTCCTTTCGACTTGACTAACACAGAGGTCAAGTGGTGAAGAGCGCTGGCGCAGCGACGGCATCCAGGTCGGCGGCCTGAGGTCCCAGCGCGGTGTCATCGGTACCTGGTTCGACAAGGACTACGATGAACATGGTCCAGCTGGCCCGACTGTGTTTTGGAAAATCTGCGATCGACACCATGACGAGCCGTATGACGATGATTCGGAGGATGACGAGGAAGAGGAGGAAGGGAATTGGCATTTTTGAAGTGGTGGACGGTATGTGAAGGCCGCATAGTTGCAATCGTGTTTTCAAAGAATAATCAAGTTTGAAGCACGGATATAGAGCGTGTGGCGTATTTGATCCCCTCTAGATACACTTTTTTCACTCCATGTAAGCGAGCATTCAGTAAGTTGACTAACTATACAATTAACACCCATCCATCTTTAACTTCACCCCTATCCCTCCATATTCTTCCATTTTACATATTGACATACCTCCACGCCAACTCATCAGCCCGACATCCCTCAACACTCACCTCCACCACCACCCCAGGCACAACATCGAACCCATTATCACTTAACCTCACGCCCTTGCGCTCGGCAAATACAAACCCCTTGACCGGTCTAGCAGCCGAAACATAGACTCGCGATTGGTCGTCTGAAGAGCGAACCGAGATTCCGCGGTCCGGGAACGAGAGGTATTTGATCGGCTCGGGCCAGGATATGTCGGTTGCGATGGGCTTGCCGTTGATGGAGAGAGAGACGTGAATTACAAAGGGGCATTTGAACCCTTCATACCCGGCTCCAACTTCGACTTCGGTTCCGCCATCGCCAGCGCTCGTGCGAATAACATCCCTCATTACCTCAGTGACACCATTCCCTACAATCCGCACCCCGACCTTCTTCCCCGGACAACACTCCCGCCCACTCCCCACAGCAATCCACCGCACCTCCACTTCCCCCTCCCCCTCCCCGCCCCTCCCATCATCAGCAACCCAAACCGCATACTCGACCCTCTCCCACAACCCCAGAACATCCACATGCCCCGTTTCCCGCTGCCACCCGTCCACTGCCGGCCTCACGCTAGCACTGCGAAAGTTGCGCTGCACGCCCACCGTCACGGGCGCCATTGCGCGCTTGATAGCGTAGAACGCGGGCTTGGGAACGCCGAGGTAGTCGACGACAGCCCAGGAAATAGTGGGCCAGCAGTCGTTGAGCTGCCAGACAAGCACACCGCCACACTGCCGCGACCCAGGCGCGCCAGAACCCCATTGTCGGCGCCACCCCCTGTACGCCCAGCTCATGGCGTCGGCCTGCATAATTTGCGTCAGATGGGCAAAGGTCTGTAAATCGTACGCGAGGCGGAAGTTCTCGGCCACATAGGCTAGCAGTCTGCGCTCGTGGTTGATGGCTTTGTTGCGGGCGTCCATGACTAGGGAGCCTGGGTGCTGCTGGTCGGGGTCAGTGATGTAGGGTCTCAGGCTGGAGAGCTGTGGGTATGATTCCATGCCGAATTCGGAGACGAAGCGGCCGCCGAGGTCGGGGAGGTGTTGGTAGGGCGACATGGTGCCATGCCAGATGTTCCATTGATGGATGTCGCCGATGGTTGGGTCGACTGTTACCACGGTCGATGTTCCGTTGCCAAAGGGCGAGCTTGGGTGGTAGGGTATCTGTGGGGATTCCGAGCGTGTGAGGTTGGGTAGTAGGTATTCGTAGATATAGCGAGCGGGAAAATCCGTGTCGAGCCAAGACTGGGGATCGTGGTCGTCGCCGTCGTAGGTCAAGTTGTACTTTTCGCGGATCTGGTAATCTTCGTTGTTGCCGGCCCAGATGACGAGGCTGGGGTGGTGTCGGAGTCTGCGGACGGCCTGGGTGGCTTCGAGGATTATGCTGGAGAGGTAGGACGGGTGGGTTGGGTAGTTTGCACAGGCAAAGGCAAAGTCTTGCCAGATGAGGATGCCGAGTTCGTCGGCGGCATTGTAGAGGGCGTCGGCTTCATAGATTCCGCCGCCCCAGACGCGGAGCATGATTTGGTTGCCGCTTGCGGTGAGTTCGACCCAGTCGCGGTAGTCTTGGGCTGTGATGCGTGTGAGGAATGAGTCGGCTGGGATCCAACAGGAGCCGGCGCAGAAAATTTCGATGTTGTTGATGCGAAAGTAAAATGATATGCCGTGGCCATCTGGCTTTTGAACCAGTTCCACTTTACGGAAGCCGAGCTTTTGGGTTATAGAGTGATAAGGTATGTCATCCCCTGATGTAGATACACCCATTGCCTGCACCTGCACTTCATAAAGATGCTGCGAACCGTATCCGAGTGGCCACCAAAGATTGAGGTTGTCGATATTAAACGTGTGTTCAACCTGGCCTGAAGCACTTTGACTATTCACTTCGACCAACTTCTTTCTAATGACCTCCTTTGTGGTGGTATCAAGAATGCCAACCAACAACTTTTCCACGGGGCCATCATGCTGAACACTCAGTTTGACAGCCGTAGACTTCAGATCGCCACTCAGTTCATAATTCACCCAGAGATCAGAAAGCCGAGTGGTATACGTCTCAAGGCAAATGGGCTTCCAGGGTCCGCAGGTCATGAGAATAGGGCCCCAGTCCCAGCCCCAGTGATACTGAGCTTTACGCACCGGCCCACGAGAAATTTCCGTCTGATGTACAATATACCGATGAAGATTTTCATGTTTTCCGACTAGTTCGAGCCCCTTTTTCCGCGCAGACTCGAAGATGATTTCTAGCACATTTGCCTCCTGTTTGAGCTTTGCGGAAACATCGACGCGGTGTTCTATGAACATGTTGTCTGAGACGAGGATTTCTTCACCATTGAGATGGACCGTGGCGAATGTATCCAGTCCCTCGAACTTTAGCATCGTCGTGACATTCGGTAGTGAATGGTCCGGAGGCGCTGCGAAAGTAGTTCGATATGTCCATGTTTCATCGCCCACCCAGCGAACCGAGTGCTCGTTTAGATCGACAAAGGGGTCAGCGATTCGTCCGTGTTTTAAGAGATCGCGATGGATTTCTGTTGGCAGATTGTTTGCTTCAGCGTACTCATTGCTCGATGTCAGATCGCCTTGCTTGAAAGCCCAGTCTGTTTCTAAGTAGGTGGACGTGAATGGAGCAGATTGATGGCCTTCCATTGTGATTGATAAAGACTGGTAATATGGACAACAGACCGGATGGAAGTCATGGGTGAAGACATCGTTGCTGTTGGAGACTCCATGTGGGTCGCTCGGTATAACTCTGAGGTAGATTGAAGTGCGGGGTTACCCAATGTAGTATACCCATTACCTACACCAACCCACTGAAACACTAACCTCTTTGGACACGGAGGGGAAGCATGCAGTGTCTCCAAAATATCGACAACATGACCGAATGATTCATCATCTCGTGCTGTAAGAGAGTGTTGTATGATGTTCGTACTACATACTTGAACGCTTCGTATCACTCCAAAACTTCAAACCCAACCAGATCAGGGCCCAGTCCGCTGCGGAATCCTGCAAAAATCACTGTGTTGTTGGAACCCACTGTGAAGCCATCGACTTCGACGTTGAGACGACCGCTTTCTTCCCAATTACCGCCCGAGAGAGGAAACGCCCATCGCTTGGCTGCCCCGCCATTGACGGCGATCGTCATGTTTCTAATGTTGTCACCAAGCTCCCATGCCGTGGTGAAGGCGTAGTCGTAGTTGATAAAGTCGACTCCCAGCAAAGCCTTGCCCTCTGAGCCGGAAAGGACGTTTGAAAAGGTCACACTGGAAGCGGAAGTGATATCCCCAACCTTCGAGCCGGTTGGCAGACAAGCGCCTGTAGCACATTGCACAGCACGTGCACCACCCGATGTTGTGGCATTGCTAGCCGCGTTGTACGAAGCGGACTTGAGAGCTTCGGCTGCAACAATGTCTGAAAGAATCCAGAGGCGTAGCTCATGTCCAGCCAATTCGATGTTCCGCACTCCAGCAACAGCACCGAGCTCCTTCGCAGCCCACACGTCGCGCGCAGTAGCCGATGCGATTCCTAGCGACTTCAGGTCGACTTTCACGCTCTGAGTGTCGTTCCTCCAGTTTGCAATGCCCAAGACTTTCCTGGAATCGGAGAGATCGCCTAGCCAGACGTCCCACTCCTCTTCGGAGTACCGACGGACGAGTTGAGCTGATTTTGCGAGAGCATCTTGGTTAATTGAAATGACTTCTTTATTCATCATGATGTCCAATGAAGTCTTGCTCATTCTGGATTCATCGAGAGCCGCACCGATGATGAGAGGTGATTTGTTGATCGCCCACATTCCAAAATGAAAGCGCTCCTCTTCAGCTGAAAGCGCGTTCAATCCTATACTGCTAACGATTAGTTTTACCCTGACCACGCTGTGGTTAACTTACATCATCATGTCCATGTCTGCAAAGGCTCCCACGGTTGTGTGTCGGAAATATGGGACTACTTGGTTGGTGATGCGCCAGATACTACGCCACGCATTGTAGATGTCGTTGCTAATCCTCCAAGTATTCCCAATCTCGGCAGACCATTTCCCTACATCGGTCCCGATTCCCCATTGGCAAATATAGTAGCGTATATCGCGCTGCACTGCTTCCAACTCCGCGGCCATGTGCTGGAATCGTGCAGGAGACTGAGATTCCTCAGAACTGGAGTCCACCATGGTCGTGTTTGAGGTCGAGTAGCAGTTGTCATATCTGGAGTTTGTCAATACTATAATATGAATCATGTATTTTGGGAGCCCATACTTCAAACTGTCTCCACCCCACTCAGCAAAGCTCTCAGCGTCTAATTTTTCGTACCCCAAACTTGCAGGCAGATCCGTAGACCCGCACTGTAGATATCCTGCACCAGAGTAGAGTCCAAAGGCCAGTCCCATCCCATGGAGATAATCGCCGAGCGCTTTACCTCCTGAAGGGAAAAGCGTAGCGTTCCATTGTAATCTCCCTTGCTCATCTCGATCTCGGGCAGGCCAGCCACAATCCACTGTGACAGAGTCGTACCCAACCTTGTCCAGACCAAGCCTGACGATCCCCTCAGAACTTTGTTTGATCTTCTCTTCGGAAACGGAGCAGCCCCAGGTGTTGTAACTATTCCATCCCATCGGTGGGGTAGGAGATCGTACCGTCTTCGCTGCAGCTTGGAGCGCAATGCTCGCAAGGACTACAACCAATGCTTGGGACATTTTTGCATCGATAATGGAACAATTATTTTACAGGTTTACTACAAGTCTCTTAAATATAGTCATTCGATGCGGGTTTTCTTAGCAGACGTCATGGGCATGAGACCCAGGTACTCGCTAAACATTCCACCGAACGTTTTGGTTGTGCAACGGAGAAATTGACAGTCGCTCAATATGTGATGAGAATTAATGACTGTCATCAATACGAATCATGTTTAAAGAATTGAGAGGATTGTCAAGATTCTCACGGCGATCCTAGACCTGCAGAGGGTGCTCATGAGGGGAAAATCGGAGGTTTCGCCGGCCAGCAGGGGTTCCCTGGGATGATCATGTAGCCCCCGCAAAGTTGTCGGGGTAAGAGGAGAGAGGCTGGCAAAGCAGCTTGTTCTCATCACATGATGCCGAACGTGCCTGATCGGAGAAAGCTCGCATATGACTCGACTGCGCACATCACATGTTTCCACGAAGGTACGATGTTCTCAAAGAAGCAGCTGTCATGAATGCCATGTGCCGGCAATACGTCAACGCATAAGAAAATCGAATCTTCTCAACTACTATCGGGCATGGTAGTCCTATAAAACAAAATGGTGCTTAAACTTTCACTACAGAGTTTGGTTGCCCATCTGCGTATCCAGTGTCAGAAGAACTCGAGAGGAAGCAAGAGAGACCACTTACCCCCCATCAACTCGACAAAGACCTTGTCATCCTCTGCCATTAAGCTCGCATCTAGACAAGTCGTCAGTATTTCCTTTAAAGCGAAAGATCCAATAATCTACACATACTTGCGAATTTGATCTTGTATTGATTTCCATCTTTGATTGCTACGGCTGGTTGAGCGCGTTCAGCACTGTCCGTGCCCAGTTTGAACCACAGAATCTTCTTCGGCCACAGACTACGGTCCTCGGACTTGTTGCGTCCAAGAATCCAGTCGCCAGACTTCAGTTGATTGTTTTCAAGTGTGAATATGGCTGCATTGTCTCCGAGCGCTGCTTGAACAATGGCCTCTTCCTCACCGTGAGCCGGAGCAATGGCTTTACCATCAATCTCGATTTTGAAGGGGAAGTCAAGACTGTCCATGATTTCTAGTGAGAACGAACTGTAAAATAGTGAGCAAAGAAGGGCGATATCGAGGGTACAGAGGAGAAAGGGCCGACAACGGGATCCAGCAAGCACGCGTGGTAGTACCAAGCATGGTTGCTCTAAAAGTTGAAAGACGCAAAGTCAACTGACAACTACTATTGCTGTTGGGGATGAGCAGAATACCGAAATCTGCTCCTTGGCTTTCGAAAAAGAAAAGCAGAGACGCATAGAGCGCGTACGGACTTCCACTTTGCAGTGCATGTGAGAGTGAGAGTGAGAGAAGGCTTGGTCACCTACCTTTGTGGGGAACAAGGCCGATGCCAATTGCCTGCTAACAACAACAACAACTGATCACGACTCTGATTCTAGCTGTTCCATTTCATTACAAAGTGGAGTGTTATGTTGTCGGTGGAGAAGGCATTTCCCAAGGATCTGGTATCACTGATAGTCACATGTCCGATGTGGCAAAGTCACCTCGGAAACAGCGACAGGGGTGGGTGCCAAGCTTTGTGGTAAGTCTTAGCTTCCTATTGGGGTTAGTGAGATTCTAAGAACGCTGTCTTGGTGATCAGTGACCATGACCACAGCCGCTGGGATCATTACACTTATCGGCGCCTAAACTTCCGGTCAGGTCGGTGATGTCCCTAAGTCGGCATTGCCAGTGCAAATCTCATTCGTGCTCCATGAAAGCAGTACCGTGAGTACTTTGGATAACTACCAGAGTGTAGTAGTTGAGTATGAAACCTTACCGTACCTACCGGTACCTACTGCAATGTCTATCCTCTTAGCCCTGCAAAGTCGACGATTCGATATGCAACAATGTGCCAGGCTGTAGCTAACACGTCACACGACTGCTGCCCAATCGGGCTTATCCCTGATACTCCCACATGAATGAGTACATTAGCATGATTCCGCCTACTACTTAGCCAAGACTCCAGTTGATCCACGCGATCGATGTGTGGAAGGTCGTTACACAAGTGACTACCCCTGTTTACTTACTACAAGCGCCGCCTACTATGACGATCTTATCGCAACCTGTTAATCAGATCTTACAGGCCAAGATAACGCACTGTAATATGGACGAGGTCCACTATAGGTCGCCTTCTCCATGAAGACCGGAAATATACAGTGAACAGCCTTCGGGCTCCGCCGCTGGTCCTCCACGGGGTGACTCTCAGCCCCTTATGCATCTATGCGGTTTCATTCGCGACAGCAGTGAATGATGTCTCTGTGGCTTAGCCAATGATGCTGTGTAGCCGCTGGACAAGGCTAACATCTGTGCCCTCCCGCAATGGATGAAACCACAGTCTACAGCTGACTCGACCTTCAAAAAGAGCAGCACCCCCTCGGGAACCACAAGGGGTGTGAGATAAGCGCATGGTTCATGTCCGTATGTGGTGTATGCCGAAGGATAATTGGAGAAGATGGACGCTTACGCGAGATAACAGGAGTCCTCAGTCTGCTATCGGTAAGTTTAGTTCTGAAGTACAAAGGACGACTACGCTTGGGTAGCTACCTACCTTAAGGGACTCTAGTCGTCATGTATGCCAAGTATAGAATGTAATCCCAATGCAGAAGGCACTCGACAGCCCTGGTCCAACCACGGTGGTGAGGTTGACATGGCAGTGTTGCTAGAGAAGACAACATCGACATCAAGGGGAGGCTGGACAGGTACAAATATGGAGGCTTCAGCACCTCCTAGAGAACCAGCCAGTCACTCAACTCAGTAACTTCAGTCGCTTCTCTCTTCTCTCTTCGAGTCCACGCCAGTCGCTCTTCGCCAAACAACCATCACCATGCAGATCAAAGACCTCGTCGTTGCCCTTGCGGTTCCCGCCATCTGCATTGCTGCAGCTATTCCTACTCCCCAGGACCCGGTTGAGACCGAGTTCCCTGAGGAGAGCCAGGAGGACATTGTTGGAGGAACCGCTGCTGCCGCAGGAGAGTTCCCCTACATTGTCTCTCTTCAGAGGAGTGGCTCCCACTTCTGCGGTGGTTCGCTCTTGAACGGCAACACCGTCGTCACCGCTGCTCACTGCGCCGTTGGCCTTTCTGGTACCGCCGTCACCGTCCGCGCTGGCTCCAACGTATGTCTATAGATTCACAGAGTTCAAGTCTAGCAGCTAACATAAGCACAGAGCCGCACCTCCGGTGGCGTCACGGCCAGGTCCTCCTCCATCGTGATCAACCCTGGCTACTCATCCTCTACCTTTGACGGTGATGTTGCTATCATCAAGCTCTCCACCTCCATCCCCACGAGCAACACCATCAGCTACGTGAGCCTCCCGGCCGCTGGCTCCGACCCCGCTGCTGGTTCCGTTGCAACTGTTGCTGGATGGTCAGTCGTTTCCCAGCCCCGTACTTGAATCCGCAACTAACATAGATGACAGGGGAACCCTCACCTCCGGCAGCCAGAGTCTGCCCGTCAACCTCCAGAAGGTTGATGTCCCCATTGTTTCCCGTACCACTTGCCGATCCAACTACGGCCAGTCTGCCATCACCAACAACATGATCTGCGCTGGTCTTACCCAGGGCGGAAAGGACTCTTGCCAGGGTGACTCTGGCGGCCCCATTGTCAGCTCCAGCAAGCAGCTCATCGGTCTCGTTTCCTGGGGTGATGGCTGCGCTGCGCCCGGAAAGCCCGGTGTCTACACTCGCGTTGCTGCTGTCCTTTCTTTCATCAACGCCAACTCGTAGATTGGGTTGTGAAAAAGCTTTCATGACGAAGAGAGATGAATCACGTGCACGATGGATATGAGATGAAGTGGAGGAAGCGCTGAGGCTGAGTAGTTGTGCCTCGCGCATCGACTGCTGTTACGAACTGCCGAGTTGCTCTGGTTTAAATAGTAGATTCTTGCCATAGTTTTCTACGAATAAAAGATCGTTCGATTACAAATCTTGTTCGGTCTTGGATAGGAATTAGTCAATAGCTTCAACGCATTGATAACTCACACCTCTTCAATTACCTTGGTCTCGTATGTGATACTCCGTCTGAGTCAGGAAACAATTAATGCTCGCAATAAAGCTTCGCTCTGAAATCTTCGGTACGAAGGATCAGCACAGGCATGATAGTCAGGCGGAGGCAATGTGTACAAAAAGATGATTGATGGGACCATTAGGTAGTCTTGATCATCTCACGATAAGTATTGAAACAAATCATGGCAGACCGAGCAAAGAGCAACGAAGTGCAGAAGCTGGGCAAAACAGTTAAAACAAGTATTTTGATTATTCAGATTCTATTCTTGTCATCACGATATTCCTGTACTTTCCATATGCATACAATACTATTCTCGTATTACATTTTAATACAGCTTCTAGACTAGTCATGTTATGAATTCGTCTACTCCGAAGACTGCAATTAATCACGATTAGCACGCTACTATCTACAAGCCTTGGCCACAAACCTATCCTCTCTATACTATTACCCTTATCAATTACCAAAGCCCTTGCAAGTTAATAAACTAGAGGCATTCTGTTATCAACACATTTACAATCATATAAAAATGAGATATCAGTCCCTACAACTTGCTTATATCTAAAATCTAGTAAAATTCCTAACCTTTTTCCACCAGTACACTACAAGGCCCAAAAAAATATCATGAAATTATGCCCTCTATCTCAAGCAAAGAATTATTATATAGTAGTACACACGAAGCCGCAAACACACTGCTGACTTAAATTTCATCTACAACCAAGCGCAAAAATAAACTTCATCACTGTCTTAACAACCTCAACTCTCCGCACCCACCAGCCACCCTCTCCCAGCTCCATCATTCACCTCAAATCCTCATTGGCATTAACATCAGCATCACAAACTACCCCACCTCCTCCCCTCACTTTTCCAAGTCCAAAATCGGCTAGTTATGCCAAGACGGATGAAAGCGCGCTTACAGCCTGCAGCGATTACTCGAATGCACCGCGTGGCTGTTAATGCTGTGTAACATGCCACAGGTTCAAGAATTTAGGGAGGGAAGCGGGGTAATGCAGGTACTTTTACTTGTACCTGTGCTTGTATCACGGGGAGATGTGCCTAGCGAGATATTGGGTGTTGTGCGACCCAAGCGCGTGGAATGGATTTGTTGGGATGGAGTTGGTAGGTATACATAGGAATTATAAGGGTAGAGCGTTGATATGATGGACTCAGAAATGTAGCCTTGGTATTCACTTTTGATTTGCCTGCCTTTGTGTAATAGTTTATGAAAGATAGTGGAATATTACCGTAATCCATGACAGACAGCTCCCACCAGGCGAGACAACCTTCTCCCAGACCCACCGACAGAATTCTAACATTTTTCTTCTTTAAACCTTCTGCTTCGCCATCCATTCCTCCGCCTCTTTCTTGAATTCTGGTATCCATCGCGTTAAAGGCGGCCACTCATTCACAATATCGCCCACACTCCACAGCATACGCTTCTTGTCTGTCTCCTCGCTGACATCGTTGTCTGGACAGATGGTGTAGAATTTCTCCTCTTTCATCTTCTTGTACATGTACTCTGCCACTTGGTCTGGCGTCCATGCGCCGTCTGGCTTGGGGTTGGTGGAGCCTGGTGCGTTCCCAGACTAGATGGGGGTTTCAGCGTCGTGTTCATCAGTTGTGTGGCTATAAATATGGGCGTGAAAAGAGCGGTAGGAAAGAACATAGGGTCGACTCACCAGTCCAGTAAATGTCCATCCGGGAACCAAAAGATGCACAACCACCCCAATCTCTCTCAATCATGGCTTAAATGCTCTGCTAGCGCCTTGAGCGCCGCTTTACTAGCACTATAAGCCGGGTTACCAGGCGGATTCGTTATACCCTGTTTACTCCCCGTAATCACTATTGCCTTCCCCTCCCCCCTCCCCTTCTCTGCCCCCATCCCAGCAAAACTCCCAACATACGCATTCAACCCATTCACCACGCCTTCCAGATTCGTCTCCAAAATTTTCTCAAAATACTCCTCGTCGCCCCACGTGTCCTGGCGCATGATCCCCGCGTTCAACATGAGGAAATGAACGTCGCCGACTTCCTGGCGTAGCGCGGCCCAGGCAGAGCGTGAGCTGACGTCGGCTTTGATACATATTACAGAGCTTGGGGGAGTCTTCGCAGCGTCGTCGAGGCTGGACTGGTTGGATTCGACGATGGTGACGTGCATGGAGTGGGTGAGGCAGAGTTTGGCGACGGCATAGCCTACGCCTGAGGCGACACCTGTGATGAGGGCGCAGGGAGAAGGACGAAAGACTGACACTTTGACTGTTGTTGGAGTTGGGTTTGGGGAAATCGTATGATGGTGTGGATGGACGAGAAAGAGGTGGTTGCTTTAGGGAGTGTTTCTGAGGTCAACGAGGCGTGGCAGATGTATGTTTGCGTTCAATGCTTTTAAAGACGCAAAAACTATGGAGGTATTGAAAATCATCGCTGAACAGCTGCATGATGATGGGCGATATTTACCTCAAGGACAGACTAAACGCTGACTAGGAGCCGATGACGTTTTGTAGTACCCAGCATTTTCCTCAGTCCGCTGCTTATATCCGCATGTTCACTGCAACCGTGGCCGCATGTAGACTTCCAGATATACAACATACTTGCGCGAGAGAATGTACTAGGTGCTTCCAAAGGTATTAAAGGCTATATTAAAAATCACAGGTGTACGCTATGAAATGTCTATAGTGAATGGGGTATCTTGTGCTTCAACATCCTCAGTTCAACAATCTCTCCTCCAATCAGGGTGCTTTACTTCTTTTCCTCTGTGGTCGCAAGTGTACTCAGATCTTCCTTAGCGGTTTCAAATCGCTCCACAGGTGGTCTCTCGGTCTTCTCATCTGTAATGGCCGGGACTTCCATGGAAATGCTGGAGGCCTTAGTGATGATGGGGCTCTCCACATCAGGCTGTTCCTGCAAGGCTTGCTTATTTACCGCATCAGTTGTCAAGCTCTGGATTCCGAGATCCTTCTCTCCTTGCGCTATGTCAATAGCAGGCGGCGTGGCGATGTTCATGCTTTGGAGTGTCACTGTGCTTGCATTGACATCTTGTCCAGCTGGCCCATCTACCTTGAGGCTGAATGGATATGCAATACCACCCTTGAAAGGCCTCGTGCTGGACCCATCTGTAGATGGTATGATTGTAACGGGAGATTGTGGGTTGTCCGACACAATGATGTTTGGAACCTGGCTCGATGGCTCGTTTGGTTCCACAGCCGCCGCCGAGAGTGGCCGTACGACGTTCGGCACATCGTCATTGGAGGTTCCTGTCTGTCCTTGGTCTGTGACTGGACGGTGCCGTGAGTTTGGACGTAAACAGTTCACACGATGAGCTGCAAGAATATTCCTTCTACTGCTCTTCTTTTTGATTTCCTTGGTATCCACTGCGCCATCAGTAGAAGTCGATAGTTGTTCGGGAGCATTATCTGCTTTCTCCTCGCGCACGATCTGTCGCACGTTAGGCCGTTTAAATATCAAACACAGGGCTACTGCACTTACTGTCGCCTTATCGTGCTGGCTTCCCCAGCCACTCCACATTGACATCCCCCAGCTCCGTTTCTTCGACTTCTCAGCTTTCATGCCCTTCAATCTGCGACCGGCGAGCGCAGTCGGGGGCGGCGTCTCTCCTGGAAAACCCTCAAACCCTCTCTTAAGGTCCTTCATGCGCTGTTGCTGTATCTTGATCTTCTGCTTTGCAAATTTGCTGTTCCATTCTTGTTGCGCCTTCATCCACTTACTCACTGGGCCAGGCTTGGGCACACCCACATCCGATCTTGAAAGGTTGAGCGCAACAAGTTCCTCCTTGGGAGGGAGGGGATAAATGTATCCATGTCTATCGACGCGTTGGCGAATCATGTGACATTCGAACTTGGGAAGTGGATCGCCGGCTTTCCCAACCCTCTTGTTCAGCTTGCTTTGTTTATCCCGAGCACTGACTGCGTCCGAACCTTCAAACCTCTCTGATTTTGAACGTTTCACGTCATCAGAGGAAGAAGTAGAGGAGCCAATATTCTCTGAATCGGAGGATCCGCTCGAATCAGTGCTCATGAACGAAATGTCGTCATCCTCCATGATTTCAATAGATTTCTTCTGAGCTCGGGCAAGAGCCCATGCCCCAAATTGTGCGATGCTGCGATACATGTGCTTTGCTGGTCGTGTAAAACTAAGGGTAGGGCACACATGGCAGAGATCGTCCCATACCTGGAGTTGCACATCAGTTGGCTGATATTTAGAAGCCTGTGCTTGAATCTCGTCCTCTGTCTGGTTATTTGAAGGAGGGGGCAAATAGGATAGTGGCTGTGCAGCCTTGTGAGCGATGTAAATCTGTTCATCTCGAAGAAGCTCCCCTCCGCCAGTCTGAATGAGCAATGGCGGAAGCCCACCCAACGTTGGTTGCAGTGCAGGTGAGACAAGCGGATGGGTCAAGCAATGGTTTGGAGCATAGATCTGTATCTGATCCTTGATCTCAACGCGTGAATTTTGATCAAGCTGTACAGAAAGCATACTCTTTGGACCGATACTGTATTTTCCGTCCTTGGAGACCCATATATCAGCTGTACTTCCTGCTTCGGATGTCCCTAGAATTCCGCTCAAGTCAGGCTGGTCTGAGGATCGTATTGAGTACCCTCTCACGCGCTCTGCCTGTGCCTCTTTTTGCGCTGCACGCTCTTCCTTTAAACCTTTTGAGTCATGTGATCCAGAGGAACCCATTTGTGGCGGCTGCACTTGTGGAGTTTGTACTTCTAGTTCAAAAAGATCATCGGCATTAGGAGGTGCTGGGAGGTCTTAGTACAAGGTCAAGAAGTGGCAACAGCTTCCACTTACGCCAACTCATACTGGGTTTGTGGATGAAGCCATGTGACGGGATATAGTCCAGCTTGTCATCGCCCGCTAGACTTGGAAAACTGTGGGTAAGGTCTACCCATGGACTGATCAAGATGGCACCAGCTGGCAGTGCTATGCCCTGATCTCGTAATACCACGAGCATGCTCAATACCATACCACCACCTGCCGAGTCACCAGCGAGAACGATAGTCGAAGGGTCATGCTTCTGGTCAAGAAGATACAGGTATGCAGCGAGACCTACCCTGGTCAGTAGGGCCAGCTGTGTCCCTCATTGGCGCACTTACAATCTTGTAGGCCACAAGGAAATGGATATTGTGGTGCCAACCGGTACTTTGGTGCAAGAACGCGTGCTTTGAGTTTGCGTGCGTGCCTCTGCATCTGGTAGCGATGTTCGTCGACGCTACCAAAGAAGTATGCACCCCCATGCACGTAGAGCATTATACGGTCGCCCTTTGTGATATTCAGCTGCTTCCGGGCGTCATGGTCTTTGCGCATCTCAATCCATTCGGCCTTCAAGTCTGTCCCTTCCCGCCTCCACTGCCACCATGTCGCTCCGCCAACAGCCTTGATGCCCCTTGGACCAAGTTGTGCGGTAATGTGATTGGCAGATTGCTGTAGCTGGGCAGACGGTATTTCGACCTCTTTTACATGAACCCAGTGCGGAACTGGTACCCATTGTGAGGTGAAAGCTTGAAGCTCATCCACTGTATGGAAAGACGCGTAGTGAAGAAAGCGGCGGATAAGTTCGAGACCTTCGTGGTAAGAGATGTGCGCGGTGGGCTTTTGACGCAGATCTTTGCGCTTGAGATAGTGCAACAGATACGTCTGGATGACCGTGGGCGTCACAGCCGCACCGACGGAGATTGTCGTGACTGGCATGGCAGAATGTGTTGACTGACGTCGGAGTTGGAGGCGCGAGACGGGTATCAAAGGGTACCGTATCAAGGTCGCCGAAGTCCAGGTCACGCGGTTTGATTGTAGGTTAGCACAGAATAGGTAAACATCGATGATATGCCAAAGCAGAACGCGTACGTTTACAAAGAATAAGACCAAGGGAAAAAGAGCAATCCAGCAGTCCAGATTCTGAGTTTAATCTGTCAGCAGCAATTCAGGGGAAAGGGTTTGTGGATCATTCCCCCAGATTCCAGATTTACAGGGGCGGCGGTTGAGCCCGCTTTGCTTGGCGAGGCTAAGTTGGGCTACGTCATGGACCCTGACAGACTGAAACCACGTGAAACCACGAATTCATCAATTCATCCCATCATCCTACCTAATCAGCCTATGTCGCATAATTCACCGACGAGTCAAAGTATACTAGCAGTGTTCCTAGACAAGCGGGCTGTTGATATCATTTGGTATTGTCTCTATTTCTCGTCAAGCCCATGTTTTACCGGGACACGGGGAAAGACCTTCACTCAAAAACGAAAAGTCAATCCCTCTGTTGGCGCTATTCTTGCCGTTATACTTATGATAAGGAGCTTACTTGCAATCACCACTTGAGAACGAGATCCAGCAATGCCAAGTTGTATGATCCTAGTGGAGCTTCCTCAGAGAACGCTACCACAGCATCATATCCTGGGGCCTGGCTACCAGAGGCATCTACCCTTCCACTGTCCCGTGAATTAGGAAATGCATACTGTTCTTTGTCTCCTAGGGGTCATGAAAGAAGACTGCAGAAACCCAGAGAAAATTATCATCAACCCATATTTTCTGCATCTCTAAATCAGATACCCAATCTTCTCATCGCTTTGTCATAAGCGTTGTCAGCGTTATGATCACCCAGAAACTTGTCCTTTGGATTGGGACCATCTTCGAACATAGATAGACCAGGGGATTACATCACACTCCCAGTCAGTCTTCGAATTGACGACCCGGGATTTTTAGCAAACATTCATTGCCCTTGTGAGCCCCCACAGCCATGTGCTGTACTATACCTACTTCTTACTGGCGTACAAGACTATCAGAGACAAGATAGTACCACCGGTAGCTAATCACAATGCAGATACATACAGCCGGTACCTATGTACATACAATGCAGATACAGTGCATGTAGTGCCGGCGGCTGTAACCTCGGCACAGATGCTACGTGAGTGGACGTGCGGGAGTGAGGCGCTAGTCCAGAAACAGTTTGGATCCGCGGCCTGCCCTACCGGTAAGTGCTCAACCACCTCAGCACACATCACATCACATCCAACGTACTACATCCATCTTCCTATCGACGGCACCACGGCTCTCGATTCCAGATCCTTCCTACATAGAAAACATGCTGTATGTGGATCCGCTGCCGACAAACACCCCGGATTGCGCCTGCATGCTTGTCGGCTGAGTCCTGCCAACGCATACATACACGCCTAGCTAGCGCGCGGATCGCGTCTGTCGTATGGCATCTTTCGAGTCAGTATGGTGCATTCCGGCATCGGACTGCTGCCTACCAATATGAACATGTTACTCCACCCAGCGGGAGACGCCGAAGCCGTCCGCTGCCACTCAAACTCTATGCTGGTCATCGAGATGGTGGCCAACAACCGAGACCCATCGCACAACAAACTTTGCAGAACGTACCGCAAACACCGTGTCAACCTCATTCCATGTATCCCTAAGTCCGGTCTTAGTCCATGAAAGGGGATTTCCAGTTTGAGGCCATGTTGTGATAATCAAAGCACGGGCGATCCTTCCGGCAGTTGCGCCAAGTTGGTCATTAATGCATGCAACATGTGCGTGCCGATTGCTTTGTCCGTCCCGCAGAACGGCTCCGGGGTCAGGGTTACTTCAGTGATCCCGGTCGAGTCTTGCATTGGCCTGTCTAACCAGGCCAATGAGCGTGACAATCAATTCTGTATCTCCATCTGATATTCACGTTATGATATCAACCGCCACAAAGAGAATCGGAACCACAGACTGAGACAACGTAGCCCATCATCGCAAAATGGCAGAAAAGCAATCTACACTTCTGGAGCTGGCCACGGAGGTCCAACAATTGACGACACAGATCATCAGCGACTTGTCAGCAAAACAGGTGCCCGAACCAACTTTCGACCCTGCCTCGGGAACGATTCCAGAGACTCCTGAGCAGATAGCATTACGCGCTCGTCTCAACGATGCTGTGCGCGATCTATTACGCCTAGTAAACGGGCCTAGGAATGACGCTCGTACCTTTGTATGCTATCTCTACGATCTGGCAGCCTGGCAGGTGGCCTGCGAATTCAATTTCTTCGAAGCAATTCCGGAAGACGGGACGGCGAGTGTTGAGGAGATCGCAGCCAAAGCTGGGATTGATGAAGATCGAGTCGGCCGCTTCTTACGGATGCTAGCTACCGACCGTGTGTTCGAGGAAGTGGAGAATAATGTCTTCAAACATACGTCCAGGAGTGTGCTATATCTCAAAGATAAACAGTGGCGGGATGTCATGCATTACCAGTAGGACAATGCATATCTTTTGTTGTGTAATCTTTTACTGATATTGATCATAGATTGGATGAGTTTTTCAAGGCAGCTTCCAATACTTCTGATAGCATTAGAGCTTCTCCTTCTGCTACGGATGGACAGAACAATGCCTTTGTTACTACGCACGGCCAATCCCTGTTCAAGTACTATCAAGACGACCCGAGACGAGCAGCTCGCTTTGCAAGTGCGATGGCTGGTTTGTCCAGACGTATGAGATTAACTTTCAACATAGATTCATTATACTAACGATCCGTAGTCGAGCGTCATTTTGAAAATCTCAAAGAGAGTTTCCCGTGGGGCCAGATTACTGGACGCAAGGTCATTGATGTGGGAGGCGGTAACGGCCATATGAGTGTGCTACTTGCGCGGGTAAAACTTCGATTGACATTGATACCGACTTTCAGGCACTGACTACAAGTTAGGAATTCCCAAACCTGGAACTAATCGTGCAGGACTCTCTGACGATGCTGTCATCCGCTTCGCAGAATGACTTTTCAGATCTCAACGGTCGTGTCACCTTCATGCCTCACGACTTCTTTACCACGCAGCCAGTCTCTGGGGCAGCAGCTTATCTTCTTCGTTATATTACCCATAATTGGAGTGACGAAGACTGTATTCGCATCTTCAGGGCTCTCGTGCCCGCCCTAGAAAAAAGCCCGCCTGGGACCTCGCTTTTGATAAACGACGTCGTGCTCCCGGCGTTGGGGGAAGCCTCAAAGTACCATGACAATCGTATGCGCCAGGTCGACATTATGATGATGCTCGTCTTGGGCGCAAAGCAGAGGACTGAGGAGCAGTTCCGCAGTCTTCTTTCGGATGCAGACCCACGGCTCAAGGTAAGTTGTTGATGTTTTGATTGTCCAAGCACAAGAGACTAAATTCGCCTGCAGATCAAGGCCATTCATGGGAAAGGCAATTTGAGCCTGATTGAAGCGCATTTGGACAGTGACCCGGTCCTGCAGGTTGAGGGCACAGCTGTGAGCAACGAGTCAGGTACAGATTCACAAGGTGGCGTCGCTAATGCTCGCATCGAGAAACGGAACAGCACGCGACTTTGATGAAGCGGTCTGCCACATGTGCAGGTATTCAGTCTCTTTTAGTCACATGATCCGGATCGAATGATGTTTTGCGGCTCTTGCTCATGCGCGGTCTGTCACCTTGGCAGCTCCTACGGCTTGGCCGTAACTTAGCCACCAACTTCCTCCCATGTGTGTGTGTTACTCAATAATTTTCTATCTTGCATATGATTTTCCAATAATGTATTGATCCATCTGGACAATCCTGCCCACAATTTCCGTGAACCAGCCTGCATTGGTCGAGCACATCAAGGAGCACACTCGCTAGGGTCAGCATTCTGCAGTTCGGACCCGCCGAACTTTTTGACCCGACTCGACCTGCGGCACCCCACGCGTTCTCTTAGCCCGCATGCAAGTTGACGTAGCATGTGGCTGTAGCTTTCTCACACATCACCGCAACACAAGCCTCCGCTTCCGCTAATGTCGATTCTGTGTAGGGTACTCTGGATATGCCTTCTTGTACCGCCAACAGCCCGGTGGTTTGAATGCAGCGAACAGAGCTTCGTCAATGGCAGGAGACTGTTCCCTTCACTTCAGGATCTTCATACATTCTTGCTTTGCGCTTGCTGACGTCGAATACGTCTTCGACTTAGGCAATTGCAGCGAGCATGCCCGCACTATTCACCGCTGCTTTGCCGCTTCGGTGCGGGACGCGCCAGGCTGACAGGGGAACATCAAAGCAGCCGTGGAGCATGTCAAACACCGTCTGGTCGTGACAAATCTACCTAGACCGGAACTGATCCCTTCCAATTCCTTCACGAACCCCCTCTATAAGGAACCAACTAAACAATTCCACGTATGAGCATATGTAGCGGCCGTACTCGGGGTTACTGTGGCAGGTGGCACCGACGACGCACATTGATGCCGCTATCTATGCAGCTCTAAGAGCGTCTGTTGGCTTTTTTACCAAAGGAGGAGATGGCACCGCGTTTAACCTGCATCGGATATTTTCATGATCAATCATTGGCTTCGTATTGTCAAAATATGGCACAGAATATTGCGCTTGTCTCTAAGATTGACCAATGTGTACGCCATTGTGCACGGGAATACAGGCATCCCTTCATCATTTCTTGCCGAGCATGCCTGGATCAGTTATTTGTACGCTAGCAGATCCGATTAATAGAAGTCAGGTCCACATTGGCGTATCAGGAGCCATGATAGTCGTGGCCTCGTTCAACTTGACGCTTTACCTCCCGGTAATTACGATCCCAAAGCCCCATCATGAATCTGGATCGAGACCCCTGTTTGCGGCACAGTACGATGGACGGCAGCGGAATTCAATGACGGCTACAGGGTCCATGCTCATGTGAATGGGGCTTTGCGACGGTGGTTCAATGTACGCGTGCTCTCGCTATATAGGTCACCGGTCTTCAACCCATCAGGACTCCCAAGCCCATCAAGGTGAATTAGGTGCTGTCCGTCAGTTCTCTAAGCAGCCACCATGGCGGCTGAGACGCAGAAGCCAATGCCCATCGCGGTTGTCGGTCTCGGCTGCAGATTCCCGGGCGACGTTACAAGCGGTGAGAAATTCTGGAATTTGCTGGTATCCAAGAGGTCGGCTCGCACCGAGACACTACCGAATCGTTTCAACGTTGATGCATTTTACCACCCGGACGCCGACCGGTATGGAACAGTAAGTACCCGATCGCCCCGAACCCAGAGAGCTCGCTCTATCTATACTAACACCATCCATAGGCCAATGTACGCGGCGGGCACTACCTCGCAGAAGATGTATCATTGTTTGATGCCCCGTTCTTTTCGATATCGCCAGCAGAGGCAATGGCAATGGACCCCATGCAGCGATTGTTGCTTGAAGTGACATACGAGGCCCTAGAAAACTCGGGGACACCATTGTCCAAGGCCTCTGGAACAAATACATCCTGCTATATTGGCTGCTTCACAAAAGACTATGAAGAAATGCAACGACGAGACATAGAACTTGCGCCCAAGTACCAATCAACCGGTGCCTCTCAAACCATGCTGTCCAACAGGTTGAGCTATTTCTTCAATCTCAAAGGGCCAAGCATGAGTCTAGACACAGCTTGCAGCAGCGGTCTAGTTGCCGTACATCTTGCCTGTCAGAGTTTGCGTAATGGCGAAAGCACAATGGCAATTGCAGGGGGCAGTAACCTAATTCTTAGCCCTGATATCCAGATTGAAATGAGCGACATGCATTTCCTTGGCCCAGACTCAATATCTTACGCTTTCGATGAGCGGGCAAATGGCTATGCGCGAGGAGAAGGTATGGGTGTGGTCATATTGAAGCCACTCCACAAAGCGCTAGAGGACAATGATCCAATCAGAGCTGTGATTCGTGGAACAGCCGCGAGTTCGGACGGACGTACTGCGGGAATCACTATGCCCTCAAAACAAGCACAAACGGAACTAATAAAGTCTGCATATCAAGCTGCACGGTGCAGCGTTGGTGAGACAGGGTTTTTTGAGGCACACGGTACAGGAACAGCTGCGGGCGATCCAATCGAGACGGCGACAATTGGTGAGGTATTTGCTTCAAGCCGTCCACTCACCACGAATGGTCAAGCAATACCACTTTCCATTGGGTCTGTAAAAACCAACATCGGTCATTTGGAGGGCGCCAGCGGGATTGCTGGGCTCATCAAAGCTGTGCTGAGTGTCGAGAAAGGCATCATACCACCGAATATCTGGTATGAGCGCGGCAATCCTGCCATTGACCTCAAGAATTGGCGACTAGAAGTCCCTACTGAATCACAAGACTGGCCGTTAGAAGGGGTGCGGCGGGCCAGTGTCAACTCTTTTGGCTATGGAGGAACAAATGCTCATGTCATACTGGACGATGCCTTCTACTTCCTACGACAGCAACAAATCGCAAATCGCGGCCATAGTCGAATCGATTCTGGATTCGTCAGTCCTATCAGTGAAACACGTGGAGAGGATAGACAGCGATCACGCATCTTCCTTCTCTCCGCTCATGATGAGCGCGGCTTGAGCGAAATGGGTAGCAGGTTGTCTGAGCATCTCCAGGCACAAACGGTCTTTGCCGACAACGAGTTTCTGGAAAATCTTGCGTACACACTCTCTGAGCGACGGTCTCTGTTCTCATATAGGGCATTTTTCGTTGCATCAGACCGGGATGAGTTGCATCGCAAGATGCAGAGTCTTAACCAAATTTCGCACAATCGCAGCACGCCGCCTCGCGTAAGTTTTGTATTTACGGGTCAAGGAGCTCAGTGGTGGGCAATGGGACGTGAGCTCCTTCATTACCCAGTATTTAAGAAGAGTATATCACATTGTGACACTATAGTTCGCGACCTGGGATCGGATTGGTCATTGTTAGAAGAGCTTCTCAAGGACAAGGCTTCATCGAGAGTCAATGAAGCAACTTATAGTAAGTCCTGTGGCACCAGCCTTTTACAGAATGGGACAGTATTTAATTCAACCATCACAGGCCAGCCATTGTGTACTGCGCTTCAAGTCGCACTCGTGGACCTATTACAATCATGGAATATCACCCCATGTAGTGTCGTCGGCCACTCCAGCGGAGAGATTGCTGCCGCTTACGCGGCAGGCGCGTTAAATGCCCAATCAGCAATGACTATTGCTTTCTTCCGCGGCCTTCTTTCACCGAAGGTCAAAATTCTCGGGCATGATGGTCGCATGATGGCAGTCGGACTTTCGGAAGAGGAAGCACTTGATGAGATACGTAAATTGAATGGGAAATTTGGAAAAGCTGTGGTGGCTTGCGTTAATAGTATGTTTCCATTCAAATCAGCATCTTCAGATGTCACTAACCACTATTTCATCGACCAGGTCCGCAAGGTGTCACTGTATCTGGAGACACTGTCGCAGTGGAAAAGCTGCAGAAGGCTCTAAGCGCAAGGGGTATCTTTGCGAAGATCCTCCAAGTGGACACAGCATATCACTCACATCACATGCAAACTATTGCTGAAGAATACCTTAATCATCTACGAGATGCAAATGTGGCTGCTCTTGTGACGAATCATCACGTACAAATGTACTCTTCTGTCACAGAAGAGGCCATCGATTCAAGCCAACTCGGCGCTCAATATTGGGTCTCGAATCTTGTTAGCTGCGTGCGATTCTCTGGAGCACTACAGAGGCTTTGTCAATCAAATTTGGGCACTGAAATTCTGCTCGAAGTTGGACCTCACTCTTTGTTCAAGCTACCTGTTAAGGAAATCCTAGAAGGGATTTTTGGCGAGAAGTCTCCAATACAATATCTCTCCACATTGATCCGCAATCAACCCGCAGATCACACGGCGCTCGAAGCTGCAGGCCACCTATTCGCTAATGGCTTTCCAGTCGACCTGCACGCCATCAATTTTCCCACCGAGCCGAAACACTCGCTCTCGGTACTCACGGATCTGCCGCAATACCCATGGAATCACACAAGAAGCTATTGGAGCGAATCACGTCTGAGCAGAGACTATCGCTTCCGAAAATTCCCAAGAACTGATATCCTAGGTGGACCGGTGCATGATTGGAACCCGTTAGAGCCTCGTTGGAGAAATTTCATGCGCCTACGAGAGCAACCTTGGCTACGCGACCACGTTGTACAAGGTGACGTTCTATTCCCAGCTTGCGGTTACCTATGTATGGCGATTGAGGCGTGTCGTCAAATGTGTGTCATTGCGCCTTCAACATTTCTCCCCTCAGGATCAGATGCTGTACTTGAGTATCGACTGCGCGAAGTCAATATCTCGAGAGCATTAGTAGTGCCCGAGGCTGCCGAGGGTATCGAGACTTCTTTTTCTATGCGGTGTAAGCCAAGTAGTACATCAGATACATGGCACGAGTTCCGCATTTTCTCGTATACAGCAGAGGGCGGCTGGGCGGAGAACTGTAGTGGACTTGTATCTGTGTCGAGTCAGTCAGGAGTCAACGACTTGCTCTCTGCTGATTGCCTTGCTGAATGGAATGATGCACGACAAGAGAAGGCTGTGACCGTGGACCCACAGGCCTTCTACAAAGGTGTCGATGCTCTTGGTCTTACCTATGGCCCTATGTTTCAAGGGCTCGAAAATATTACCGTTAATCAAAGTACAACTGACCAAGCCACCGGCATCATTCGAGTAACAGATACACGGAATGCGAACCCGAAGCAATTCGAGCACGACCGGCTGCTGCACCCGGCAACTCTCGATAGTTTCCTGCAGCTGGCACTTGCTGCACTGGGAGGTCCTGATTTGAATATGCTCAAGGGCGCCATGGTTCCGACATTTATAGAAGAGATCTCGGTATCTGCAAATATATCAGCGCAGATAGGAGATCGACTGAATGTAATGGTTCACGCCAGACGACATGGAGTCCGGGAAGCGAGAGGCAACATTTTCGCCTTGGATCCTACCACTTCAACACCTGTCGTTCTACTTGACGGCTTCAAGTTCGTCGCCATCAACAGTGGTATCGAGGCCCGCCAGACGAAATCTGTACCCAAACATTGCTATATTCCAGTTTGGGAACCTGACGTCGAGCTCATTGACCGCGAGAGTTTGAATCGCGAGCTTCAGGCTGCCCTCAAGCCGGACGACCGCTCAAAGACTGTCCGAGAATTGGAATTACTGTCGTACCATTTCATCGATCGAGCACTACAGGAAGTGACGCAATCCGAGGTCGATGGTATGCTACCGCATCATCAGAAGTTTTACAGGAACTTGTGCAAGCTGCGAGACGCGGTAATCTCTAAGACACATCCACAGCAGACGGATGAGTGGCGGGATCTCCAGAGGCCCGACGTAGCATCCAAGATACACGGAATGGTCGAACATTACCGAGACCATGAATCAGCTTACGACGGAAAGCTGCTGGTTAAGGTTGGCGAGGCCTTGCCATCTGTCTTCAGACAGGAAGTCGAACCTCTAGCTCTCATGACGCACGAGAATCTCCTCGAAGACTATTACACCACGGCCGTCGGTATGCCGAACACATATGCACAAATCTCGCGCTACACGAACATGCTCTCACACAAGTACCCAAATCTCGATTGGCTGGAAATTGGAGCAGGAACCGGTGGTGCAACGGTACCCACACTCAAGGGACTGAGCGGATGCGAGGGTATCCACCAATATCCACGTCTCAAGTCGTATACATATACGGATATCTCATCGTATTTCTTCCAGCGCGCTGCGGAGAAGTTTGAGGATTTTGCGGAATTCATGAAGTTTAAGAAATTGGATGTGGAACATGATCCTGTAACACAGGACTTCACGCCTGCGTCTTATGATGTTATTGTGGCAGCTAATGTGTTGCATGCTACTTCAGACATGCACAAGACGATGACACATGCGCGAAAGTTGCTACGACCTGGCGGTAAACTTATCTTGCTGGAGATGACGAACCGCCTACTTGCTGCTTCTGTCATCTTTGGTACACTCCCCGGTTGGTGGAATGCCTCTGAAGAATGGAGGACCGAAGGGCCACTCCTCACTGAAGGGCAGTGGGAGGGTGTATTACGAGCTACTGGCTTCAGTGGTCTCCAGGCCAGCAGTCCTGATATTCTGGATCCACTCGAAGAAGGAACACGATTGATGATTGCGACGGCTGTGGAATCAAAGCCTACGATTAGCAATGGACTCCCCACGCCAACAGAACGACATCGTATTGTCATCATCTGCGCTGATTCGCCAATCAGAATGAATAGATTGGATATGCCGCTGGCGTTGAAGTGGAAGCTCGAGACAGTCGGCCTAAACGCACAACTTGTACCACTAAACAAGTTGAACAAGGACCTTGTGACTGACGCAGTGTGCATAAGCTTCGTCGAACTTGACGAAGCTTTGTTCGTGCACCCCTCACCAAAGGAACTAATTTTCCTCAAGGTCGTTGCCGAAGCGTCGGCTGGACTCATCTGGGTAACGCGTGGTGCAGCCTCAGCTCGTGTTGAGCGCCCCGAGCTCGCAGTCTTTCAAGGACTTGCGCGATCACTGCGATCCGAGCACGAGAACTTCCCGTGCATCACCATTGACCTTGATATTAAGAGTCAGCTCCCTGCAGACGGAGTGGCGGATCTGCTATCTTTGGTGTACAACAAGCAATTCGGGCCTGAGAAGGTGTCGCAGCTTGTTGATAGTGAATTCGTCGAGCAGGGCGGTGTACTTCGCATCAAGCGTGCGATTGAAGATGACGAGTCGAATGAGTTCCTACTCGGTCGCACAGATCATATGGCCTTGCCTCCAAAGCTAGAGAGCATGGTACAAGAGAATCGGGCATTCAGACTGAGAATACCAGAAAGCACAAAGGGGCCTTTCATCTTCGAAGATGACTCAACCGATTCTCTCCCCATGGGAGCTGACGAAGTCGAGATCTCAGTTCAAGCCGCAAGTCTGGGCCCGCGTGATATCCAAGTTCTAAACGGCGAAATTCCTAGTCAGACTCTTGGTCAAGAATGCGCAGGTATTGTGACAAAAGTCGGAAGCAATGTGAGCAGTCTTTCCATCGGCAACCGCGTTGTAGCTTGGAGGGACGGGACTCTCGCTACGAATATCCGAACTTCAGGACCCGCTGTGCACAGGATCCCCGATACTATGTCGTTTGAGCACGCGGCTACTCTACCGTTGGCGTATACTACCGCACATTACGCCCTGCACCATGTCGCCCATCTTGATGCTGAGGAAACGGTTCTCATTCACGAAGCTGGGAGCTCGGTGAGCCAGGCCGCATTGCACCTTGCCACTAGTATTGGGTCGAAGGTTTTCGTCACCGTTCAATCCGACGAGGAGAAAGAATGGGTCTCACGGCGTTTCAACGTTGACGCGAGCCACATCTTCTCCAGCCAAGACCTCAAGTTTGTCGCCGCACTTCGACGAGCGACGCAGGGCCATGGTGTGGATGTAGTGCTCAATACACTCTCGGGCGAAGGACTCCAAGCGACATTCAGTTGTGTTGCACCATTCGGTCGGTTCGTTGACATTGCTTCCAATGCGAATGAAAAGCTGGAAATGGCGCCGTTTGAGCGGAACGTGTCTTTTACCTCTGTCGATATGGGTTCCTTGTGTATGCAGAAGCCTAGACTGGCTGGAAGGGTTTTCCAGGACGCCATGTCGTTCGCTACTCAGAACTTGCTCCAAGAGTGTCCGCAAGTAGAAGCAAGACCATGGTCGCAGCTGGCTGAAGCACTGGAGCTGGTACAAGATACAAAGTCAAACACAAACATCATCATGAAACCCATGACTGATGACAACGTCTTGGTAAGTCTACGATACACTTCCCCTGCTCCCCAACCAGTCACTAAGACATCCCAGATCGCCCAATCCCCACCAGCACCCCTCACCCTCGATCCCTCAGCATCATACCTCCTCGCCGGTGGTCTCGGTGGGTTAGGCCGCAGCATCGCCACCTGGCTCACCAAGCACGGTGCCAAAAACCTCATCTTCATTTCCCGGTCCGGGGCCTCCTCACCCTCGGCCTCGGCCTTCATATCCTCTCTCCACGCAACCGGCATCCGCACCGCCGTCCTCCAATGCAACATCTCCTCGCCCTTTGACCTCTCCGCCGCCCTCTCCTCCACGTTCAAATCCTTCCCCCCGATCAAAGGCGTCATCCAAGCCGCCATGATACTAAACGACGCCCTCTTCACCAACATGACACACGAGCAGTGGCTCTCGACCATCCAGCCCAAAGTCCACGGCAGCAAATATCTCCACGAAGTCACTCTTAGCCAACCCCTCGACTTCTTCCTCCTCCTATCCAGTCTCCACAGCTTCATCGGGAACCCAGGCCAAGCAAACTACGCGGCAGGCTGCGCCTACCAATCCGCACTCGCGCGGTACAGAAACGGACTCGGTCTACCGGCCACAGCGATCGATCTAGGCATTGTCGGCGACGTCGGATACGTTGTGGAAAAGAAGAAGGAAAGCGGCGCGAAGATCCAGGTCCAAGACTTCAAACAGATTACAGAACCGCAGATGCTGGCGCTCATGGAATACGGCATTCGCAACCCCAAGCTAGGTCACTTGGTCACGGGCTTGGATTCTGCACTCGCCCCCGCTGATGTCCTGGCTCATATGCCGTTTTTCGCCCGTGATCCTGTCTTGAGTCACCTCCCGTATCTCCGACCACAGCTCGTGTCGTCGTCGACGTCGAGCCACGCTGCCTCGTCAAGTACAGACGGCACAGTAACACATACATCCCAACCCCTCGGCACGCTCCTCACCACGCTCTCCTCTGCCGCCGAAAAACAAGCCCTCGTGCTCCCCGCACTACTCACCAAGCTCTCGCGCAGCCTAATGATGCCAGTGGAAGACCTCGACGCATCGCGCAGTCTGGCCGCGTATGGCACGGATTCGCTAGTTGCGGTGGAGATTAAGAATTGGATTGCGAGGGAGACAGGTGTGGGTGTTAGTGTGTTTGAGATTATGCAGGCGGGGAGTATAGAGGGGTTGGTTGGGGGGGTTGTGGCGAGGGTGGAGTGAAGGATTGGGGAGAGATTGAGGGGAGAGTGGTCGGGTACCGGTATCTAGATTGATGGTTTTGTATGGTTGATGCTTGAGTATATGTGGTACTGGGGTTGTTGGCGCTGGCAAGGGGATGGCGTAGCCTGGCGGTGTTTATATATACCCGGTACTGGTGGAGGACAAGGTGAATAACCCATATGGCGGGTTGAGCGTACAGGTCGTTCAGTTCACCAGGTTTCATTAGTGTTGTGTGGGTAAGGCTAATGCGCTGGACTATGATTGTATGTTTTTCCTTTGTTAGTTCTTCTCCACGAGCGTAATTTCTTTTTGTTTTGTTTTGTTTTTTAACTTTTTGTTTCGCTTTTGACTTGATTTCTTCTACGTATTCACGATCATAATAATGAATTACTCCCGTACACGAACGAACGAACGATGCAATGTGATGATTTATTATTCATGAGCACATTGTGCAGTACAGCTCATCTACTCTCTTCTGATCGTGGCATGCAAAAAGTGGAGCTAAGAGTTCATCTCTCCAACAACAGTCGAATAAAACATGATAAAAAAAGTAGGGGTATCTTGTAAGAAAGCGAACCCATGCGCCGTGTATGCATACGATGACTCCATGATTCCATCAAGACGAAATCAGTCTGATTCGTAATCCACCAGGAGTAATGCGGAAGCTAGATTCTTTGTCGGAGGCTCAATTGTCTTTGCGGGATTTTGGGTCGTGACAGTCGGGGTCTCAATCTGCTTCGCTGGTGAAGACTCATCATCTACCGCCTCATGCGCTCCATTGCCTCTCTTGCGCTTCAACAAGCCTAGACTAGCTCTAGGTGGGGCTAGCCTCTCTTTGGTGTTGAGAAAGGGATCGATAACGGCCCTGGTGTTGCCGACGAGCGTCTTTCGTAACGCCTCACGACTCTTCTCCGCTGCAATCTCTGATGTGAGTTTCTTGGAATTTGCGAGCTGCGTGACAGGTGGAGTGTGATCTTCTTGTTGCTGTGGTGATTGGAAGAGGGGTTTCCATGGTTCCTCAGGGCGTGAATTGTTCGCAGCAGCCGCGGTGCCGAATTCCACCATCTTGGCTCTCACACGGTCGCCTTCCGTCTCGTCTACAATATCCATGCCTAGACTGAATTTCTCCTGCATGCCCTCCTTCTGCCGTTCCTCTCTATTCCACGCCTTGCGCTTGACGCGGAAATCCCGCCTCAGTCTCGCGTTGACGTCGTACGGATCCCGCCACACCTCGCTCTTCTCGTACAACTCCTCCACGCGCCGTTTATGCCCCTGATCCAGCACTTTTTGCTCCACCCGCCCTTCCAAGCCTGCAAACGCATCTTCCCGCCTCCGCTCCCTCTCCTCCTCACTCAACATTTTCAACTCGCCCTGCGCCCCATCATCCTCGACAGCCCCGTACTCCCTCCGCCGCGCGCCCTCACAGACAACATACTCGCTCTTGCTCGGGTCCGTACGAATCTCCCACCACCCTCCACAGGCCGTGTGCTTCATGCGAAAGCTCCATATCGGCGTACTGTAGTAGTTCCCCACGCGCTTCTTCTCGGCGTTGAAGCGCACGCCTTGGCCAACAATGGCGGGCGGTTGACAGTGCTGGCACCACACGGCGAAGGGAAGCTCGAAGCGCACCGTCAAAATTCCCTGGGAGGATTTGTGTGCGCGCGCGCCGAGTGGGTGCGTTGTATTGAAGGTAGGGGGGTTGGAGGCATCGGGCGGGTAGTACCGGCCCATGTTGAAGCCTTGCATTGTGCGTGGTAGGTCTGGGAGTTAGAGCGCTGCTTGCGCTGGGGAGGATTTGCTAGGAGGTTGTTATGGTGGGAGGGATTCTGGGTGGTGGGCTGAAGGTGACGACGTGGATATGAATGCCAATGGCTGGGATTTGAGTCGTGAAGCATCGCGAAAGTTTGGCCGCGGGAGTGCCACTGGACCCTGGATTCGCGCACGTGGAAGTGAGCGAAACCTCCCGACCTTGTGGTCCTTTACTGTCTTACCCATACATAGGTACATACACACGCAGAAAGCTCACAGCCTACACATTCATGCCACCAGTACTCATGCCCACTGAAACATGTTTCTGTGAGATGTTATAATATCCACCTTACCCACTTGACTACATTAACTTACACCAGACACATCTCTTCCCTTCACGAATGACGTCATTCTAAATACGCACACATGAAGGTCCCAATGTACACCAGAAAATGCAAGCATCATGGACTTGATTCCACTGCAAGATTTGACCGATGATTTCTGCGCGGCATTACAAGTGCCATATTGCCACACAGTGACCTTCCAGGAAAGGAAAGTCAATTAAGGTTGCTGTTGATTGCGGCACTAAAAGGCTTGTCTCACCGTCGCTGCCGCGGAGTCGAGCGTTCGCCGAAAAACATGAGCATGTCGGTTTTTGTGCGCTCGACAGGTGGTTCATGGGGCGTCGCTGTCACATTGAAAGTATAGACATGTAAATAGCGAGAAGAGACATGGTATTTCCAAGTGCTTTCACTCCTATCCATTCCTGTATCCATGCTTCGAGCTGTCTCCCTCTCCCTCTCCCTCTCCGCCACCACCGCCGATACATGCATACATGCATGGTACACGCAAAAATCTTCAATGCTTTTAGGCCGTGTCCTGGTCCTCCTTGCGATATGCGCCAACTTAAGCCTCATCTGTGATGAGCTTCGTGATCTTGCCAATAGCAATGGTTTGACCTTGGTCTCTGTCATGTGTATTAGCAAAATGGACCGAGCCAGCCACTTGAACTCGTGAACAAACGTACCGTAGTGTGAAACGACCAAGTTGTGGGTAATCCTCGAACCTTTCCACACAAATGGATCCCGCTGTTCCAGTAATCTGCAACCTCGCAATGATGCTCATGCCCTTTGTAGCAAATCCGGGTGGCTTCTTACTCTTACGTCCAGTGCCCTTTTCCAGCTTGTGCAAAAGCGCACTGATGGTGACCTCTTCTTGAGCAGCGTGTACGTGCAGTACGCAGTTGAAACCGGCTGTCATGATCGACTTGAGATCTAACAGCACGACTTGCGCCTCAAACGTAGAAACGCAGTGGACAGGTCGCTTTGGCGAGCACAGCACGTAACCGGGAAGAATGTCTTCTTCTTCTACACCGCGGATACGGATACGGACTTGGTCACCGCATGTCGCTCCCGGAATTTCGTCTTCTTGTTCTCCGAAAAGTGCTGAGATGTGCACCGTCTGTCGGTTGGGCATCATGAGATACTTGTTTTCCTTCTTGATAATACCTGATTCTGTCAACAGCCTGTACCCACACAATCACCTCCATCCGAGTGCTTACCTGATTCAATCTTTCCTTCGATCATGGTACCCATATCCTTGTACTTGGCGGCAATGGGCATCATAAATGGTGCGTTGAGCTTGCGCTCTAGCGCTTGCATGTTGTCCAGATATTCGAGTAGAGAAGGTCCATCGTACCAGGGTGCCAAGCTCTTGGGAACGCGCTCTTTGATGCCCGTAAATGTCTGCGCACTAACAGGCATCATGGAGATGTCTGTTTTGGGGTTGTAGCCCACACCCTTCAAAAACTGCACGACCTTGGTGGTGCACTCCTTGTATCGTTCCTCTGACCATTCTACTGTAGGGTCGTCCATCTTGTTAACGACAATGAGAATCTTATTGACACCCTGCGTTTTGGCCAGCATAGCATGCTCTCGGGTCTGGCCGCCCTTTTCGAAACCAGTCTCGTACTCTCCCTTCCGTGCGGAGATGACAAGCAGACCCACATCGGCTTGAGAGGCACCACTGATCATGTTTGGAACATAAGTCTTATGCCCTGGCGCGTCCAAGATTGAGTATCGTCGCTTCTCAGTTTCAAAGAAGCCACGACCAACTTCAATGGTCTTGCCCTGTTGTCGCTCCTCCTTGTTCAAATCGAGGGCCCATGAGATATACCATGTCTCTCGACCCGCATCTTTGGCTTCGCGCTTGTACTTTTCGAGTGTTCGCTCGTCGACCATGCCTGTGGAGATGAGGATACTGCCTCCGAGAGTCGATTTTCCAGCATCGACGTGGCCCAAGAAAATAATGTTGACATGTTCTTTGCCGTAGATTTCCGCAAGCGTCGCTTCGTCGACAACTTCAGCCTGTTCGGCATCAATATCGACGACCTTGGAAGAGGACTTATCTTTTGGTGTTGGGCTGTTACGGCCCGAGGATGGTGTTGGAGACGTCCGTCCGGATCCTCCCGATGATGCGGTGGGCTCTCCCGTCTTCTCGATGGCCTTTGCAGCAGTGACCTTTGCGCCAGCCTCGGGAGCTGACTTGTCGGCCTTGTCTTTGGCAGCTGATGGAGCGGCTGCTGGCGTTCCGAGCGACATGACCTTTGCGCCACCAGCCGACTTTTCCACCTTTGGTGTCGTCGTGTCTCCGCCAATAGACAAAACCTTCGCCTTGGGCGCGCTATCACCGCCAATCGAGAGGACCTTTGCCTTGGGCGCATCCTTCTTGGGAGCAGCTGCAGAGCCCTCCGAGCCTGTGATGTCAGTGTCGCCTCGCTTAGCGATCTTTACAGGCGCCTGTTGCTGCTGCTGCTGTTGGGGCTGGAAGTTGCCCCCTTGTTGTTGCTGGTATCCAGCATACTGGTTGTAACCAGCCTGCTGTCCGTAGTTTGGGTAGCCTCCTTGTTGTTGGCCATATTGCGGATAGCCCTGCTGTTGCTGCTGGTAGCCATATTGCTGGCTACCGTATTGTTGCTGCTGGTTGTACCCCGCGTATTGCTGGTACTGGCCGTATCCTTGGTTGTAGCCACCGTATTGCTGGCCGGGCACAAACGAGGAGGCGCCCGGTGTGAAGGAGGTTGCGCCTGGTGTGAAATTGCCTGCGCCAGCGCTGCCAAGGTTCATGCCCTGCGTCTGCTGCGAGAGCTTCTCCTCCTCTTCTTCCCAGCTTTCGGCCATGTTGGCGGGGTCTATGATGGGTGTAACGTGACTTTCTGGAGGCGGGCGAGGCGTTGTCTCTGATCGCAGAGACTCTGATGAAGCGATTGTGTAGGAGTCGGGAAGCGGGTACGGAGTGAATTGCGAGAGTCTATATGGGCGACCGACAGGAGTTGGGAGAGGTGGTCGTCGGGCGAAAAAGGTGAGAAATTGTGCGCGGGTCGCCGCTGGCCAACCCAACATTTGGCGGGGTCGCTTCCCACTGGCTGAGTGGGGCTGACTCAACGCCCATCGGTGCCTAACATTGGCCAGCATGGCAATGAAGGTTATCTACACAGCAACAAGACCAAGCAACAAACAAACAAACACTCCAAGTGCTTTGTTTCACTCTGTCTTCCATTCTGGTGATAGCCTGCTATATTAGACGGCAGATCGTCGCCATGGATTTCATTCGGCCCTCCCCATAAACAAATCCTCGCCCCCTTCCCACATACACACATTCACACCCTCCCTTCACCACGCTCAGCCCTAAACTTGACTTGCATACCAGTCAAGATGGATGCGATCCTAGCAAAAGTATGACTACACATGGCCACAGGGCAGAGCCATAAGCGGCGTGTGGCAATATCAATACGAGACGAACAAGTCGGCTGACAGAATCTAGGTCACCTCGCAGGCCGTGAGCTATGCTATTCGAAGTGGCATAGCCATCACTGGTTCATATGCGCTGAAGCAATGTGGTCGTTTGATGAAGACTGTCGATGGAAAAGAGAAGAATGAGCTCGCTAAACTGCAAATACGGCTGGATTCCAAGATCAAAATCATATCTCCTGCCATTGACATGATTGAACTCATCGCGGCCCGTGGAAACACCTCACTGGAGTCTGCCGTCGGCCTCACCAAATCGCTCAGGTTGGAGATTCAGACACTAGGAACACGCGTCGAGAAGGCTGTTGCGGAAGAGCAACTTACTCGTAGAGGTAGTTCCAAGGCGAAGTCGCGCGAGGAAAATGTCATGGAGCTCAAGATCATCATTTCTGACATGAAGAGCCTGTTGGAGAAGATCGAGGACGCCGTACCTCTGATCAACCTCGCTATAACAACATCTGGAGTGAGCCTGTCGACCACACTTCCTGCGACGATATCACCCTCAAGGCTTCTACAAGCCAGCAGCTATCTTGCCACGGGTGACTTGCAATACGGCGCCGCCAACGCTCTAGCTAAACAAATTGGCCCGGCATTTACCGTGTCCCTGTATATGCTCTTCTCAGGCCACGCAAATCGGCCAAAAGGAGAGGGTTTTAGGGACACCACCTGGAAAGAGGTCATGCACAAAGCTCGTGTGACGCTGAGACGAGTCCCAGTAGACCGTGTTTATGACTATCCAACGCCTTTCGGATCACAATCACAGTCCACCGATGAGTCGTACCATCGCCATATACCATCGGATGGCAAATCGCAAGAATTTGCCTACCAGCTGTTAATTGTCGAAGATCTGGATGACGGTCGCGTGCACAGCTTTGAAGAGAATGAGCCACAGCCAGAGCCTTACGATGGCGTCGAACAAGCTGGTGTTCGTGAGGTCTTTCCTATTCATGAAGTTTCTAAAATATTTTATGCAGACACGGGCAAGATACTCAACATAGGCACAGAAGGCGCGACCAACAATCCAGTCTTGTTACTCAAACGCGATGTCAATGCTACGCCACCACGTCGCATGATGGGCCAGGATGCTGTCGAGACCAACTATGATTCGGATGATTCTCATACTGTCGGCGAAGAGGAATCCGACCTTGAGCAGAGCGAACTAGATGAACAGCTGCGCCGTGAATCGACTCCAAATGTCCATGAGACGGCTGCTCCAACATCACCACAACCACCAGAGCCCGAGACACAGACCTTCTTATGGCGCCTGCCACCGACGCTCGATCTAGAGTGGATGGCATTCGAAGTGTACACTGAAGAAGCCTCTACCGACTCCGACATTGATGAAGCAGAAGACCTTGAATCAGAAATCGCCTCGTCCTCCCCGCCGCAGTCCTCCTCCCAGCACAGCGATTTCGAATCCCCAGGTCTAAGCCATCGTTTTGCCGACCTCAACCTCAGCCCCTCGACATCCTCGCCCGTCTTCTCATCTCAAACCACCGACCTGATCCCCTCGCCGCAAAAATCTGCACCAACTCCGCTCTACACCCCCAGCGTCCCTGCCGCCCTTCCCGGCTCCAAGCCATCCCTCTCCCTCTTGGAAATGCTCATCCGCCTCACCTCGCTCCAACAATTTCAACAATCATCCCACCTCGCCATCTCCGACGAATTCCTCAACTTCTTCCTCTCAGACAGCAGTACCGTCGGTGCCGGCGGCGACGCCGAACTCCGCCGCAAAGTCAGGCGCGAGGCTAGGATGCGCGTGGGCTTCGATCCGTACGACGAGAGTCCCATCAAGCGGCGCGGAGAAGACTACCTCGAACACGAACTCCACGATGGCCGCGCGGCGACGAACGAGGCACACGAAACTGCTACCCCAGACGGGACTGCGCATCCCATCAACGAATACGACTACGAAGGTTATCCCACCAGCAGAACCGCCTCGCCTTCCTCCTTCTCATTATACTCCAGATCAACAACCCCCAGACCCGCAACACCCACCCTCCCAACTTCAACTCCACTCTCTCCCCACCCCGCATCAAACTCCTCACCTCACACCTCAGGTCCCACCGTCTCCTCATCTCCCAGCCCCTTACTCCGCCACGCTACAATGCAACCTACACTCAAACAACCGCTTTTCCCCCGCCCGCTGCAGCCACAGCGTCCGTTGGGTTCGGGGGCGCGACGCGGGGCCCCGCTGGCGGCGCAGGAGTTTAAGCGCAGTGGGGGGCCGGACACGCCGCCTAGTAGTGTGCTGAGGAGGGGATGATGGGTGGGGTTGGCAGAGGTTCGGGGGTGGTGAGGCCTGGAGGAGGGGAAGGGTGAGTGGTGTGTGTGGCTAGTTTGGAGTGGATTAATTTCTTGAAGAGTAATGTGGCGTGACGGTACGATAGCATACGGTATCAACAGAGTCTCATCATTGCAGGACTTGTTGCTTTTTCTTCTCTTTTTCTCATCTTCTATTGTATAGTTGCTCTAAGGGCAGTGCACTAGCCACATCGCGCTCCTGCATTTCATCTTCATGTCCCTGTCTTCTACCTTTTTCCACTCTATCCCACCCGCGAGGTTTAAGCGTTCAAGGCATTTAGCAATTTAGATTCCAATGCGCGTTTTCGTTGTGATTGAGATACTAGTAGCTGTGTGTCTGTTTACGTTGTGATTGAGATACTAGTAGCTGTGTGTCTGTTTAGATATCCATCTCCATCTCCATCTCTGTTTTACCTGGGACGTCCATGCACATAATCCACAACCCATCGTCTTATCACAGAAACGCCAAATACGCAATCCATTACAATCTGTAATATTAGTAGGGCGACAGAGTAGGGCAACAAGGCATCTACGGCGAAATCGAGAGCGAGATGAGCGTGTGTATGTAGCTAGAGCTGTAGTTGTGGATAATAGTAGTGTTAGTCCTTCTACTCCTACCAACAATCTTAATAATCCTATCTTATCCCTATCCCCCTCTACCCTATAACCTCCCTGTATATAAACACCTATCCCTCCCCCTCAACACTAATAATTCACTCTAACACACAAAAGAAAGTAAAAAATAATGCATAACTATATTTATAAAACCCTACCTCTATAATTTACTATAATCTAACTTACTATACTTTATAAATCATTAAATTTAGTCCTATAGACTATTTGCATATATATTCACACTAATAGTGCGCAAGAATTTAGAGAGAAAAAAGAAGGTTATATAAATAGCTATAAATAGCTTTATCTTATGACTTGAACTCCTAACTTTCACTCCCAACTTTCACTCCGAACTGACTCCCATCCCCTAACCCCAACCCACCCTACTCCCAATCCTCCTCATCACTCTCCTCATCCACCACCTTCTTCTTCTCCACCGCCGGGCTCCCCGGCGCCCGACTCGTCGCGCCACTGACAACATCATAGCTCGCATCGCTATCCGCCACGCTCTTCTCATCATTTGACCTGCGTGGCTGTTCAGGCTTGAGAGTTTTTGTCGAGGCAGCGAGGTTGGCGGCAGGTGTTGTCGAGGAAGAGGTGGTGGGGAGTTTTGCGGCGGCGGCAGCGGTGCGGGGTGTGGCGGTGGTGGGACGGGAGGGGGTGGAGTCGTCGGAATCGTCGTCTGATTCTTCCTCCTCTTCTTCGGAGGTCTCTTCTTCGGACTCGTCCGAGGTTTCGTCTTTGGCGGGGGGTTTTGTGGCGGGTGTGGGAGTGGTTTTGGTGGTTGGGGGGGAGGTGGGCTTGGTAGCTGATGTGGTGCTGGGTTTAGCAGCAGATTTAGCTTCGTCTTCGGATTCGTCTTCCGAGTCTTCGTCCCAGGCTACTTCTTCTTCGGCAATGGGTGCTGATGCTGTATTATTCGTTAGTTTCTTGCTCTTCTTTCAATAGATGAGTGAATCATACCCTTGAGCATCTCCCGTCTCCGAGTCTCCTCGCTCTCAATGACATGTCTGAGGAAATAATATCTGCACCAAAACACGCCATACTCGACCTTCTCAGGCACACACTTCTCCATGGCGCTCCTCAGCTCCTGGTGTTTCTCGAGATCCTTTGCAATCGCATCGGTCTTGGCATCGATATTGAAGGCCGCCTTCCACTTCTCCCACTCTGGACTTGCGGGGTCTTTGAGGAAGGAGTCGATGGTCGAGTGGATGACGTGGAGCTGGGCATCAAAGCGTGTCGCGTGCACGACCTTCTTGCCGCTGCTGTCCTTGGACTCGAACAGCACATCGCCGTTCTTCTCGGCCTCTGAGCCTGATGCGGGTGGTGCAATGGTGACGGCATCACGGAGGAAGTTGCTGATGTTGCTGCCAAACTTGAGCAAGGCCTCATCTGCTGCGTCTTCGGCCTTTTCGATATCTTTGAGGCGCTTTTTGGCTTCGAAGCGGAAGCGCGAGAGGATGTTCTCTGCTTCTTTGACAATGTCTGCAGGCAGCGATTCGGGGCGGTCAGGGTGCACCTCGAACTCTTCCTTGGCCTTGTCGGTGGACTTGTCCGTCGAGCTGGAGGCAGTGGCGGCATCGGTGGCGTGAGCAGAGAGATTGCGCGCGTGGCTGATGAAGCTGGAGACGCCTGCTGTTGCGTTCTTGGTGAGGGGTGCATATTGCTTGCTGGCCGTATCGTAGTACTGCTCGCCCTGTTCACATGGAATGAGCGTCCCTCTTCCACCCAAGTTATGCTTGAAACCATCTACCATACCTGCTTCTTAACAGTGCCCAAAAACCCCCCTAGACGCGCGGCCCATGGGCTGCTGGAGATGGCTTTGTAGGCATCCTGCAACTCGGCGTTGAAGTTGCTCGTCGTCTCTTGGTGGGTGCTTTCTCCGCCAGCCGATTGCTGCTTGGTCGGATCTTGCGGGTAGCTTTCTTCTTGAATGTGGTCGTACGCAGAGTCCATAGTTGCTGTGTCACCAGAAAGGAAGGGGTAGACGTTGGGGAGAGGCCTGTGTTCTTCGAGGGGAGTCAGCTTCGAGGGGGTCAGGCCTCGTGGTCGCTGAAGAGGCGGGTCGGGAGCATCCAGGGTCCACTGCGGTATGAAAGCGGTGCGGGCACATGCGGCCCCGCCGGAACCAGCCCAGACCAGTTTAGTCAACAGTGGGGGAAATCGTCTCCATTCACAGAAGACATAGACAGACGAGCGAGACACTGGCATTGCTATCCAAGGGAAGTTTATTTACTAGGTATGCTTTCTGGGTATATGGCGGTTGTGTGCTGTGGTCTACATCACCAGTTCGTCGGCCTGAGTCTCCACCTGCGTTGGTAACTACTAGCATGCGCATTCCAAGGTTTGGCTGCGCGGGAGAGAGCATGTGCTTCGGGCTCTTGGCGTCGACATCTTGACCTCTACCCCGTGTCACCATCTCAAGAATCTGAGTGAGCAGCAGACAAGCTTCATGTAGACCTTTGTGCTGTGCAAAAAGACCAATCTTTGCCTCTCAAGGATCCAACTTGATCCATCGTGCCTCTCATCTCTTGTTCTTGCCCACCACCTTTGTGAATCCATCCTCATCCACCTCCGGCGCCGCCTTGGGTTTCGCAGGCACCAGCGCTGGCGCATCCCCCATCTCGACATCCTCTTCCTCACTCTCCTCATCCACACTGTCCCACTCGCCCTCCTGGTTCTCTTCCCTCACATTCACACTCCCTGTCGCAACCTCCTTGCCCTTTCTCTCCTCCCACTTCTTCTGCAGCGCATCCACCGTCTTCGTACTACCCTCACTCAGCTCCTTTCGTATCGCCATAATCTCACGCGCCGTCTTGACCTCTGTCTCGTCTTCTAGCCGCACGCCAAACTCGTCCTCGAGGACTTGAAGCAGCATCACTTCGACGTCTTCCGTGTCTGTGAGGGGTTCCGAAGCGAAAAGATCAGAAATTTGGCCGGCCAGCCAGTCTCGTTTGTCCGAGGAGTCAGGGCCGCCCCACTGGTTCTGCACGGCGACAGTCAGGTCCGACCAGTTGAAGAGAGCATGCCAGATTCCGAGGTCAAATTTAGACTGGAGGTGCTCTGCGGGTGTCGTTAGTGGTGATAGGCCGGATGAGGGTTCAAGGGGTAATACCAGGTATGGCAAGGACTGCGGGAGACGAAGCCATGGTGCAGAGACACGGGGTGAATTGATTAGAAAGTTGCTTCTCGAGTTGGAGACAGCGATTTTCCTCCTGCCGTGCTTTTACTCTTGTGTCGCTGTGGCGCAAAAAAAGCGTCTTATCGTTATCGATAAGGCACACTGTGTCACTAAAGCACGTGATCACGCGTCACGCCTCTCAAAGATAGGGCTGTCCATGCGTCTTACGTGCCGTTCATCACAACCTGGGCATCACTAGACCAGCTAAGGCGACCGAAGATAGACAATTAGGATGGTTACGAACGAAAGACAGGACATGGCGACAACATGCAGCAGAAGCCAACCTTTACCCCAAACAGCAACGTGACCACTACCCCTCACACACTGTGGATTCCCATCACCTCTTCCAATTTCAGGCCAAACCCCGCACAAAGCAAGATGCTGTCAACCCAAAACCTCATTCATTCCATCATTCACCCTAACTGGATAACCTATAACTGGATAACCTAGCACCAAGGAGAAGCACAAACCATGGTTCGCACTTGGGCTCTACACATATCACGACCACCTTTTCAGGTCTTCGTACCGCACACAGCCTCGATGAATCATATGACGAGCTTTAAATAGAACATCAGTATATCACTATTCTCGCACCATCCTATGTATCAAGGCCGAAATATGGCGTACGCAGTTTGGCATATGCGAATCATGATACCACGCTGTGTTTTCCAGTCGTACGTACCTCGATGCTGATTCACGCGATGCATCCCTACAGAGCGCTTATAGTTTCGAACATCTAGTAACATACCTATTTCATGTGGTATGCGAAGACCATCACGCAGCATGGATATAAAAAAAGTTCAGTGTCGCTCGTCCCCATAAGAGAGATAAAAGACTGACTCGGAAAGTTTCTCCAAGAGCACCACAACTCTCTGTCGGCCTTTCAAGGCCGTTCGTTCCTTTGCTACTAAAGTACTTATATCTATGCACAAATTTCGCAGGGCTGTTAGCTTTGGAAGAGCATTCATTGCGTATACAGTATGTATACATTTTGCTACGCTCTGGTTTGACCAGGAGAATTAAGGCCGAGTTGTTGTCGTGCACTACATTGAAAGTGTTTCAGGCTAAGGCCCTTTCACGGTGCATATGGTTTGTAGCCGCTGGGCTAACCGCCGCCACTTAAGTGTAACACCCCACCAATCCCAAGAGCGACCGAAAAGACAATCGTACAACCCTCCTTGACGATACTTCCCCAATGAGTGCGTTTCACCGATAAAAGCGCATGTCAGCGCTGATGCATCAGAGCTTATTCTTGCAGCAACACAAGAAACGTGGGTCCCATGGGTTTTTCATCCGGCAACGATTACCCCAAGCATCGACTATACTAAGCAACAATACAGTCGCGCGCTGTTCGACCGATTGTTGACTTATCGTTCAAACAGCCGTAAAAAATAGAGTCGTCGACGAAAATGTGGTCTTATGCAGGCGAAGCGCATTAGCATTGCGCTCAAAAGTCATCGGTGTACCGCCTCAGACTGCTAGGTCCATCTTTGCCCGCCTGAACCTCCGCATGACAACCAGGACTGCTATGCCAGGTTTGTGGTTCACGGGACGATATGTCGTCCTATCCAAGATCGGACCGCTACCTGTTCCTCTCCCGGTTTTATGTCATGACGTATAGGTATTGATTGGCTCTCTGTTCAGACCAGGCTCCTTGGGATGATCATTCGCCATGTTACCATCCCATCTTACGCGGTCATGCATTGCCGAAACACATGAGGGTTAGAATATCGTCCCCTCGGGGTTCTTCTCAGCTGGGCGTACAGTAGCTTCAACGCTTGGATGAGACGGCCTGCACCATATGTATATGATAGATTTGCGAGTGCTGCTCGAACTACATTATATGGGGCCTTCTGTTCGAGCCAATGGCAAGTTGTTCACGTACGGGAACGCCCGTTGTTCTCACATCCTGGATACCTAGGTTAGATAAGAAGGCCCGTTTCCTAGCGTAGACAGCACTTGCGAATTCATGTACGGTCGCTGACTTGCTGTCCTTGGGCCGCCTTATAATAGACTATAACGACCAATAAAGGGTGAATGGCCGCGTGATCCTTTCTCCAGATACTTGAATCGCATCTTCTTGCTTGTGCCTGGGCTGGTCTCAGGCCCACGTCTTCCATTTCCAGTTTTTTGCCTGAAGGAGCCGGCTATCATGACTTTAGAAATTTGTGTCAACACTTCGACAGTACGGCAGCCAGCATATAGAACAAAAGCGCGAAATCTCCTGCACTTGAGTGAGATACCTGACTCGACTGCTGCCCTCGGAGCCACCTGCGAAGCCCTCGAATCCGATGGGAAACCGTGTTGCGCTGAGCTTCCTTCTAGCGCAGGCGATCCTTTTTGTCGCCGACATTATCGAGAATGGAGAGACTTGAGTGCGCGATGGGAGCGTACACACCAAGAGGCAGAAAGACTGATTGTCCTGAACTTGGATATTGCAAAACAAAAAGTCATCAAATTGCGCTTATCGATCAAACTACGCCGGCAGATTCGTGATCAGTTCTATCCGCGTGGTGGCGATATCCAAGACTACATAAGATGGATTGGAAACCTGGAAAACGACATCAGGCAGCTCGCAGATAGTCTGCTCAGTAGGTCGTCGCCAATTCAGGTGATGAGGTTGGACTGACCATTACGCAGTGCAGACTCTCAATCGCGGACCAACACCTGAGATGCCAGGAATACATACTGGAAACCCACCTAAGCCTCGCCGAGATGCTGGAGTCAACAAGGAGAAGATCATGATCCTGCGATCGCCACTCGACCCAAGAATACCCATCGATTCGCTGCTCAACATGCCAGACGACGGGACTATTCTCGTACTTAAACACTTCTATCGCGATCTTTGCGCTGATAGCATTGGACGATTGTACAGTATTGCCCTTGACCTGGACGACTCGCGCCAGCAGCGCAACCCCTCTCTCTCCTACGGTGAACCCGAGACAGACGCAGGAACGGATATTATCCGGGCGTGGTTCCGTATCATGGTGCTCCACGAAAGCGAAGCCAGCACTCTGCAGCATGCGACGAGATCAACTAATATCCACGAGTTCCTATCGGGATGCCAAGCAAGTCAGCTTGAAATGTACTGTGACTTCTTCGAAAAGGCCTGGCGTCCGCATGCCGTTCAGTATTTACGTGTTGCAATCTGCGCGCAGACTTTAGCTGCCGGTGACATCAAGACGATTCGGCTGCTAGGAAACACGATTCCGAGCACTGTCGAGGGACTTCATATGAGCAAACCATGTTGGGATATCCTGTAGGGCTGCTTCACGTCCTTTGAGATCTCACTAACGATTGAAGCTACCGCTGGTTCCCTACCTTACTCACTCCATCAACCATTGCTAGTATCTGCTCCAATTTCGAGGACTACACCACCATCTGCAAGCTTCTTATGCTCGGACTTTACAGTCAGTATTGGCACGATCCGAAAAGCATACTGAATGAATGCACCACTGGCGTCTATATGGGATTCATCCCAACAAGCAAAGGCGACCACACAGCGGATGCCGGCCTCAGGCAGGAAGGTTCACTTTGGGTACAACGTCAATCCCGGAACTACCTATGCGGGCAGATGGCGATCGGTGATCCTCTGACACAAGCGTTCCTAGATGAACTCCGTAAACGAACCGGAGCGCTATATCTTGTCGTATATGAAGGCACTCACGCAGATGCCACGGTCCATCCAACTGAGCCAGATTTGTACATCAGCCGTCATCGTTCAGCAACCACGTTGGACGAGCTCAACGGGGTCGACTACAGCATCACCCTTACACTCGAAGATATCAAAAACGACATGCGCATGCGAAAGTCATCGATGTACGACCCAATCGTCGTGGATTCTTGGCAGTTCATGATAATCGATCGAGAAGCAGGTTTGCCGTTTCGACTGCTAGATATCGTTCAAGATACCCTGATGATGCTCGTTGGAGACCCATCCCCACGACACATGGCCAAGCGGGTTGTACGCGAAGTCATACCGCCTTCGGTACAAGAGATGTTCTTGGAGGACATACAAATCTCCTACTCTATGGACCTCCGCTACCCAGCTCCTCCTGAAGTGAACCATGAAGACAACAGGTACAGATGCTACAATCCAGATGCCACGTTCATCAAGTCGGAGCAGTCAAAATGGTCTTCCCAACAGATCACTCGAGATCAAAATCGGTTCATTAGGCGATGTATCGACGACATGGAGCGCAACGGCATCGTGTCCCTTGCGACCGAGTACGAGATACCACAGGCGCGTCCGATCATCGTACAAGGCTCAGACGGCTCTCCCGACCTGTATTTCCCATACGAGGAAGAATCTACGGAGGAAGAAGGCGGGTGCGCCCCCTCTCTGCCTCTGCCATCTCCAACATGTCTGGTCGAGTATGCTATGTCTTTCAAAGAGAAAAACCCCAGCGCGATCTTTGCAAAGGGGTCTATACAAACGCACTACTGCGCGTGGCCCATGCCAGCCATGAAGAGTCTCGGCAGGAATGGCTTAAACTTTGCAACCTGGGAAGGCCACATCTATCGGTGGAACGCCATGCGTAAGTGTTTGCCTACCGCCCATCACAATTACAAGAACCAGGAATACATCTGCCCAAGATCTTGGGGACAAAAACTCCACAGTAGACACTTGCTAATTGATTTCCACAGCATTCGATAGGCCATGCTCGGCGAATGCATGGCAATACTACGTCCAACACTTTTTGAATTCAAAATACCCTTTTGTGAAATTCTACCTCACTACTTTTGTCATATGCGCTACTGATATGGAGGACGCGGATGTCAAAGTTGTGCAATTGCTCGATGAGATGGATGATCGTGGTTGGAGGGTTACACTGCCTCGTACGCACGAGTGGACCTCACGCCTGGATGACCTCAAACTGGAGACGCTTTTTAATGGTGTTGGTCCTGCCTAGGCGGTAATCGGTATGATTTTGTTATTTGCTCTGTTTACATCTATGGGAGCGAGGGCGGACCATGTGTGCATTTTGATTTGGGTTTAGCATACGGTCATTGGGACTCTAGCTTTCAGCGATGCGACGTATGTACCTTTTTCACGTTGGTTCATTTAATTGTCTTCTTGCCTTTTCTCGATCCTGCTGCTGTTCTTGTCATATTCTCAAGTATAGGAAGTTCGCACCACGTTGGGCGGGCTTTTCCTTTGATTTTCCATCTACCTCGAGAAAAGACACAGTCCTTCCTGTGACTCAGATATTCGTTAGACTGAGGGAGTGGCTCTGACTTGAGCAAACTTTTTCAGTTCGTGGCTGAAGTCCTCACGCCTCTTCTAAATCCTACCCCCTAGCGCCACTTCGGAGTGACGTAGGTAGTGCTGGACTGACATGCCTAACCCTACAACCTTTGAATGTAACTCCCAGCAAGCGGTAGTTTCTAGAAACGGCAAAGCATGTTCAAGACGATCGTGGCGCAGAAATCGACGGCAATCTCTAGTGTGTAGATCGCGTTGTCTTCTCCGCGGGCGTCTGTAGGGCGAGTGTGTTTTACTGTCTGGATCAATGACGTAGCTAGGGGACTCTTTACCCTTGGAAACCCTGCTTGCCTCAGTATGTCTGGTCGGCGATCTAGATCGTGTACGCGTGCTTAAATTGAATCGTACATCCTCCCTGACTGGACCCTGGATTTCACATCAATCCACTTTTTGTTGTTATCATTATTACTACTTACACTTTATCTGTTGTTGACTGCATCTCATTGCTTGTCATAGTTAAACGGACTCATTTCCGCTCTCGAATCAGCCCCGCCATCCCGAGCGAATACAGCTAGAACACCATCGACAAGCTTCACGGTCCTCCACCGCAAAACTCACCCCACTCTGCGATCAATTACTACCACCTTCTACCTTGGACAATATCCAATCCTGATATCAAATATACACATAGCCCGACAACATGGCCACCTCAGAGCTCCCCGCGCGATCACTCACCAACAAATCTGCCGATGAGGATGCCGTTCCTGGCGAGGACACATCAGAGGTACGAAAGGATTCGCAGGGAAGATAGTAGCGCGAATCTAAGCCAATTTGCAGGTCACAAAGCTGTTCGCAGAGCGTCTGCAAGCATGGAAGCATGCCGTCTCGTACCTCGAAGATTACATCACGGCCACAGAGAAGACGAACCATGCACACGGCAAGGAGTATGAGCGAGTACTGAAGGTGTGTAGAGTACGGAACAATCGAAAAGGAAATGCTAATTTCAATAGACGGTAAAGGACCCTCTGAAAGAAGGCCATCACTTTGACCAGTCGCTCGGTGGTGTTGCCGGCTTGTTTGAGAATATCAGGTCGAACACGCAGGTAAGGAGCGTAGAAATACGGCCAAGGTACCAGTCTAACACAACATCAGGGCATCTCTAATCAACACTATGAGACTGCGAAGCAACTCAAGGGCGCCATCCTCCCGATCTTTGAGCGCCTACACACCGAGATCAAGAACAAGAGCAAGGAGCTGACCAAGGGAGCCGGAAAGGGCAGCAAATCTGTGGACAAGGCCCGCGCACACACTCAGAAGCACATTGAGCTTCTCGGCCAGCACACGGCCTCTTTTGAGTCGCACTCTGGAAGCATCAAGGCGACCGACGATCCATACATTATCCAGCGCGGAGTCCGGCACCGTCTGCACAAGCAGGTCCAAGAGGAAAACAGCAACCGCCAGGACCTCATCAGTGTACAGAACTCGTTTGCGCAATTCGAGTCACACATCCTGCAGACGCTTCAGCATGGCATGGCCCAATTCCTCCAAGTCGTCTCCGTACAGGCCGAGCACACCAAGACTGCATATGGAGACATGGTGGGCACGTCCCAGCGCATTCCGCTCGACTTTGAGTGGAACGGCTTTGTGCAGCGCAACAGCAATATACTCATTGACCCTTCTGCGCCCGCCCGGGCTGTCTCGCAAATCACGTTTCCCAACCAGAACCACCGGGCCACGCAGCCCCTCATTGCCGGCTCTCTCGAGCGCAAGGGCAAAATCATGCGCTCCTACGACACAAACTATTACGTCGTCACCCCGTCCAAGTACCTCCACGAGTTCAAGACGGACGATGATTTCGCAAAGGACCCTGTTCCCGAAATGTCCCTCTACCTACCCGACTGCATCATTGGCGCCGTCAACGGCAACAAGTTCAACGTAAAGGGCAAAGATGTATCGGGCGGTAAGATTGGCGGTGCATTTGCCATGAGCCATGAAATGCAATTCAAGGCTCACACGCCCCAAGCCGCAGCCCAATGGTGGGAAATCATTCGCAATGCTGCTGGCACCGTCACCACCGATCTCCCTGACAGCACACCCACGAGCCCCGTGGCCGCAGAGCAGTCGCAGCCTGCACCACTTCAGACAGAGGGTGTGCAGCGTTCGGGTACGGTGGCGGCAGAGCCTGGTAGCGCAGTTACTCCGGGGACTGCTGTCTCGCCTCAGGCTGCCAATCCTACGGCCCCGAGTAGTGCTGTTCCGGGCGAGCCAGGTAAGTATTAGAGGATGAAAATGTGGGATGAAGAAGAAAGTAATGGTGAAAATGAATCGACTTGCTCCTTTGTACATAGCTCTAATACCATGATACCTCGTTATTTATATCCTAGACACGTCTTTTTTTTTTCGCGAGCCTCCATGACTATATCCCCTTTTATATCTCATGCAGCTGGGACATTTTGGATGGTGAACTATGCATCCCACATCTGTCTAACATTGAGATTAATCCGTTTAGTGCCCATCCAACCGCGCCAGGCCTCGTAGTCTTCTTGATGAGTATCACGACTGCCAGCAGGCCAGTCGGCAAGATAGTCCGGACACGAACCCGGTATTATCTGCGCGACGCCGTGCCAGGCGAATCTCGAGGGACCGGACATGTAGACTGCGCTGCCTGAGTTGAGGCGTATGGTGAGAGTTTGTGGATGGGGGTGTTCCTTCCTGTCACCATTGTCGTCGTCGTCGTCGTCGTCGTTATCCTCATCGTCATCATCACAAGACAACCCCTCCTCGCTCCCAATAACAAAAATACCCTCGCACCCCAAACTCAAGCCCACCAACCCTCGCCCACAGTGCTCCGCCACATCCCTATGCAAAGCCAGCGTATCCCCTGGCGAATAAACATTTACAATCGCTGCCTGGGCCTGGGTATCCGGGAACAGCGGGGCAAGCAGGTCCTTGATCAGCGGGGGAAACGGCGGGGCGGGGGTATCGGGGTAAGCTTTGCGTGTCCAGTTGTACTGGGCGCCGAGTGTGATCCAGCGGAGTTTTTTGCAGAGGAGGGGGGTGATGGGGAGGGGGCGGTGGAGGGAGGGGGTTAGGGGGTTGGCGATGGGTGTTTGGGAGGTAGGGGGGTGGGAGAAGAAGGAGGGGGTGGGGGAGGGGTAGGATAGGGTGTAGTGGGCGTGGAGGTTTGTGGTGTGGGAGGGGTGGGAGAGGGTGGTGTGGAGGAGGTGGGAGAGGAGGGTGCGTTGGTGGGGAGGGGGGAGGAGGGCGGGGATGAGGTGGAGGCCTGGGAGGGGGGGTTAGGGGGTTTGTGTGTGTGTGGAGGTGGAGGGTTTATGAGAGAGAGGGGAAGAAGGGGAGGAGTTTGAGAAATATCTCGACCATGGGAAAAAGACCTACCAGGCATATCTTCGTGTTCGTAGACATTAATATCCGACAAGTCTTTCAGATCATCGTCCTGTGCATGCTCTACCGTGCCTGCAAGCGCCTGGAATGCAGCGCGTACTTGTTCTTTTGGTATACTTCTGACAACGCGCATCTTGCTGTTTGCCGGTAGCGGACTGTCCTCGCCATGTGCTAGATTGATAATCTCTGTATCCTGCTCCAGCTCTTTCAACTTCATCTTTTGGTACTTTTTATACACTGCCTTTATGGACTCGGGCGGCCGCTGGTGTGCATCTAGGTGTTGTTGCATCTTGTGCTCGTGCCGTGCGTATGAACACGAAAAGCGTTCTTCCTATGCATCCATCTATGTTTCATGCAAACCCGATGATGAGAGAGTTTTTACTGTGTACGAGTACATGCTCCCACCTGCACTCGTTGTGTGATTGGAGATGGGGGGAGGATTGCAAAGGATCCCCCTCGTCTCCTCCCCCGCCGCTGTGTCGCGCTTTTTTGTGGCGTGCAATGGCGCGTTACCCGATTCGGCCACGGGATTGTTTACCTGCGTCTTTGGTGCCATGCAACAACATCGGCCTTGCCTGCTGCTCGCTTTGCCTGCGACCCACTCCTCCCACTCGACACTGGACTTACTAACATACAGGAATTTCTTCTCGCTCTGCTTTGCGTGTTTTTATCAAAAGGGGCCAGCCGAGCGTGCAGAGAAGACGATTGTTGATTGAAAAAAGTATAACACATTACACGGCAGAGGCAAAGGAGCTTCACCGCTTGTCTTGCTGTCTTGTTTCGTGTGTGGGTATAACAGAAGATATACACGACCGCCATGGAGAACTACCAAAAGTTGGAGAAGGTGGGAGAAGGTATGGACTCACTCGTCTTACACAGAGCAACTACTCAAGGCTCGTGGGAAAACAACAACCACTGACAGAGACATGACCAGGAACGTACGGAGTCGTATACAAGGCGCGCGATCTCACAACCAAAGACCAACGTATCGTCGCGCTCAAGAAGATCCGGCTCGAAGCCGAAGATGAAGGCGTGCCCTCGACGGCCATCCGCGAGATCTCGCTCCTCAAGGAAATGAACGACCCCAACATTGTGCGTCTGCTCAACATTGTCCACGCAGACGGCCACAAACTCTACCTCGTCTTTGAGTTTCTCGACCTCGATCTGAAGAAGTACATGGAGGCGCTGCCGGTCAGCCAGGGTGGACGCGGCAAGGCGCTGCCAGAGGGCTCGGGACTGGCGGGACAGACCTTGGTCATGGATGACAAGATGGTCAAGAAGTTCATGATGCAGTTGTGTCAGGGCGTCAAGTACTGTCATTCGCACCGGGTTCTGCACCGTGACTTGAAGCCGCAGAACCTGTTGATTGACGACAAGTGCAATCTTAAGCTGGCAGATTTTGGTCTGGCGAGGGCGTTTGGGGTACCGCTGCGGACATATACACATGAGGTAAGGCTTGACAGCGATGGAATGGGAGATGGGGATGGCGGTGAAGCTAACATGGTGCAGGTCGTCACACTGTGGTACCGGTCGCCAGAGATTCTACTTGGTGGCCGACAATATTCTACGGGCGTCGACATGTGGTCTGTTGGCTGCATCTTCGCCGAGATGTGCACGCGCAAGCCTCTGTTCCCTGGTGACTCTGAAATCGACGAGATCTTCAAGATCTTCCGGTAAGTTGGAAGCACTGCTACACATGCCTTCCTTTACTGATAGCACCAGCATCCTCGGCACACCCAGCGAACAAGACTGGCCCGGCGTCACCTCGTTTCCCGACTTCAAGCCCTCGTTCCCCAAGTGGGGCCGGACGGACATTGCCAACATTGTCACCAGTCTGGACGAGGTTGGTCTTGATCTGCTCGACGCACTCCTCGTATACGACCCCGCTGGCCGCATTTCAGCCAAGCAGACGGTCGTCCACCCCTACTTTGGCGGCATGAACGGCGACACGCGTCACGAGTACAGCAATGGCTACCATTGATGCAGAGAATCCCGGGCGGATGCTACGACTGTTATGAGAGTCTGAGGGACATGATGACGCAATGGACATGTGGTGAGGGTGAGTGTATAAGATGATGCGCCCACTGTCTCGTCTTGGATTGGATAGGATAGGAGGGGGTTTGTTGTGCTAGCAATGTGCAGCCATTGGCGTTTTCGGGCAGCACCGGTCTTGTCTTGGAATCATGTGCGAATAGAAGATAGCCAGGTCAAAGTTACTTTGTACATTTGTATACCATGCTGTTTTGCTGCGTGGACGGCCCTTGTACATCGAGTGCAGTGTTTTGGCGTTGGTGTTTTGACGAGAGGAGAGGAGACATGACGCATGACACCCCCAACCACGTTACCCCACCTCAGCCCTACCAGGAACGCGTCGTCCAAGCCCAAGGGGAAAGGTCTCGCATGTAGACGACGTGTTCCCTGACACCTTCAGCCTTGCCATGACTTCGTCTTCCTCGTCCTCTCCAAAACTGTTGCCTCCTTCCACTGGTCCCCGACTCATCGTTTACCATCAGACCTTCCATGATCCAGACGGCACATACCACTCACTGCTGCCCCTGATCACCAACAACACCGGCATCACCCATGTCATAGTCGCAGCCATACACCTCAACGATGGCCCGGGCAACATTACATTAAACGACCACAAGCCCGATGACAAGAGATTTGACCAGCTATGGGGAGAAGTCACCTGGTTACAGGGCAGTGGCGTCAAGGTGCTCGGCATGCTGGGAGGTGCCGCAAAGGGCAGTTTTGAGAAACTCGGCGGAGACGACGAATCTGCATGTCCTTGCCTGCAGTAGGATGAATGAACAAAGCTAACGGATGCAAGTTCGAAGCATACTACACCCCCCTCGCCGCCCTCATACGCCGCTACGCCCTCTGCGGCCTCGACCTCGACATTGAAGAAGCCGTCCCGCTCTCCACACCCACCCGCCTCATCTCCCGCCTCCGCACCGACTTTGGCCCCAACTTCCTCATCACCCTCGCCCCCGTCGCCACCGCCCTCCTCCCAGACCCAAACATCCCGCCACACCTCCGGCCCCCGCGCCCCATGCTCGCCAGCGGCCCAAGCCCCAACCCCCTCCACCCAACCCTCCCCCACCTCAGCGGCTTCAGCTACCCAGAACTCGAATGCAGCGTACACGGCAGGGAAATCGCATGGTACAACACGCAATTCTACTGTGGCTGGGGCGACGCCGGCACGACGGCCTGGTACGACGCCATCATCGCCGCCGGCTGGACTCCCTCACGCATCGTCCTCGGCGTGGTCACGAACCCGGCCAACGGGGCAGGCCACGTCAAAATTGCACGCCTGCGCGACACGTGTGCACAGTTGCGCGGGAAATACGAGGGCGTGCGTGGTGGCTTCGGCGGCGTCATGGGCTGGGAATATTTCAACGGCGGGGATTGCGACGACGACATCCTACACGTCGCCTCCCTCGAGCTCGGCACCGAGTCGACGCAGACGGGCTGGGTGGCTGCGCTCGGCCGTGTCTTGCGCTCGGAAATCGTGCCCTCGGTGGCAGATCAGGCCAGTCTGCAGAAAGCTAGACTCCAAGTCACGCCCGATCAGATTCGCGCCATGGTGACCAGTCTCCCCGCTGCCCGCGCGCCCTGGCCAGACGAGCAGGTGGCGCAGTTGGTGGTGTTGGGGTTTGAGCGGCACGAGGCGGTTGCGGCGTTGAATGCGACGGGCGGCGATGTCGAGATGGCCGCGGGCTTTTTGTTTGAGCAGTATCCGGGGTGAGGGGGGCGTTTGTTTGGGGGTGCATGTAGATGGGGGGATGTTGTATCTTTGGAGACGGGGCTACGCGTCATGTGTACATGTGTGGGAGATGTAGGGGAATCCGACAATGGACGGGAAGAGAAGAAGGTAAATGTTCCCGAAACCGAGTATGCGCTTTCTATCCACCCACGCTCTCTTTTCTGCCCCTGTACCTGTCCTTGTGCCCTCGGTCTTTTGGGTGATGGCGTCTAGCATTGTGTAGAGGGATGGTGTGGTTTGGGAATTGTGGGTGTAGAGTATGGGCTCGAGTCTTGAGTCTTGAGTCTTGAGTCTAGCTTGAGTCTAACCTCTTACTCCTTACCTACCCATCCTCTCCTCTCCTCTCCTCTCCACTCCACCCCATCATCACCCAACAAGCCCCATAAACTCAAATATAAAACACTGCCAAAGACACTCACCCTATCCACGCTAGTCTAGACAGTAAGGTCTACACTAGACATGGCTGCCTGGAAAACGTGTGGGTTGAAAACGGACAAGATTTGAAATAGATGTTTGGGCATGTGGGATTGGGATTGGGATTGGGATTGCATACTGAGATGCTGAGATACTGATGATGTGATGATTTCCACATCTAGCCATGGGCATTGCCATTGCCATGTCCCATGTCCCATTCACCTCTCCTTGCCATCCCATCAGGCCAAAACCTGCCTCTCCCTCTCCCTCTCCCTCTCCCTCTCACGTTCCCTATCCCTCCCCTCCAAACGCGGGACCTGCAAAAACCTGCTACACCGGTGTGAGCCACGAGCATCACCCGTCCCCAAACTCGCACCTTCTCTCCCCCGTCCAGTCCGACTCCGACTCCCCTCCAACCCCCCACACCCACTCCCCCTCCCGAAACCCCCGTCCGCATCCGCATCACCAGCCTCCGGCCCCGGCCCCGGCCCAGAAACCAAAACCGAAATCGAAAGCGTACCCGACAAACAAGACGAAGACGAAGCCGAGGCCCGATCCAGCCAAATCCCCTCCTCTCGCTCCTCAGCTTGCTCCTCCGCAAGCGACGAATCGGACGACGACGACGACGGTGTCGTACTCCAGAGTAAACTCAGGCGATTGCGACTGCGACTGCGACTGCGACTGCGACTGCGGTTGTAGATGCGGGTGATGCGGGTGAGAAAGTCGTGGGTGTGGGTGTGTTTGTGATTGTTGTTGTGATTGTGATGGCTGTATGTGCAGAGGGGGTATTAAATCATGCTTTGCTTCTTGTTCTTCAATCTTAGGGTGGGGGGATAAGAGGGGAGATGATGGAGACAAGGAGAGGAGAGAGAGAGAAAGAGACAGAGGACGAGAGGAAAACAGAAGCGTCGATACGCGCCATTATGCTTGGAGTGGAGAAGACAAAAACGATGCATTACGCAGCGCAAATCGACTTTTCAAGTCCACAGAAAACTTCTTCCACACTGTATCAAGACTGCCCAACCGCAGCTGTCCTGCAGCCACAGTCTCTGCCACAAGTGTGTGCTTGCAGATTGAAAAAATAAGCGTCTCGGACGAACAAGGAAAAACAATTACCTTCCATCATCACTCGTCCGCGGACTCTGCCTCTGCGAATTATGCTGGGTGTTCCGATACGTCTCCTCATTCAGCGTGTCCAGACTGCGCGCCGGACTGGGCGTCGTACCTCTGCTGCCCCGGCTGCGGCTCGGGCTACTCGGCCGGCTCGTTGCAATCTCGTAGCTCGGGAGCGCCATGTCGACGCCGACGGGGGATCCGTAGACGGGCGTGCGCACGGCCGTGTTGTAGCTCGGTATGCGTGCGAGCGCGGCCATGTCGTACGACGGGTTTGCGGCGGGCAGATCAAAGTACGCGCCGTCTTGCGAGTGTGCGGGCGTGCTGTCGCCCGAGGATTGCTGGCCGCGTGGCGTGTGCGAGGCAAAGCGCGAGGTGTGCTCGGCGTGCGACATGTCGAGATTCTGGAGACGGTGTTGGAGGGCAATCGCAGACGCACCGCCGCCCCGTTGGTGGGCGACGGCATCGAGCGAGGCAAGGTCTTCGGCGGATCCACTTCGAGACTGCGCATAAAACGGCGTGTTGGCGCCGCTGTTCATCACCGAGTGAAAGCCGCCCGGGGTCATGAAGCCCGAGGGGTCGATGTCGTTGTAGAGCTCGTCGAGCTGGTGGAGGCCATAGGTCGGAGGGGCGTTTTGGGCGGCCTGGTCTTGGATGGCTTGTTGGTTGAGGATGTTGGCGTCGACGACGACGCTCTGGTCTTCGTTGGGTGGGAGATTGGGCGAGATGAAGAGGTGGACGTGGTTCTTGACCAGCAGCTGGCTCGTGTGCCCTTCTGGGTTCTTGAGGTTGACAAACAACCGCAGCTTGTGCGTCAGCCGAATGTTCTCCGTGTCGACGGATTGCCGGCAGCTCTTGAGCGAGCGTGGGAGGTTGAGCGTCATGGAGAAGCGGTGGGACTCGTCAAAGAGGGCGTCCGTGTCCTCGACGCCCTCGGGAACCAGTTGGGCAGAGCTGGCTGGCATGTCGGCCTCTGTGACGGCCACCTGCACATCCGTCTGGTGGCTGATCCGACGGCCGGCATAGTCGGCAAACAGCTGGCGCGACTCAATCAGCTCCATCTTGATGGTCGAAATCTGCACCCCCTTCCTCAGCGGTATCAGCACAAAGTCGGCCGTGATGTTGGTGCCGATGATGTAGTTCTTCTGCGGCACCGTAATCTTGTAGGCCAGCTTGTTGGCCCAAATGTCCTCGTTGATCTGCTCCATGGGCTGCGTCTCGAGCATGTCGCGTCCGAGGGTGCGGATGACGCGAATGTGGGACGAGGCAGAGAGATGCTTGCTCATGTATCCGCGGTCCACGTGCGCCTTGAGGTTGTAGACGACCCAGTTGGTGGGTAGGCCCTCGACGCTCTGGTCGATGTGGCTGGGCATCTTGAAGGCAAAGGCCCACTCATGGTAGCCCGCGCAGATCTTGTGCGACTTGTTCTTGTTGGTGCCCTCGACGGGGAACAGGTGGACGTCTTGGACGAGGAAGTTGCTCTTTTGCGTTATCGGCTGCGGGTTCACCGTGTTGGTCAAGTGCCATCTACACCGGGTTGACTGTCAGCGCGAACCTTGCCAGTCGCTCGGGGGTGTGCGTACGAGACTTTTCGCGTGCCCGTCAGCGTGATGCGTACACTGCGCACCGAAATGGGCTCTGGGTTGTTGAGCACCAACTTGCCCCTCAGCTCCGTCTCGTGGCTCTCTGCACTCTCGCCATAGAAGACGACAAAAGGCGACTCGGGCCTAGACAGCGATTAGGACCTCTCATGCTTTTCGGTGTGGGCGTGTTTTTGCTGGTGCGCAAAAGCAGAGAGAGAGTGTGTGTGCGTACTTGATCTCCAGACAGGGCGCGGCGTTTCTGCCGAAAACGCCGACGGTGGACAGAGGCATGATGGAACGAGGGCAAAGAAAGTCGGCTCCGTCTTGGTTCACACAAGAACCACAACAGGCCTCCCGGTTCGCAACGCGGATTCAGGGAGAGGCGTGCAATTAAGTAGGCAGCGCAGGGGACAATTTCGGGTCCAATGGCGGGCGCAGCGGAAAGCCAGGATGGGTCAATGTGCTCTCGTTGCGGGCTTGCTGCGGAGCTGGCTCGTACGAATGAAGGTGATGATGTGGTGAGACTGGAGTGGGTAGCGTTTGCGCTTGTAAGTTGTGTGGATGTGAGTGATGGATGTTATGGTAGCGGGAGTCGTAGTCGTAGTCGTAGTCGTAGCAGCAGTAGCAGTAGTAGCAGTAGTAGTAGTGGTAGTAGCAGTAGTAGTAGTGGTAGTAGCAGTAGTAGTAGTGGTAGTAGCAGTAGTAGTAGTGGTAGTAGCAGTAGTAGTAGTGGTAGTAGCAGTAGTAGCAGCAGTCTATCTAGTCGTATTCGTAGTAGTATGGCTGACGGTTTTTGAGTTGGCCGTTCTTGGATAGGCTAGTGGATGCAACAAGGCAAGAGGGTAGAGTAGGTATGGCTGTGGTTGAGTAGTGACGAGCGATAGCCAAGTACGGTAGCCCAGTACCTGGTTGTAGTGAACAAGCCACGAGCGACGAGCGACGAGAAGGGCGCGCGAGGCGTGTGTTGTATAAAAACACAGAGACAGAGGCGTCTTGGCCTTGAAGCTTGCGCGGCTCGCGACAAGCATGAATCTAGACTAGAGGAGAATTAGTCTGTAGATGGGCGACGGTTAGACATGGGAGGGCTGAGGCGGTGCGTCGGATTCCCATATTTCCTATTTGATACATTCTAGCTACAGGACAGGACAGGACAGGACGACAGGCTACGGGCAAGGGCGGCGTGCCTTGTCCAAAGTCGAGGGTCGGCCGATGTCAGTGCTTCCGTGCATGCAATGGATGGAACCTGGAGAGCTCGCTCAGGGTGATGTGATGGGTTGAAGAGTGGGGCAAGTGGTTTTGTGGGCTTTTTGCTTTGCCTTGCCTTGCCTTGCCTTGCCTTGCCTTGCTTTGGCTGCTCGCGTCATTTTCTCTTCTTTTTTCACAAAAGGTGGATAACCGAATCGGGACTGGGCTGGTATGGTTACCTGGGTGCATGTGCCTACTCATGTGAAAGCCGGGTCGAACACACATCCAAGTCTAGCCGCCTTTTCCAGAGTAGAGCCTCTTCTCGCTCTTCTGGCGCGGGCGGGATGAGAAGGTTGAGGTGATGTGCGAGCAGGGGGGGGGAGGGGGGGTCAAAGAAGGCTGTCCGATATCCTCCCGCGAACGGCGTGAAGGTGACACAAGCCTGTTCAAGGATGATGCAATGGCTGCAGGGCCGATGGATAGCCAGCAGAACCAGAGGAAGAGTTGTGAATCCAAAGTCACTACGACTCTAGACAATGCGCACCCAGCACTCTACAGCGAGTTGGCTAACTCTGGTCAATCACTCGATCCATCAACCACCTTCGCACTGCACTTCCCATCGCTCATCGCCACCCAAGCAACCCAAGCCCAAAATAGCTACCAGTCGCAAAATACCTCCCTCTCGGCCCAGCATGGACCATAATCTCTCTCTCTCTCTCTCACACACACACACACACACACACATAGGTCCTACTACGGATCTATTCCACAACACACATACGTACACCCTCTAGAATAGATAACCACAACCATGCACAGCACCCTCCCGCGATGGCAACAATCTACCCACCAGCTCCTAGCATGCGCCACACATCGACGACGCGGACGCATACTCCATCGTCGTAGCACAACAGATGGCGACTCAAGCCAGCCCAGCCCAGCCTAGCCTCCCGCAATCCCTGCCGAGTCTCGCGCGTGCAGAGGGTGACGATGCAGCTCGCCGGTCTGTCACACGTCTTTGCAGGTAACAGTGCCCATGTAAGTGTGCGTGTAGGTAGGTAGGTAGGTAGGTAGGTAGGTAGGTACCGTCCTACCCTCGCGAACAAGATACATGTCACCCCAACGTCGGTGCATGTCGGTGACCTCACGGTCTCATGACATCTCCACCCGATCACGCTCGATTGTGCCAACACAGGCCCCCATCCCCATGCACGTAGTATTCTTGTCCCTCTATCGTAACTCTAGGTACAGCACCTGCATCTCGAGAGCAGGGGGCCGGTGCCCACTTTCCTTATCGCCGCCAAGGGATTCTAGAAGCTTGGCGTAGCCGTCGAACCACATGTGTTGTGTTGTGTAGACCACAGCGTGACTAGAGTAGAGTAGGGTAGAGAGTAGTACTTTCACAGCCGCCTGCAGGCATGGATAACAGTTGGACGTCCGATACATGATGCCGGATAGGAACCACGCTTCTTAATCCCACCGCTCAGCTCTCACACCCCTCGCACGCCCAAGCCACCAGCCCCATCCGCTATCAGCCCCATCCGCCTCACGCCCGACCTCCCCTGCAAACCCAGCCCAACCCAGCCCAGGAAAAAAAAAAAGAAGAAGAAAAAAATAGAAAGGGGCCCACTGATTGCACCATCTGATACAAAGCTGACATGGTATGCGATGATAGCTATGATATGACATGTGCGAGTGGAAGATTGCATGCTGGATGATGGGCGACGGTACCGGTACCGGGATGCTATTCACTCTGGTCTAGGGAGTCTGGGAGTGAACAGACTGCATGGAGATGAATCGCCGACGTCGACAGCTCTTGGCATCGTACCTTGCGCCAATGTGTGCGCTCTTGTATCCTGCTTGCGAGTGAAACTGGATGAACAAAAAAAAAAAAGAGGACGAGGACGAGAAACGACTTGGAACTGCAGGACTGGACTGGACTGTCCATCACAGTGTTTGTTGTTATGCAAACACATGCTGCAGCTGAACCACGTCTATCCTTGTATGCACTGATTCCTGTATTCCTGACACTGCCACTGACACTGCCACTGCCACTGCCACATGTTCTACAATCCCTACTTCTGATGCGAATCCCAATCCAACCCTAACCTCATGACCCCAGCTACAGCTCTGCAACCAGGCCGAGTCAATCTCGCATGTCAGCGCGAGGGTCGAGGTTGGCTGCGAGTAGTGATGGTGATGGTGATGATAATAGCAGTCGCTCTACTGACAACAATAGCCCAACATGATCCCACACACGGGATCAAGTACACCATCTCCCTATCCCCTCCTTCTCACCGTCACCCTTCCCACCCCCCTTACAAATGCGCACTCCCCGCCCCCTCACTCCCACTCCCCTCCTTGGGCCGATCCCAAGTCCGAATATGGCCTATCGAGGGCGTAGCGTTAGCGCGTGGTGTGATGTGAGTTTGTCAAGGGAAAAAAAGGGCAAAGTGAGGGGGAAATGGAAACGACAAGGGAAAGAGGAGATGAGAAATAAAACAGGAGCGCCGTGCAGCAAAAACAAAAAAAAAGAACAAAGACAGCGAAACCATGCAGACACAAAAGAAAAACCGCCGAAAAGTCGTCTCATCAGCCCAACAAACTCCACCACCAACCACCAACCGCAAAAAACAACCCCCACGCATAATCCAAAAAGACCGACATAACACGCCAACCACACGCACACCGACCCAAACACAAACACAAGCACAAAAGCTTATCAAAACACACAAGCCCAGACGAGAAAGGAAAAAACTTGACTCCCAACAGAAAAAAAAAAGCGGACAGGGTGCATGTGAATGGGAGTGCGGATGCACGTGCCCGCGCGGCGCTCGGGGGGTTTCTTATCAAGGGGTGGGGGGATGTGTTTGTGTGTGTTTCAAGTGTGTGTTGTGTCGTGTTGTGTCGTGATTTCAGTGTGCAGTGGAGAGTGGAGTGCAGTGGCGGTAATACATAAGCCCAAACAACGACACCACCTCGACAATACGCCCCAAAAAAAAAGAAAAAGAAATCCTTCAACATACCATTCTTACAACTCGTAATAATACAATCCTCTTCGAATCCCAACCAGCACAGCGGATGCTCGTCAATCGACTTAGCCTGTGTCGATGGAGCGGAGAATTAGCAAGGTGATGGTTTGCAAAAGACAAAAGTCCAGGGTTTCAGAACAGAAAAAACCAAGCAGTGGAAGAAAGGCTGATTTGAGCGGTGTGAACCCCGCAGACGGAATGAGACTCACGAGTACAGGAGGCAGCATTGCGGTACGGGCGCGTGGTTCAACTGCGTGCACGACTTCCTCGTCGTCGAGCAGGCTGCCAGATGTGAGATTGGAGTTTGAGCGGAGACGGGTGGCGGAGCCGTCGGTGCGGGTGCGTTGGGTTTTGAGTGTGTTGGACGTGATGCTACCGCGCTGTCGCACCGATGCCTGTTTGCAAGACTTAGTTTCTGCGAAGAACAAAAGAAGAAGAACAAACGTCTATTCGTTGCTCTTCATCGCGATCACAACACAGATGAGATGTGCTGGAGGGAGGCAAACGTACTGCGCGCGGTCGATGAAGCATACCAACGCTAAAGTCCCATAGGAGCAATCGTCGGTCTTCTCCCACACTGCCGATCCGATAGTTGCGGTCGTCGCAGCGCCAGGGATCGAATTGGACGGCCGTGACCCAGGAGTTGTGGCCTTGACAGCGGGCGACGAGCATGCTGTCTTCCAACGACCAAATCGAGACCAGGTCGTCTTGGCCTCCGGTGACGACGTACCGGCCGTCTGGCGACCAGCACACGCATATCATGCCGCCGTAGTAGCTCATGTAATGATGTAGTAGCCTTTCCTTGAGAAAGTCTAGGATGCGAAAGGAGCCGTCTTCGGAGACAACGGCGAGGTGGCGTCTATCTGGTGAAAACTCAAAGGCATTCACCTTTGACCTGGATACCTGCCAATACGACACGGGGTTGGTCTTTTGGTTCTTGGAATTGACCGACTTCTGCACCGTAAGTAATGGTCTCTTCTCTCCATCAGCAACACCATTCTCTTGGGCCGACGTGTTTTCCTCTGGAACAAAAACAGCGTCTTCCTTCTCCTTGTCGTACACGACTAGACTGCCATCCATGTGCGCTGCGAGAAAGAGATTCTCGCTATTGGGAAGCCATCGGATATCCGACACTGCAGTCGCATTGATGACGCCATTCTTATTGATGCGCGTGTACTTTTGCGACATGGGCTCGTACCAGATGATGTCGCCTGTGGAGAAGCCAATGATGATGTCGAGGTGGTTTGGACCCTTTGTGATCTGGTTGATGTCGGTACACAGGGCATGCGCTTTGGTGAACAGAATCTTAGTCATGTGCTCTTCTTTGGTAGGCGAGGTCAAGTCCAGCCATTGCAGCGCCCGATTGATGTTGGCAAATGCGTATAATCCATTCGGGTTGTGCTCTTGCAACCGCTTCGTCAGCGCTTCGTGCGGAATCACTCGGGAGACAAACGAAGAGTTGCTCTTGACAATGTTGCTCTTTGGTTTCCGCCTCTTGAGCGGATCCTTGGAGTCCTTCCCATTGACCACGGCAAGCGCCGCATTGCCCTCTCCAAACACGGGTGTCCGTAGGCCGTCCCAGGGCGAGGTCGAGTTTCCATTTGCGCTGTGCGAGCCAACCTCGCTCGTCTGGCTGTTTGTCTCGTGCGGCGACTCTTGGATGCTCGGGGGGACTTGGGAGCGCGTACTGGTCCTGGTGCCAAATCGGTGCAGTTGTGATTGCGACGGTTGACGGGGCGCAAGGGCGACCAGGGACAATTTGGTGCCCGAGCTTGGTGGAGATATGGTAGTCGCGAGCGGATTTGGGTTGTGTACGGGGGCTTCGGAAGGATGTGGAGGAGGGGTGGCTAGGTGGAGGTCGTCGCGCAGAACATAGGTGCCTATCATGGTCAGTCGTCCCAACACAAGAGGGAGGGAGAAGTGAATGGGGAGAGTGCTACCTTCTCCGACCACCAATTGGTACTCGGGCCCTGTCGGATGGCTGATGCTATTGTTGGTTTCGATAAGCTGGCCTGGGGGGACTCCAGGGTAGCCTCCGACGGGATAGCGAGGTGGAGGCGGTAGGACGCTGCATGCTGTTCAGTCACGTCTGTTGCGCGGGTGCCGTGCAAAAGCGATGCGATTGGTGGGGAGGCAGGCAGGCAGGCAGGCAGACAGGCAGGCAGACAGGCAGGGCGGTGAGGTGGAGAGATAGGACAGACTCACAACATAGCTGTTGCTGCTACGGCGGCGGCGTACTCTTCTGCGGCGCAATCTGCTGGTCCAAGGCGGCCGGATGGCAATCGACCACCTATCTACCGTACCGTAGCTAGATAGCTGTCGCGAACGTGCGCAGAGAATGGGATGGGTCACAGCACCACTTCGCATCTACACAGGGTCGAGGACTGGAGATGGAGCGATAGGGGGGGGGGAGGCCTGCTTGTGCGCCGATGAGAAAAGGCGTTCGAGTGCATGTACTAATCACTAATACTCTACACATGTCTACTACTCTACTAGGCACACTGGCTACCTTGTGGAGGATTGAGGGCCCGGGCGTCTGTTCTTTGCCTTGGGAACCGCGGGCCAGCCATTTCTGGGGAAGGCGGAGTTTGCTGGGCAGAGTTGCCGTCTTTTGCAGGTCCCGTGCGTGCGTGCGTGCAGTCCCAAGTCTCCCGCCTCCACAACACTGAACAGTTATCGGTTGGGCGTTTGTTCCTCGTCCCCTCTCCAGCAAGCAGTCGCATTGTCCCTTTTTTTGCCGGGCAGTGGCACCATGGTTCACTCTCCTCGCCTCGAGAGGGGCTGGCAGTCCGTGGTACCCAAGGTACTACTGGTAGGTGCCTGGCTACTCGATGTACCGCCGTGTACGCACTACGAGTCGATGTACCGCCGTGTACGCACTACAAGTCAATGTACCGCCGTGCACGCACTACAAGTCCCGTACACACTTGTCCCTGTTCATGGTGGGGCCGAGATGGAAATGGCGGGGAAAGCCTTGGGGACTTCTTGGGTCCGACGGTGATGCCATCGATTGCCACGTGCCTTCCCTCGGCGAATCTGCCCGTCATCGCATTACACAGCTCCCCGTCCAGTCCAGCTAGCTGCAAGTCACTGGACCCGCGTTTTGCTTGTCCACACCGCTTGGCGTCTGCCTGCCTAGGACTACTTACTACTCACCTCTTGAACTCCCCATGCTCCATACTGATATACTCCACCTGATCCTAGTCCTCTACACGTTATCATCCCACATCCCACCTCAATCACAGAACAAAAGGAATGCAGTAACCATGTCGTCGTCTCCTCATGGCAACCGGTATGTCGCGTCCTCGTCCTCGTCCTCGTCCTGTCCATGATGGCATGCTCCTGCTTTCCTCCATCCCCCCACCGTTAACCTCTCCCCAGTCCGCATCTGTGTTTGCGGTGATGACGGAGTGGGCAAGAGCTCCATCATCACCTCGCTGGTCAAGGATGTCTTCGTCACGGCAAAGATTCAGCCCGTCTTGCCCCAGGTGACCCTGCCGCCTACCTTGGGCACGCCCGACAATGTCACCACCACCATTGTCGACACCTCGGCCCTGCCACACGAACGCCATGTCCTCCGCAAAGAGCTGCGCAAGTCCAACGTCATCCTCCTCGTATACTCGGACCACTACAGCTATGAGCGCGTCGCTTTGTTCTGGATGCCCTACTTCCGCTCCCTCGGCGTCAATGTGCCCGTCGTACTGTGTGCCAACAAGTGTGAGCTGGCCTCGAATGGATCCACCTCGCAGGTAGTCGCAGAGGAGATGCTTCCGGTCATGAATGAATTCAAGGAGATTGACTCCTGCATACGGACGAGTGCAAAAGAACACCACAACATCAACGAGGTCTTCTTTCTCTGCCAAAAGGCCGTCACCCATCCTATAGCCCCCCTCTACGACTCCAAGGAGAATGCACTAAAGCCTGCCGCCGTCTCTGCCCTGCAACGCGTCTTCCACCTGTGCGACACGGACAAGGATGGCTACTGGAACGACCAGGAGATTCATGATTTTCAAATCAAGTGTTTTGAGAAGCCCTTGGGCGAGGACGATCTGTCCAATATCAAAAAGTCCATGGAGCGCTTTGCCCCAGGTGCCACGGGAGAGCGGGGCATGGACGAAAAGGGCTTCCTGTTGCTGAACAAGATGTTTGCAGAAAAGGGCCGCCACGAGACCATCTGGATCATTCTCCGTAAATTCCACTACACCGACAGTCTGAGCCTGCAAGATACCTTTCTCCATCCCAAGTTTGATGTCCCCCAGTTCTCGTCGGCAGAGCTCAGTCCCGCTGGATATCGGTTCTTTGTGGATTTGTTCCTCAAATTTGACAAGGACAATGATGGCGGTCTGAACAACCGAGAGTTGGCCAATCTATTCGCCCCGACTCCGGGCATACCGCTCTCATGGACCGACTCTGGCTTCCCATCCTGCACGGTACGCAACGAAGCTGGGCACATTACGCTGCAGGGCTGGCTTGCCCAATGGAGCATGACGACGTTTGAAGAGCCCAAGACGACGCTTGAATATTTGGCCTATCTTGGGTTCGAGAGTGGGGATCGCAGCGGAACGACGAGTGCGCTCAAGGTGACCAAGGCACGAAAGCGGCGCAAGAGACCCGGTCGGGTGGAACGGAACGTCTTCCTGTGCTATGTCCTGGGATCGAGTGGCAGTGGCAAGAGCTCGTTGCTATCCGCATTCCTGCAGCGCCCATTTGCCAGGACCTACCATCCGACCATCAAACCACAGGCCGCGGTCAACAGCGTCGAGCTCAAGGGGGGCAAGCAATGCTACCTCATCTTGGAGGAGCTGGGTGAGCTGGAGCCGGCGATTCTGGAGAACCAAGCCAAGCTGGACGCCTGCGACCTGCTCTGTTACACGTACGACTCGAGTGACCCCGACAGCTTTGCGCACATTGTCGAGCTCCGGAAGAAATATCCGCTGCTCGACGAGCTGCCGGCTGTCTATGTAGCGCTGAAGGCGGACCAGGACAAGACGATGCAACGGTGCGAGCAACAGCCGGATGGATACACGAGTGCGCTGAGAATGGCCCCACCGCTTCATGTGAGTGCTACGTGGAACAGCATTTCGGAGCTTTTTGTACACGTAAGTGGTTCTCCCTGGGGAAGGGTGAGGGTGAGGGTGAGGGTGAGAGTGAGGGGTAATGGCAATGGCCATGCTGACAGGGGCAAATCTAGTTGGCGGAAAGTGCAACCCACCCATCGACGGCATTTCCCAAGCCGGAAGAGGACGAGTACGACTATTTGAACCTGTACCTCGCCCTTGGCGTTGTCACGTGTGCCGTTGCCTCTGCGATTTTCATCTGGAAGCGTAACCGTGGGTCTTAGCGAGTCGGTGTCCTGCACTCTCATGCCCATGTTTCTGCACTCTTGTTGTGTTGACCATCATGGACACAGAGGGCGGCTCTGTATTGGTGGTGCAGGAGGGGAGAGGTATCGATGGGTGGGTGCAGGCAACATGAGGTGCAGTGCAGTGCGTGCCTGATTTGTGGCTTGGTCTTGCACTCCACTTCAGCGTCTCTGGCCATGTTTTCTTCTCCCCTGTGTCTGGCTCTTTGCCCTCCCACCTGGCCGTGGGTGTTGGTAGGAAAGATTGTCTTGATCCGATTCACGTCTGCTATGAGTATACTGCATTGCATGATGGTTGTAGATAACAGGGTATTCTCGAGTGATTGTAGTAGTACTAGGAGTATAGGAACAGAGATGCAAATCTACCCTCTCTCGCGGCCTGAATGGAGCCCCTGGAGTCCGTCGGCGGCAAAGCCTCTAGGCGGGCAGGGACCAACTTTTAGCCTCTCCACCCTCTCACCCTCACTTGACTGGTCGACTTGTCGACGACGACGACGACGACGACGACGACAAACTCCGACGACGAGTGGCACACTTGCTTGTGTCTGCTCGCATCTCCTCCTCCTCCTCCTCCTCCTCCTCTTCTTCTTCTACTACTACTTCTTCTTCTTCTTCTGCCTCTTTGTTGTGTGAGTGAAAGCGAGAAAGAGAAAGAGAGACTGTGTGTGTGTGTGTGGGTGTGTGTTCGTTCATTTCTTATTTTTACTCTCTTTGGTTTCTATTATTGCAGCCTTGTCCATGCCCATGCGCTGGTACTGCTCCTGCTCCTGCTCCTGCTCCTAACTACTGCGACTGCGACTGCGACTGCGACTGCGACTGCGACTGCGACTGCGACTGCGACTGCGACTGCGACTGCGACTGCGACTGCGACTGCGACTGCGACTGCGACTGCGACTGCGACTGCGACTGCGACTGCTGCCCGCTCGACTGCCCTGCCCGCCCGCGCCCAGCTGGCCGACTGCCCGTCCCTGCTGTCCCTGTCGTCTCCGCCTGCGCCGCCGCCGCCGCCGCCGCCACCACCGCCTCTCCGCCGTTGCTCGTACGTATTATGTAGAGTAGGTACTTGGTACTGTACTACTACTGCTACTACTGCTACTACTACTGCTACTCCACTGCTGTTGTTGCTCGCTCGATGACTCGCTTGCTCGGGCGCAGGCAGTCTTGAGTTGAGGAATCCGTGGTCCGCACCTGCACAACGCCCACAGCCAAACTCCGCATTCCTCGCCCACCATGGTGAGTTTCACCCTCACAGCTGGGCCTCCCAGCCAACCGTGTCGGCCAGCTGCAGTCGTCCGTTTTCCACGCCCACCCCTCCCCATGGCAAGCTCATTAGAAAGACGGGCTGCGGCTGCGCTGCTGGGGTCCTCTCCAGGCTCACCCCCGCCCACTGCATACTCCCGATGAACGCCCGCCCGCACCTTCTCCTCCTTCTCCTCCACCTCCACCTCCTCGTCGTCCTCGTCGTCTGAACGAGCTCCTGCTGACAAGACCTTGCGCCCCATAGGCTCAGAACCGTGCCAGAGAACTGGACCGCCTGTATCAGATGCGCAACCCGCCCCGCGCTCGAGGACACGTACCACAGATATCCATTAGCGATGACAACCACCATGTCACCGAGGCCATAGGCGACATGTATGGCGGCGATAGTGATACCGAGTCCTCCAAGCGCATCTCCCGCCCGCTTAGTTTCATTCCCAGCCCCAACGGCGACTCGATACAGTCCTTGGGTGCCTTTGAGCCCTTCGACCCCTTCCCCGGGAGCCCTCCCTCCAAATCCCCCCTTCGGCCCCAGATGACCCTTGACCAGCCCACCACCACACACACCAACCCCAACGGCACTGCTTCTGCTGCTGCCGCTGCCGCTGCCGCTGCCGCCGCCGCCAACAATTCGCAGAAGCAGACGTCCATGGGCCGGGCTGGCCCCTCGAATGGCCACATGTCGCCCCCATTGTCTCGCTCCAACTCGGACACGGCCTCGCAGCAGTTTCCCCTCAACGACCTGGACTATGAATCGAGCCCGGCCGGTCTGGCACAGGAGCTCAGCAACCTGCAGGCCATCCGCCGAATGTCCATGGGCGTCAACAATGCTGACCCCGACCTACCCTCTTTCCAGTCCACCAGCTCACCACCAGGCTCGCCGCCCGCAACCGACGACGACGATGAATCCAAGCTATTCTGGGTCCCTGCCCGCCTGCATCCAGAGCTCGCGCCCATGGAGTTCAAGACGTTCATTGAGGAAAAGGTCGACAAGATCAGACGACGGTCGGGCGATGCAGACACACTCTCTCCCGACGGCCCCATGGGTCGCCAGGGCTCGGTCGGCGGTCTGCGGAGGAAGAAGTCGATGCTGTCACGACAGATTGACACCGGCTCAGGCTACAAGGATGGTGCTGAGAGACTCGAGAGGAAGCGGTCGGGCGCACAAGCCAATGGCAAGCTGCCAGATCTGCAAGAGATTGAGCATGTGCACGAGGATCCAGCAGCCTTGATAGAACGGATGAGCGGGGATTCGAAGCGCTCGGGCAGCGCAGACGGCGATATGCCCATTGTACGCGGCAACAAACTCACGGGCCTGGGCACGCTGAAGCGCTCGACACACACCAACTATAGACGTGGAAGTCTACGAAAGGGAGGGCCGCCCCTCTCGCGACGTCTGGCATCAGGTCGGCAGGCTGACACAGACACGGAAGAGTCGCCCTCGACCTCGCCAGTCTACACATCGTCCGAGACCCCTCCACCTCTGCCGATACAACGCACCCATTCGGAGCCTCCCAACGGTGCCTTTGAGTCCTCCGGGTCCAATTTTTCACGCCCACAACAACGACGACGATCGCCCCCCGGAGTGGAGCCGGAGAGACCGGGCTCCGCGCAGGACCACTCGAGACCTGCAGCGGTTGCACCACCACAACCCGAGGAACGAACTTCGCCGCAACCTCGGCAGTTCCACTCGAGGATAGCGTCCAATGGACGCACCACTGCTCCTTTGCCTGGTTATAATCCTCAGCAACAACAGCAACAACAACAAGTACCTCAGATTGTCGAGACACCACCACCACCACCACCTCAGGAGCAAGAAAGAAGGCAGTATCAGCTACCTGAACGCCATTCTTCGCGGCAGCCGCCACCACAAATTCAACAACAGCCTACTGGATCTCGCACCTACAACCAGCCACAATCTTATAATCCTAATCAGCATCAACAGGCTCCACCGCAGCCTCAGCAGCCACAGCAGCAGCCTCTACAGCAGCAGTCGCCGATACAACCGCAACAGCCGCAGCAGAAGACTGCGAATCGTTCAAACCGCCATGCCCAAGCCGCCCAAGCCGCCCAAGCCTCTCCCATCAAACCTGCGCAATCGTTTGACGAACTCGTCTCTCATCCCTCGCCACTGCCAGGAAATGGGAATCGCGTAGATAATCTCTCCATCATTCCCAATCTGCCAGAAGAGAAGAAGTCGGACAAGAAGTCCAAGGACAAAAAGGACTCGACCGAAGGTCCAAGGAAAACGAGCTGGGGCTGGTTGGTCGGTGGTGACAAAGACAAGGAGCGAGACAAGAAGGACAAGGAGGACAAGGAAAAGGAAAGTGCGAAGAAGGTCAAGAACAAGCTCAGCAAACCGCAGGAAAAGGGCCACGATGATACAAGACTCGATCTTTTGCAGACTTCTATCCAAGGGGGTGGACGGGGACGGGAAAGCGTGGTCCTGGATCGGGAGTCCATCAAGCTGGAGGAGGAGCGCAAGAAGGAGAGTCACAGGAAAACGTCTAGCGACGGCAAGAAAGAGAAGGAGCCTGGTTTACTGTCCACCATCTTTGGTGGTGGCAAGAAGAAGAGCGACAAGGATGCGGGACATAAGAAGACTACTTCACGCGGACTGTCACCTGAGCCTCCATTGCGGATCCTGAAGCCCGATATTGACTACAACTGGACCAGGTTTTCCATTTTGGAAGAACGAGCGATTTACCGCATGGCACACATCAAGCTCGCCAACCCCCGTCGTGAGCTGTACTCGCAGGTTCTCCTCAGTAACTTCATGTACTCGTATCTCGCCAAGGTCCAGCAGATGCACCCACAAATCTCGATTGGCAACTCGAAGCAGGCCCGACTGGCGCAGAAGAAGGAGCCAGCAGCGCAGCAATCGCAACAGCCATCTCCTCAACAGCAGCCCTTGCAACCGCAGCCCCATCCACAATCTCCGCAGCCGCAGCCGCAGCAGCCAGCCCAACCTGAAGAGTTTGCTCAGTATCAGCGGTACCAGCAGGTAATTGGCAATGCCTAGCTTTGCGGTGACTATCCCACTGACCCTCTCGCAGCAGCAGCAGCAAAGTGAGCCACCAGACTCTGCTTCCAACGAGTGGCCGACGTACGCGCCCCCAGACGCCAGGCAGGCGCAACCGCCAAACGGACAGCAAACAGTCCCCCAAGCTAGCGCTGGCGCGCACAATCAAAACCCGCGTGACTCGCACCACTCGAATTACAGCGCCAATGGAGGCGCAAGTGCAAAGGGCTACAGCGTGGCCAATACGCAGAATTATCTGGGCCAGGGTGGCAAGGGCGGGTTTCAGCATTATCCGGACTCGGAGCAGGGTGGGGCGAGGGCAGAGGATGAGATGTGGTAGCGTCGCTGATTGTCGATTTGGACCTCGTGCGGATGGATGGGTGGAGGGAGGGACTGGAATGGGATGGGATGGACTTGGGTACGGGACTGGGGCGGAGTTTTTGTGTAGAAGTTGAGCTAAGAGTGGAGGTTGTAGAGGGTAGATTTGTGAATGTAAATGGTAAATGCATGGTTTGCGAGGGCCGGGAGTGGAATGTCGAGTGGGATTTGAACAGGGACTCTTTTTGATTCGGACTGGGATTCGGACTGTGTGGCTATGCAGTTGGGTTTTGTGTAGTCTAGTCCATTCAATCTTGTGTTTGAACCAGTGTTTGATCCTGTGTCTCATGTGCTGTGTTGGATTTGGATTCTTTGGGTTGTGTGCTGTGTTGGGCTCGGGGCTGGTAGGGCATGGTGGTGCGTACCTGGAGTGGAGTGGACTGGGGTGGACTGGGTAAGATGGGATCGGGCTGGATTTGAAAGGATTTGAAAGGATTTGAAAGGATTTGAGAAGATGGATTGGATTTACAAAGATGGGGAGGGAGGGGAGGATTTACAAAGATGGGGAGGGAGGGGAGGGGTGTGGTGGTGTGGTGGTGTGTGATTATGATCATGGTGATGATGGATGATGGATGATGTGGTGTACGCTAATGGGCAACATGGGCACTCTGTTTCCCACTTTTATTTCCATCCACGTTGTTTTTGAATTGTTTGTTTGTATTTTGTATCTTGTACTTCTCGTACGGTATGTTATTGGATTCTTTGGGGTTTGTAGCGTTTGATGTGTAGGTGTTGTATCATGTCTTGCTAGAGCAGGAGGGGAGGGGTTTGCTGGGTACTTGGGTAGACTACGGTAGACGAGGTGGATTGGATTAACGAAGATGGGGGTGCGGTGGTGAGGGATTACGACGACGACGATGATGATGATGATGATGATGATGGTGATGTGCTATGGTGCAATAGGTAATACAGCTACTGTCGTTTCTAGCTCCGTGCAGCATCCTCGTGTCAGCTTATGAGTTTGAATATTCGTCATTTTTGCTTGGATTTTCGTCATTCTCGTCGCGGATTAGGGTACTTGAACCCTCGTTTGCACAAGCTGGACACTTTTTTCTTAAGACGGGTGCTGGTTTGAGCGTGGGCTGTGCGGCCTGTTGGGACTGGATTTGCGAGATACGACTGGAGCTACGGGCTAATTACTTGGGATAGCTAGACACATGTCCACACGCACCCGTCCTGTTATTAATATTGATGTTGATAATCACAACGACAACAACGACGACAACAACGACAAAAACAACAAAATGCCCCCCTCATCCATCCCCAACCTCCCCGCAAAACTCGAACCGGTATTCACGCCGCGGCCGGGCGTGCAAGAGGCGCAGGGGACGCAGGCTGTGGTGCAGGCGTTGGGCCTCGTCGAGCATGTCGAGGGAGGCTGGTTTGCCGAGATTGATCGCAGTCCGTTGGTGATTGGGAATCCATTTTTGCATACCAGTAAGGAGGCGGGGAGAGGGGGGGATGGGACGGCGATTACACCTACGGCGTCTACAACCCCCACATCCACCCTCCCCCTCTCCGGCAACAACGCCGTCCGCAACGCGAGCACAAGCATCTACTACCTCCTCACGCGCAACAACCCACAGGGCCACTTCCACCGGAACAAAGCGAGGACGGTGCATACGGTGATTCAGGGCCGGGGCCGCTATGTGCTGATTCACGGGGACGAAGAGGACGAGGGGGGACGGGGGGACAAGGCGGGCATCAGGGTGGAGAGTTTTGTGGTGGGTAGCAATGTTGCCAAGGGGGAGAGGGCGGTGTGGGTTGTTGAGGGGGGGAAGTGGAAGGCGAGTTTCTTGCTGGGTGGGGAAGAGGGGGATGAGGCGCGGTTGTTGATTAGTGAGGTGAGTTTGTTGTGTTTGTGCAATGTGGTGTTTTCTTGCTCGTCTTCGTTTCCTGCTTGTTTTGCATCACAGTCACCCAAGGACGGGGTTGGCTAACGCACATGGGCAGACTGTTGTACCGGGGTTTGAGTATGCGGATCATGATTTCCTGACTATGGGGCGATTGGAGCAGTTGCTTGGGGAGGAGCAGGTGCGGGAGTTGGGCTGGCTTGTTAGGAAGGCTTGAGGTTTTCTGTTCTGGCTTCACTGTGCCGTGTTTGATGGGATAGATTTTTGTGGTAGACTGTAGCCGATGTAGGTAAGCTGATCTCACATCAGTCGGCAAGCAAACTAGGGACTGTAATAGAGCGATGGGTAGCCTAGATCAGCTGATCTTTACGAGACGACATCATGTTCAACCTGTCCATCCAACAGACTACCGGGAATTGCACGTCGAGAGAGAGACAAAGGCGAGTGATCGCCGAGGTCGTCGTCGATGCATTTGGGAACCAATTACCCCCAACGTGCCCGCCCCAGAACAACCCCACACCAACCCCACACCAACCCCACACCAACCCGGCATGCCCCCCTTCCAGCCCGCGCCAACATCATCCGAGGTTGTGGACGCGTGGGAGCCGTTGTTCTCGCAAGCCAGGAAGCCCTTCTTTCCGAACCTTTCTCCTCTTGGCTTCATGTCGGATTCTGGCCTTGTCCACGCATATAGCTACCGTACTACAACTGGCGATCAAGCTGGCCATAGTCGTTGAAGCTGTCAGTAACAATCACCACTCCAACGTGTAGCCCCCGCACCCCGAGGCACGCAAACACCATGGCAGCATTACGGATAGCGCCGTCGCGCGCAATGCGGGCAATGAATCTCCTGCGGACAGTGCAGTTCACGCATCCTCCATCTTGTCCCTGCCATTCCAACCCCAATTACCACCAGACACCATCCACTGTCCAGCAAGCACGTCGCCACCTGGCAACGCCACTGGACCACAGCCAGCAAAAGGAATATGCGTTTGAGATGGCTGCTTCAGCTATCCGTTTTGGCCCCGGATGTACCAAGGAGGTAGGCATGGACTTTAAAAACATGGGCTCCAAGCGTGTCATGGTGGTGACGGATGGCAATGTGCGCAAGCTCAATGCGATGAAGCAGGTGATTGAGGGCCTCGAAAGAGAAGGTGTCACCTATGAGATTTACGACAAGGTCAGGGTAGAGCCAAAAGATGGCAGTATCAAAGAGGCAATCGACTTTGCGAAGCCGTGGAGGCCAGATGCGTACCTGGCTGTCGGCGGCGGCAGCGTCATCGATACAGCCAAGTTGATGAACCTCTACACCACATTCCCCGAAGCCGACTTCCTCGACTTTGTCAATGCGCCCCTGGGCAAAGGCCTACCGATTCCCTCCAAGCTCTTCCCACTGATCGCAGTCCCCACCACAGCCGGAACCGGGTCCGAGACGACGGGAACCGCCATCTTCGACCTCGTCTCAAAGCGAGCCAAGACTGGCATCGCACACCGCAATCTCAAGCCCACCCTCGGCATAGTCGACCCCTTGAACACCCGCACCATGCCCTCCGCCGTACACGCCTCCTCCGGCCTCGACGTCCTCTGCCACTCCCTCGAATCATGGACTGCAATCCCCTACTACGAGCGCACCCCACGTCCCACAAACCCCCTCAACCGCCCAGCCTACCAAGGCGCAAACCCAATCTCCGACATCTTCTCCCTCCAAGCCCTCCGCGACTGCGTCAAGTATCTCCCACGCGCCGTAAAGGACCCCGACGACCACGAAGCCCAATCCCAAATGCTACTCGCCGCCACCCTCGCCGGCGTCGGCTTCGGCAACGCAGGCGTCCATCTCTGCCACGGCATGTCCTACCCGATCTCAGGCCAGAACCCGGGCTACAAACACGCCGGCTACAACGTCCAACACCCCATCATCCCACACGGTGTCAGCGTCGCCGTTACCGCCCCAGCCGTCTTCCGCTTCACCGGCGCCTCGAATCCAGATCGCCATCTAGCCGCCGCCGAGGCCTTTGGCGTCGACATCTCCAACGTCAAGCGCGAGAGTGCGGGCGAGGTGCTGGGTGAGGCGCTCGCGGAGTTTTTGGTTGGGCTGGGGGATCAGCCGCGGGGGTTGAAGGCGTTGGGGTTTGGGCGCGAGCATTTGGATGGGTTGGTCGAGGGCACGATTCCGCAGGCTAGGGTGCTCATGTTGGCGCCGAGTTTGGAGATGGGGGATGTGGAGGTGGAGAGGGAGCAGTTGAGGGGGTTGTTTGAGGAGGCGTTGGAGTATTAGGGGGGTTTTGGGAGGGATGAGATTGTGTGAGATTTTGGGGGGGAGGAAGGGGGTTTGGTTGTTTCTGTACATGAAGTTTTTTTTTGTTTTTTTTTATCGGGAAACAGGAACGACGAGATGAATTTTCGAAAAAAGACACTACTATTTATTCGGCAAAATCTCCTTCTATTCATCCATTTTGGCCAAATCTGAGCTGCTTGGACTGTTGGTGTTTGCGTATCTTATCGTCGCTGATATCGCACTTTTCCGACGGCGCTGGAGCCAGTGTTCTAGAACTCATTACTCGGGTCTTGCTTTGTGCGAGGTACGCGTACGCAGGTACATGTATGAACGGTATGCTATGCTATGGCTGCATGGGATTCAGTAAGACGGTGGGGGCGCAGTTGCGGGTTAGGCGGGCAGTGGTTGTGGTTGTGGTGGGGGGTCAGCGGGATGCCTAGGGGATGTGGCTTGGTTGTTGTAAGAGGGGTGGGAAGGGGTTGGGAAATCTTGAGGTTGTTTTGAAGTTTGGTTTGGGAGGCATTTACTCTAAGATGTGCTGGTCAAGGGATGTCGATATCATGGGGGGTTTTGTTTTGGGAGAGATGGTGTGTTGATGGGTATAGTGTTTTTATCAGACGGACCTGGTTCACAGACTTTAGTAACGCCTGCCATAGGTACCGGTAGGTAACGGATATGTAAACGGGACACAAGACGTGCCTACCGTACTACCATACCTAAATCTGATATCCAACCTTTACCAATCATCCTCAATCTCACCACCCAATCCAGACCAAACTATTCCCTCTCTGGTGCATGACGCGAAAAATACGAAACACGTCATCTTGCTCTGCAATGCTGCCTGAACGTAGCCTGTGAGGCTGAGTGCCACTAATCATGCATGACATGTACCACCACCGGTACCGTACAAGCTGTATGTCGCATCTACGACTGTGTCGGGTGTAGTACGGGATGGGCATACGCAATGTGCACAGCCGACACTGCGTTGAATGGGCGTAGATTCTGACTGTGATGTGGTGCGTGGAGCGAAGCAATATGGATTTGTTGGGAGACTCTGGGAAGGTATAAGGTGGTGATGGCGTCTGTTGGGAGATTGTGTCGTTAGGCCATACATTTTACAGTCGCTTTGTGAAATCTTTATCAATTCCTATACAGTACAATTGCCGGTTCTAGATTTGCCGGTTCCTAGACACATCCATTCGCTACTGTTTCGCATTAGAATCCGACCGAGACCAACAATCATGACAGTTCCACCTCCAGCTCCCGCATTCTGCGAGGATGTTGGCCCACTTTGTCCGGTGGAAGGCAGTCTTTATGGGTATTATCCCAGTATTGGGGCGAATGGGTTTTTTGCTGGTTTCTTCGGGGTTTGCCTCGTCATACAGCTTGTCCTGGGAATTCGATACAAGACATGGACGTACCTGGTGAGTCTGCACATGGCCCAATTACATGCCCACCCGTCTAACAGGAATAGATTGCTCTAGGACTCGGATGCTTGGGCGAGCTGGTTGGATATATTGGTCGTATCATGCTTTACAACAATCCTTTTGATGGCATTGGCTTTCAGATGCAGATTTGCTGTTTGATCATCTCCCCGGCCTTTGTATCTGCGGGCATATATCTCACACTAAAGCATGCCGTCATCACCTGTGGGGAGAGCTGGTCTCGTCTTAAGCCTGCTTGGTACACGTACATCTTCATCGCCGGCGATGTCGTTTCACTGCTGCTCCAGGGAGCTGGAGGTGGCATTGCTGCGACTGCAGACAGTGGCTCTGAACTCCAGGACGTCGGCACCAATCTCATGGCAAGTATCTGCTGCTTGAATAAGTCTCCGAGAAATTCTAACTGGCCATTGTATAGATTGCCGGTGTTGTTTTTCAAGTCGTCATTCTTGCGTTCTTCGGCTTTTTTTGCACCGAATATGCAATCCGCACGTACCGCCGTCGCACTCAAGTTACATCCGAAGCCAGCGCGTTGCTTCACAACACCTTGTTCCGCTGCTTCGTCTTCGCAATCACCGTTGCCTACCTGAGCATCTTCATTCGCTGCGTTTACCGTATCCCCGAGTTGACGGGTGGCTGGAGAAGTGAGCTCATGCGCAACGAGACAGACTTCATCATCCTGGAGGGAGTCATGATTGTCATGGCCGTGCTAGTCCTCACCGTATTTCACCCAGGCTTCTGCTTCCCGGCGCTCGGGAACACAATTGGCAAGTCGAGTGATGCACATCGGGTGAAGAGCATAGACGAAAGTTCAGAGGTAGAGATGATGTCTAATCAGGCGTGAGCATCGCGGGCATAGGACTCCTCAATTTACTTTCATTCATGTACGTCACGCTTCACTTTAGGGCACACATGACTTCCAAAGTCGGTTATTGCATATCACTTTAGGGAACCCATCACTTCCGGAGTCGGTTTAGCATGAAATTAGAGCTACTCGTTTGATTAGATCCACAAGCACAAACACAGCATTTCTCAGACAAAACTCCAATCTAACATTCCCACATTTCCCCATTTGCCATCCTCCTACACCAATACATCACACTCTCTTCCATAATTCCTCCAAGCATCCAACATGGTGTCTCTAGAACACTGCCCAGCAAATGCCGTCCCAATGCCCGGACTTGATCTCAGAGTCGGAAATCTTTTACATCCGGGGAGAAGCTCCGCGGACCAGGATTGGCCCATGTATTGCCGCCGCTTTCCATTCATGAGGATGATCGCTTACACTGGCCGCGGAGCCCATGCATGATGCCTGGGCCCCCACGCTCACGCAAGGAAATTGCATTGCCGAGTTCAACATCTAGCTCATCTCGTGGGCACGGTGGTAAGGTCAGGTAGCCTTCTCTTTATCTTAGTCATACTGTAACGAGTGCAACCCTCGTTCCATCTCAGACCGGTGTAGCCAAGACAGCCTCACAGCCGATACGGCCCCGATTCGGGTCCAAGGTTTTAAATACCCTTCCCCTCTACCTCCACATATAAAAGGAGCCTTATGCTTCTAGATGGATAGACAAGTTCTTCTTGTCCTTTCGTACAAGACCTATAGGTGTAGGAATCAATTCGTTCAATCGCCATACAGACGCGCACTCCCATATGCCTTTGAGTCGTATCGGACCCCTCTCGGACGTTCCTACCTACCTGTGTCGTTACACATACCGTAACGCAGGTATCACAACAACAGCAAGATCGTTAATGGCACCCATGAATAACAAGAAATATAGAGTCCCTTTGTTGCAGAGTTTTCAAACAATCAAGGAGGCTCGTCAGGCTGTTTAGGACGGAATTAGGACGCGGGGATTGGGGGTGATGCGAATCATACCTCTGTAGCACGAATTACTTAGCGTTGCGGCCTCAATTTCTTGGAATGGCGCTTATGGGTAATGAAGCCAAGTTTAATGGATTTACACTAAAGGAATGATAATACAATTGCAAGTAGCAAAAGTTACATCATGGGATCCTGGACTTGAATACTTTTGTTATACATAATGGTCGCCAGGGCACAGAATTGTGTAGATTCACTTAGCATATTTTAGCACAATATCACCATCTAGTTCAAAACTGAAATGCAACTCAACATCTTTACTTCTAGTCAGTGACGCTACAGTACTTCTCAAGAAAAGTAGGCTTAGCTACTATACAATCACATGTGATTTCTTTACTAGACTAATTTTCGAATTGATGAACATGGCTTTACCGTGCTAACCAGTTCCTATCGTGCTACCGCCGCAAGTGATGCCGGTGGAAGTTGCCGTGCCAAACTTTCTGCCCGAGCTACAAAGGTACGGTAGCTACAAATTTCCCTTGGGACTCATCACCGATGCCATTCGATCCTGATTCTCTTTCCGCAATTTCCTATGCAATCAAGGCCAAAGTGCAGTGAGGGGAGCAATCGGTCAGCGTTGACACCATTCACAACTTATGGCTTTCTGCCAACCCGCTGCATTTAGCGACGACGCGACGAGTCTGAGGCTGCAGCTGCGGCAAAATGTCATGACAGAAGCCTGCTCAGCACTCATGTCCAGCTGCCGATCCACTGCCCATCTACCCACGACTGATATTCCCTCTGTCATTGGTCAGGACTCGCGCCTGGCTGCAGCGCGAACGCAGAAGAAACGGTCCCCACTCTGCCTCTGACTGTCGAACAGTCGGTGGCGGTGGCGGTGACCACGGGCGTAACGACACACGACGCCCAACCATGACAAGATTACAGTCTGGCTCTGGAAGTCTGGAGTGTATGCCATGGCTTTGCTTAGTTGCGCTTTTCAAACCAGACGGTGATCTCCTGACCTGCTCCACTAGCCTTGTTCTTGCCCGGAATCGCATTGGCTACACGAGTTTGCCAGGAATGTACAAGACGAATGCACGAGATGCTCTCTTCCTGGTAGATGTACATGGTACTCCGCATCCTTGAATCTCGATTCGTATATCGGGAGACGCCGCGGGCCGCGGGACGGTAATGTCGATCGCCACTGCTTGTTTTGACCTCACTTGCTCTCCTCTTATAAATACACCATCACCCAGTCCATGTACACACCACCTATTGAGCATGCACTGGGTTGCAGCATCTCATAGGTGGTGTTCTGGTAAGGCATAGCTGTCAAGTTTCCGTTAATTCTGAGTGAGATCAGAAGCTGATGTGATCTAGAACAGTCCCGTTGCGAGTGCGAGGCAGAGTCAGTTCGCGAGATGCAGAGGTGTCTTTGAACATACCGCGTTTGAAGTCCACCGCCTTTTCGGTTGAGAATGACTTCGTTTCGGTGCTATGGGGGGCTCAAGCAAGTTCCACCACTACGTGTTCAGCATGGGCTTTGTGTTGAAATCCCATGCTGGAAACCTGAGGAGCCGCCTAGGAGGCTACAGCATCGTATGATCTGAGGTTCCAGAGCGTGTGTAAATGCCGACTATGCCATATTCAGCCAAGTATTGCTATATGGGTAGGCCGAAGCTAGCATGTCTCCCCGTCCTTGGATACTTGGCTTTCTCTTTGGTATCAGATTACTTTGGAGTGCATTTCTGCCCTTCCTGTTCAATCAACAGAGGCAGTTGGGCTTGTGCTGAAGCCATCCTGGCTCAGCACGTGAGGGATCGCTACAGAACGATTCCATTGGTTAGGAAAACAAAGCCGAAAAGCTTCCTCGGGGATTCGCTCCGAACAATCGACAGAACTCTTCTCCAGATCGGGACTCAGAAGCGCAAACACTCCTATGACATGCAATTTTGGCTGCTAAGGTGGACTGGCAGCCTCTTCCCGTTGCAGAGGGACAGTGGTGAACTTCCTACCAATGTATCCAGTCCTGAGTAGCGATTGCGAGCCGGAAGGATTACTCACTGCGCGATCATCTGAACGCGCCGATTGATCGCCAATACCCCACGACATCTTGACTCCGCCTTGTCTACGTGGGATTCTTTAGGACACAACGGCAACGCAGTGACGGCATGGACACTTCTGAGCGATGGCATCCTATTGCACCAGCATCAGACGAACCTGGAAAGCAACGACCGCCACCAGATAGACGAAAACGAAGGCAAGCGATTGCTGTGGCCTGTATTCAATGCCGAATAGGAAAAGCCAAGGTGATTTTCTGATATCTTCTCTGACTTGCGGGACGATCAACTTAACTCTGGACAGTGCGATGGCACCAGACCGCGTTGCAACCGCTGTAGGGACAATGAAGTCGTCTGCCAGTACGATGTGGCAGAAGGAGTGTCCAGAGCTGAACGGATGAAGCTTCTGAAGAGGGACAGTATGACCGGCAGGATGGAGGAGCTCGAACGCATCGTCAACTTCTTACGCTCGGGTTCCGATTTGCAGGCTTCGACTGTTTTGGCAAGGCTGAGACTCGGCGAGCGAGTGGAAGAGGTTGCAAAGTCACTGCCAGCCGCTTCTTCTACTTCAGGTCAGAGCAAACCTCCTAGGTGAACTAAATTATTCTCAATCCTATCTCTAGATTACATTGTTGACTGGAATCTAGCTCACTCACCCAGGAATCTGCCAGTACCCCTGGAAGTGCAATCGGATTTAGTCCCGACGCTGTGAATACCTTCAATGAGACCTCAGGTACTCGATCATTGCGGCATGATTCGAATGCTTCAATAACGTCGTCCTCGGGGCATCGTCCGAGCTGGCAGACGATTCAGAGCCACGCATCACCGGCATTCGGTTCCCCGGCAAAAGGAAAACAGACGGCCTCGGCAGACGACGGCGAAGACCAGCCTTTCCTATCGATTTTGTACGATCGCGATGATATACTCTTACCCATAAGTGAGAGCGAGGACGAAAGTGAGGATGATGACGATACCTATCAGACATATGATCCTCGCCTCGCTCCGCAGGCAGCGAACCTAGAAATGGGCACTTTATCGTTCGACTCGCCAGCAGAATCTTCCAAGGGCCCCCGGCCCTCGTCACATAAACAAAATACCGTCCGATCAATCTATGCGACTCATCTTCTCAGTCGCCAGCCGATCGTGAATACGACCAGAGTACACCCGAACCTTGATATCCGTACCCTCCTTGCAAACGTACGACTTCCCAGTGGTGCACAAGAAAATTACTCGCCTGAGCTCCAGAGCTTGCAGGCGGATAACTTGGCCATACCAACCTGGTCGATGCTTCCAATCAACACTAGGCCTGATCCCGGCTCGTTGAGATATGCATTCCCAACAATTTTAGAAGAAGCTAGGAATTTACTGAGCCAAGGAGTCGCTCTCGATGTTATCATCGAAATCCATCCAAATATTGCGGCATTGTATGACGAGGAGGAGTTTAACCGATCAGGCATACTTTCTCAGTGGGCTGTTCGCATGGTGCATAGCGCTTTTCGGAAAGGCAAGTCTGCAGCCTTGTGACAGCATCGAGGGGTGATATTTTACTAATTGTAATAGGCAACAACTTTACCTGTTTTGCAAGCATGTATCTATTCTGGTACCTAATGAGGTGGATGATCTCGCCATCCGAAGAAACTTACACTGCGATGCCAGATTGGCTTCGACCAACGTATGCGAAGACCTCCTTACTCGAACGGCAGTCCTGCTGACCATACTACCCATAGTCCGAATCAACTTCTCATGCCCCACGTCAATATTGTTGACTTTGTTGTCTGGCCCGCATTCCGCGAATTAGTAGTTCAAATACCGACAATGCAGGAGCGCATGGAATGGCTCATGGATATGTTCTTGACTTTGCAGTGCGATTGGTCTTTTCCCATGGAAGAAGCGTTGATGAGACATGAGGAAACTGGTCTTTGGGACCTGTGTCCCCTTGCGAAAGTACGTTCCTCGCGAGCCACGGTGGAGCTTCTTAGGGCTAACATGAAGCAGGGAGCCATGCGCGACCTCTCAAACTGGTCTGTTGCAGCGTCCTTCCGAGGTTATGTTAGTAATGCAGATTCCTATGTCAGAATCAGAACAGAGGCACTTTGAGACTTGCGGCTTCATCCACAAACTCTACAAAAGTTCACGATTCGCAAGTTAGACGATGTCACGAGGGATTAGGAATATACCCCAGATGCTTTAGGCGTAGATCAAAAGATAGAGAGTATATCATGTCAGTCAATGGGCTGACTACTATGGTGTAAAACAAGGTACAGATGCCTCTTGAGTAGATAGTGTCAAATGGATCACATGTGTATATCGACACGCAATGAATGACTACAACATAATGAGCGTCTCACGACGGTATACCCTACAGGACAGGCTCTTTCTATCACGAGGACCTCGACAATGCATTTTCTCATCTTAATCCCGAAAATTCCATGATGTAATTCATCACAAATCCAACCCCACGACCCTAAAACCCGACATAATTGGTGGGAACTTGGAGACCATGACCGCCAATAAAACACTCATCTGTCCCAAATCGTAGATAGGACCGACCAACCCAGGGCCGATCCGCATCATCTACTATGGTAGAACGTTCTCGGCTCAAGATGCCGAAAATCGAGCGTCGATCTCTGCGCGACTTGTCAGGAAGTGAGATCCCCCGATGCCGCTGCACATGGACAACGGTTTCCTCACAACGGTTTTTTAGCTTCACTTGACTACAAGTACCATGTACGTCCGCGGTATGATCGACGCTTCCGAACCTGGGTATTGGTGAGGCCCCACGTGTCGGCGCGATGGTACCGATCTTGCGTGGAGATGGACTTGCTGCAGGATGTCAATGTCGATGGAATACAGAGGTTTGGTAAGTGTTGGCATCACTGATTGCGAATGTTGTCATGCGTTGAGTTTTGTATTCGTTATAATTGACTTGATATGATTTTGTGTGCACAAGACTCAGCTGATTAGAAGAAAAAAAGAGAGATTGTATATACGGAAAACTCCTTTGTGTGAACGCTGCAAAGCGCGCCAGGCAGCTTTGTATTATTTGTAGAATACGTAGTTCTCGAGATGGTTGGCTCTGCCAACCGTCTGCCTTTGTGCAGTGTGCATCGACTTGTTCATTGTCATCAGTAATGTAGCACTACGGTAAAAAATTGTTTACTGTAGAATGGTACGCTAGGGGTTTACTATATAGGTGTAAACTAACCTCGTGTATACCTGTAAATAGGTTTAAAGTGGTGGTTTACTTTTTTGTAGTATAAATATAGTGTGGTTTACTATAGACCTATTAGTAGAGTGAATAATATAGTTTATAATAGACCTATTAGTAGAGTATATAAAGTGGTTTATAAAAGATAAAATATAAGTGTTAGGTATAGTAATAATAGTATTAGATTTTTTTTAGTATCCTTATATAAACTACTAGTATATTATTGCCTGTCCTATCCCTAGGCCTAACCTGCCTAATTAACAGCCTATACCCGCCTAATTAACAGGCCTAAAACTACCTAATTATTAGCCTATACCTGTATAATAATTAGCCTATACCCGCGTAATTATAAGACTATCTACTACGTACCTTACTTATTTTTAGAAAACCGCGGTATAATATAAATTAAATAGGTATACAAGTGGTATAACTACGCAGTAATTAGTGTAAGTTAGTACGTCTAATAATAGTCTAGCGTAATATATAGATAATATACTTACCTAATAAATGCTAGTATATTATATAGTAATAGTGTTAGTATAAAGAGCCTAGTACTATAAAGCTAGATATAGACCTATTATCTTACTTAACTATAGGTAGTTAGTCTTAGACTATCTGCGTTTATTAATAATATATAGCTTATTACTAGGTTAAAGTTAAGCACTATATCTATAGTAAACTATAGCTACTCCTATAAGGTTAACAATTATTATTATTTAAATCTATTTAATGCTATTATTATCTTCTATTATCCTCTAAGGTTAGGCTAGTTAGCCTATAGCAGCAGCGGGTTATGTCTGTTGCTATTAAAGTACTCCTGCCTATTTAGAGTTATTAGCTAGATCTTAAAATAGGTATATTACTATCCTAAAGGAGAGCTAAATATAGTTATTATAATTATTTCTAGCAGCGTAATATATAATAAACGTAGTGCTCTAGGGGTAGTTACTATCTTTGTAATTCCCTAAAACCCTAATAGTATACCTATTTAGAAGTATACAATAGTTATATATAACTATATCCTAGGCGCGTGTCTATATAGTATATACTATAGTTATAATTATAGTATAAGTGTTATCTAGGATACGTCCTTAGTGCGTATCTATACTACTATAAGACTTAGATTTTAGATAGTGCTCTTGTAGCTAAGTTATAATTATATTTTTATTAATATTATACTCTATACTAAGCCTAAGTGTGGAAAATTGGATTACTAAGGTTAGGAATAATTTGGGAGATAGATTATTAGATTATATCTACTACGATCAGACTTATATATATAGAGCTTTAGCTACCCTTACTAGAAGGTAAATAATTAGTAAACCTTCCTTACTAGAGCTCCTGCTTTTTATTAGGCACTTAGTAGTAAGCTAGCAGTTAATTAGATAGTAGGTTATATAGGGGTATTAATCAGGATTAATTAGATTAAGATACTCTATAATCTAGTTAATATCCCTCCTATAACACACCCCCTAGGTATAGGTAGATCTTTTATTATTATAGTTACACTTATAGTTAGTAGGTAGTGTAGCTAATTAGAGCGTTGTATATCTAAAGGGTTAAATTAGCTTACCCTTTAGATACTAACTAGCGCGCCTTCCTTATTTAGCCTACGCTTATACACGTAGATATTATCTAGACTAAGCTCTATAACTCTATCTACCTAACTATAATCTTTTACTATAGCTTAAATTATAAGATTATATAACCCTAAGGATCTAAACTATACCTATATCCCTACTAACCTATATCTTAGTTAAAGTTAAAGCCTACTACTTACGCTTGCTCTACCTACACTGCCCTTATTACCTCCTGCGTAGCTAAAGCTATAGTTACTAAAGCTACTACTACTAAAGAAGAGTATACTACTACTAAGCGTAAGGCTATTATAGAGTGTGCAGTAGCTAAGCATATAGCTACTACTACTATAGTTAAGATTATAAAGCTAAGAAAGGGCGCTCCTACTCTAGCTCCTACTACTCTAGCTCTAACTCCCGCTCCTGCTTCTCCCTAGACCCCTCCCTCTATCCCTACTCCTACTCCTACTCCCTCTCTAGCTCCTAAGGAGACCCTAAGATCCTCCTATTATAGAGAGCCTAGTATTTATTATACTAAAACTTATCTAAATTATTTACGCTCTACGCTCTTTAATAAGTCTAATAGTAAGTGCTATAACTCTTCTAGTAAGGGGACTTAGTACTAGTAGTACTTCTCTAGGTATAGCTATATCCTAATATATATAATCTATATAAGAATTTTTCCTTTATAATACTTAGTAAGATCTATACTAATAAACTAATAGCCCTAAGCTTACCTAATATTCTATGCTATCCTTCCTAGTAAGGAAGTAGGTAGGTAAGAGCTAAGACCTTCTTAAGGATAAAAAGTAGAGGGTCTTAGTACTTCTTAAGGAGAGCAAGGCTAAATAGTAGGAGCTAGTAAAAGCTACTACTACTACTACTAAGCTTGCGCGTAAGGCTACTACTATAGCTAAGGGTGCCTAGAGCTCCTTATTAGAAGATAAGGACTCTAGCTCCTCTAAGGTTCCCCCTATAGATCCTAGGTTAGGGTAACCTAGGTAGCTCCCTATAGACTCTAAGGCACGCTTTGCGCGCGTAATAGAGCTCCTTAGGGAAGCTACCTAGTTAATAATAGAGAGGTAGGCTATAGTTAGTTATTCTTATATTATATATTAATAGATCTTATATACTACCTTACTTTAATTAACACTATATAATATATACTCTACTATTATATAACTTTAGGTGCTCCCTAAACCTTATAAATTATTATATAGTTAGGTTTTTAGTAAGCCTATTAGCTAGTATATTACTAGTAGGTAGGTAGGTAATATAGAAAGATCCCTTTATATACTCTTATCTTAGCTATATATTTTAAATATCTATATAGCGTAGCTTAGTAGTAATCCTTTTATTATTGCCTACTACTAACCTAATAGTTTATTAATTATTACAATTAATTATCTAGGTAGTATCTAAAGTAAGGTGTATTTTAGTTAAAAAGCGTTTTAACGCTATTACTTCTTTACTTACTTGCTTAAGCGCAAGGAGCTCTACCTTAGTAGTTAAAGTAGTAATAGTTACTTATTAAGCTGCCTTCTAAATAATAGGTCCTCTAAAGAGCGTAATTAGGTATCTATATAATAATTACTAAGTATTAATATTATTAGCAAATAACGCATTACTACATATTATAAGCTTATTAGGATCCCTATTCCTATATTAGATTAATTAGTATTAAGTTTAGTATAGATAGATAATTACTTAATTAACTATATTAAAGTGTTATTTAGATAGGTTAGTAAGGTATTAGGAGAGCTAGGAGGCTACATAGGTAATATTAGGGCGCACTATAATTAAGGTGTAAAGGATTAATCTAACGCGCTCCTAATAGTCCTTAATCTCTTTTTTAGTAGCTTCTCCCGTGCTCTTTTTAATATCTTTACTTAATAGTAGTATAGTAGGGAATTTTCCTATCTCTACTAGATTAAATTTCTTTGCAATCTTGTTAATATATTTATTATAAACAAGCGTTATTATCTATCTCTTTCTATCCTAGATTACTCTTACCCCTAGAAACTAGCTTATAGGTCCCTTCTCTTCTATAGTATATCTTTGCTTTAGAGCTTGGATAACTTTGTGAGCTTAGCTTGCGTAGTTTTAGTAATAGAGCGATAGGATATTGTCTATATAGAATATTAACAAGATACTGCGATCTCTATTAAAGAATAGGCATAGCTCCTCTTTAGAAGTAATAAGCTTATTTTCTTGGAGTGTAGTTAAGAGCTTATTATACTATAATAATAGTAAGTCTTTTAGTCTATATAGAGCTTGTTTAAGCTTAACGCACTTTCTAGGTATTTAATATCCTTTAGGTAGCTTATAGATAACTATAGGGTGTTAATCCCTTAAGGCGTTAAGGAAAGCTCTAACAACGTTATATTAATATATCTTAAGGTTAAACTTAGCTCTAATAGCTATTATAGTCCTAAAGGTTTAAGCTACTAGGGTAGCTGCGTAGGTTAAATAAATTAAGTTAGTAAGCTATAGATCTCCTCTTACTACTATCCTTGCTTTGCACTTAATTAGGTAACTATCCTAATTAAGCTTGTATGTAAACACCTATTTAAGTAGGAGTAGATACTCTCCTTTAGTTAGCCTATTAATCTCCTCCTAGGTACTAGCTTTTAGTAGAGTATTAATTTCTTTATATACTACGTCTCTAAATAACTGTCCTATTTAGTGGTTATAGAGATCCTTCTATTATTTTAGCTCTTTTTGTAGAGCGTCCTAGTACGTATTTCTTTTAGGGTTTTTAGGGGATTTGCTCCCTATTACTACTGTGATTATAGCGTGGATTATAGCGTTTAGTTTAGGATATACTAAAAGATTATACAAGGGATTTCTAATTAGATCTATATC